AGGAAGGGCCTTTGCTATTGATGCCCCCAGGGTCTGGAATGCTATTGCCAATAAACTGCAACTTGAATCACTACCTATGAGATCTTCACTCAAAACTGCTCTAGAGGAGTTGTACACCCCTAGCTGCCACTGCTATTCAGTGGCCTAAAATATGGCTCTAGGGTTTGGTGTTATCATTTATTTATGTAGTTTATTGTAAAAAATTCGGTCACAGTCCCTATGATCACTTTTACATTGCATTTATGGCTTTTATTTTGGGGATTTCGAAAACGTTTTTTTGGTTTGGCCATGTTTTTGTTTATTGTAGTACGGAGTTAGACTGATGGCCTAAATCTTAGTTGTCTTGTGGTTGTTGTTGTTTGACTTGCATCCCACTGGGATTTTTGCACAGAGCGTTGGTGTACGGTGCTGTTTCAGGAATATTTTGATGTTTTTTTCCTGGATTTTCTGTTTGCCCAGTCACATATAGTCACTTTAAGATGTTTTCTTGTTCATGTTTTTGTTTGTTGCGGTTGCACCCGATTCAAGAGCCGAATGGCTCACAGGGCTATACCAAATAAATGGAAATGGAACTCTCCTCACGATGAAAGTTAAAAGCCCTAAAACAAAAAAATCCCTTGCCCTGCAGCAGGCTTTGACAGGCAGCAGCAGCAGCAGCGACAGCCATCAACAATTCAATTCGCGGGGGCCAGCGATTGGATTTGCGATAGGGGTCATCCATTTAGTACGTACGCATGGAGGGGGGGTTAACTCAAATGCATACGCTTGCGTATGGGGGGTCTACTGACAATGTCCGTACGCATAGGAAACGGGGGGAGGCGGCGGGTGGGGGTGAGGCCTCGATATTAATTTGTCTACATTGGCCTTCAAATGAGTTAGATAGTCCGGCGGTGGACTCTCTGTTTGCTTAAACAAGTTAATATTATTCATCCTTGATCGTTTCTGCTTGGATTAAATATCGGCCGTTCTATAGGATTCGGGGGGTGGGGTGCGTCAAGCGTACGTACGCAGTTGGGGGGGGGGGGGGTGTTGAAAGTCCGCGTGCATACAGGGAGGGGGGGAGGGGTCAAGTTTTGACAGATTTTTCGTGTACGTACTAAATGGCTGGCCCCATACTGGGAAATACGGTGGGATCGAGCAGTGATTTCACCACATTAGACTCGCCCCCTTTCATCGTTTCTTGTCGTGTTGCATCACAGTACTGTCATTGACGTGGAAAATTACATCCTCCTACATGACCTAAATTACATCCTCCTACATGACATAAATTACATCCTCCTACATGACCTAAATTACATCCTCCTACATGACCTATCCACTGCTTGATGAAGTCCTCCCTCATGCCGTCGCAATAACTCGCAGCTTTGGGATGCTCCAATCCATCGTGCCCCTGTGCGTGAATTGTTCTCGTCGCTCCGTTGCCACTGTGGTTGTAACTTTTGGGCGTGTTTTTTTCTCCTTTTCTTTGGCCGCTATTCCATCAGCAGTCTCGTTGATCGGCGGTCATCCCCCTCCCAGTGATGTCCTCCTCAAGCCCGCTGACTCGACGGTCAATATGACGTCTCTGATGTATGCTTGTTCCCTGATCCACGTGCTCATCTTCCTGTCTCTAAAAATGAAATTCGTAGCATTCGCATCTTTTTTTTTATTTGTCCGGATATTGAATGAGCCATTCACGTACCCGAGCTCTGCTACTCATAAATTGGATTGACTCGGATTAACTTGGCAGTCACAGAAACCACGCGCCACCTTCACTTCCTGCTCTTATCCAATCGGCATAAAATGTCCGATTGGCAGCAGAATACGGGAGCCCACCGTGCACGCTCCCCGCTCATTCGTCCAGCCGTCTCTGCGCTTTGCCGAAAAAGCACCGAGGCTCCCAATCGATCAGCCTTGCCCCCCCGAGCGCTTGCGGTGTTGGAGGCAGGCAGCGGTGCCATCAAATCGGTGGTAAAACGCAACGCGGGGCCGCGGTTTGTAAAAGCGGAGGCCAAAATGCAGCGCAAGGGACAAAAGTGTACAAACGCGCGCATTGGGTAGAGAACGGACTGTCGTGACATGCAGTTGTCGCATTTAGATGCGTTTAGAAAAGCCACTGTCGTATTTATGGAATGCGTGAATGAGAGGACAAGAATAGTTGGGAAATGGGAAAACACAATGTAATTGAATGAATGGCTTCATATATGGATTTAGGGGACTGATGAGTGAGAGTGAGTTTGGGTGTCCATTTTGCAATGGAGACCTGGATGTGAAAAAAATCGAAATAATGTCAACGTGCCTGGAAAACTGGTCATGGCTGTGGTTTACACGGGGTACTTCTCCTGCTGTGGTTCATGGCGAACAATTAACATGGTTCAGTTCATTTGGTTGACACTGTTTTCGCATTACGTGGAGTGGCTCAAGTGGAATGCTATCCCAGGGACATGTGTCGTGGTTCACGTTTTGCAGTTAACTCTCTCCAAAATGTGGTGCGGTTCGTGTAGCGCGGTTCACACGTTGCGGTCCACGTAACGAGGTTCATGTAGTGAGGTTCACACGGTGCGGTTCATGTTGATGTAACGTGATTCATGTAGCGCGGTTAAATTTAGCGCGATTCACACAGTACAGTTCATATAGCGCGGTTCAATCGATCTGGTTCGTGTCGCGCTGTTCACATGATCTGGTTCGTGTCGCGCTGTTCACATGGTCTGGTTCCTGTAGCGGGGTTCACATGGTCTGGTTCCTGTAGCGCTGTTCACATGGTCTGGTTCGTGTCTCGCTGTTCACATGGTCTGGTTCGTGTAGCGGGGTTCACATGGTCTGGTTCGTGTAGCGGGGTTCACATGGTCTGGTTCGTGTCACGGGGTTCACATGGTCTGGTTCGTGTAGCGGGGTTCACATGGTCTGGTTCGTGTCACGGGGTTCACATGGTCTGGTTCGTGTAGCGGGGTTCACATGGTCTGGTTCGTGTCACGGGGTTCACATGGTCTGGTTCGTGTCACGGGGTTCACATGGTCTGGTTCGTGTCACGGGGTTCACATGGTCTGGTTCGTGTAGCGGGGTTCACATGATCTGGTTCGTGTCACGGGGTTCACATGGTCTGGTTCGTGTAGCGGGGTTCACATGGTCTGGTTCCTGTAGCGGGGTTCACATGGTCTGGTTCGTGTCACGGGGTTCACATGGTCTGGTTCGTGTAGCGGGGTTCACGCAGTGCGGTTCGTGGAGTGCGGTTCTTGTAGTGCGCTTCATACGGTGCGGTTTACGTCGCGTGGTTCACACGGTGCGGTTCCTGCAGCGCGGTTCAGGCAGCCCCGCCATCGTGGCGCATGATGAATGGATTGGTTGGGAGCGTGATGGGTCCGTCAAGGGCACCGCGGAGCCGGCCGCTGACCTTGCGCTCACGGCAAGACGCACAAACTGCATGGGAAGCTCCCTGAGCCAGATCAAGGGGAACATCTTCGCCGGATGTGCAGTCGCCCTCGAATACATTAAACATCTTCTTGGTTAAATTTTGATTTAAAGCTTTCGTGACTGCAGGGATTCATATTCTTGGTTCTTTCGGTAAAGTCACGTAGGAGGGAAACAATAATAATAATAAAATAAAAATATTTCCCTTCTACGTGACTTTACCGAAAGAACCAGGAAGATGAATCCCTGCAGTCACGAAAGCTTTAAATCGATACATTAAACATGCGTGTACATATGTGTGTGTGCCCGAGGAGAGTGGTGGCGCAGCGGTTAGCGCGCCACGCTATGAACCCGGCAACCCGAGTTTGATTCCCGCTCATGGCCATCACCAGTGACGATTGTCTGAACCGTTCCTGCACTCCTCTTAGGTCGACTCAGCCTCAAATGAGTGCCTGGTGCGATTTGTAAGCATTGCCACAAGGGAGACAGCGGTGGCCGGGCATGGTGCTGTCTGCCCACCCCCTAATGTGCTGTGCCGGCCTTCATAGCTGCTTGCAAATAGCACTAGGCCCAAAAGTCTGTTAAGGCTATACGGGGGATCTTGGTATTTGTACGCCCATGTGCACCTTTTTTATGTTTCACATTTGTCGTCATGGTTCACGCTGCATTAGCAACCTGGCAACCTGAATTAGATTCCCGGCCACGGCCAAATATCGGTGGCAAAGATATGGACTCGTCCCTTGGTTGACGCAGCCTTCAGGTGGTACCTGGTGCATTGCGTTAACGTCAGTGTGGCATCGTGTGGCGTTGGCCGTACCACCCAGGTGCTCATTAACAGTGCTTGCCTCAACCGCATATGCACACCTGTCAACCCATACGGTTTACACCGTATTCTTGTGCAGGGAAATTGAGTATTTCAAGTCCATACGGCCGTTTCAATACGGGCAAAAGTAAAAATAAAAACAATTGTCTGGTAAAATTTTTATTTAAAGCTTTCGTGACTGCAGGGATTCATATTCTTGGTTCTTTCGGTAAAGTCACCACGTAGAAGGGAAACAATAAAATAATAAAAATATAAAAAAGAAAATGATCACGTCGTTTCGATTGCAACACATGCAATCGTCATCAGGTGTGAAAACCACAGCAAGAAAATTTTAAAAAGTGGCGTTTTTTTTAACGTTAGCAACACGGAGAGCGATTTGGCAGTTATTCAAATGGACGAGTCCATCTATGTTCGGAAAAGAGGAGGGGGAGACGAAAATAATGGCTGCGGTCTGAGAAGATGGATTATGGCTTAGCAATCATTGGATGGATTTGATAAACCATTTCGGGTCTTAATTGATTGTTCACGCTTACGGTGTCTTTCAGACCGCATCCATTATTTTTCGTCTGCCTCCTCCTCTTTTCCAAACATAGATGGACTCGTCCATCTGAATAACTACCAAATCGCTCTCCGTGGTGCTAACGTAAAAGAAAACGCCACTTTTTTCAAATTTTCTTGCTGTGGTTTTCACACCTGATGATGATTGCTTGTGTTGCAGTCGAAACGTCGTGATAATTTTATTGTTTTATATATTTATTTTATTGTTTCCCTTCTACGTGACTTTACCGAAAGAACAAAGAATATAATTATCCCTTGTGATGGGACTTTGTAGGATGAACTTGGAGATTGATAAGGGCACGTGGTGACCAATGTAGTCTGTAATAAGGGAGGCACTGTTAAGGGGTTTTCAGGTATGCAGATGTGGTGACGTATGACGTCACTACTGTATCGGGTCTGTATACAAGAAGTCACTGCTATGTTGGGTCTGTACACACGTGACATCACTGCTATGTTGGGTCTGTACATGTGACGTCACTGACTGTTCGGTATGGAGGCTGTTGATGGGTGCCATGGGGGTTGTGTCAGGCCGTGGTGCTCTGAGTGACCCCGGCTGGGCACGTGACCGGATCGAGGAGGGGGCCAGAGGCCCTGGGGGACCCAGGGGGTCACGTGGTCGGGGAGTGGAGCCTTCTCGTGGGTTCGAGAAGGGGGGCGTGGCCAGGGTGTGGCCACGCCAGCGAGGCCTATAAGCGGGCTCAGTGCAGAGGGCTGGGCTTTTGGTGCCTGGGGTGAAGCTGTCTCATGAAGACTGAAGAAAGAAGCCTCCAATCATCGTGGCTAAGCAGAAACCCTCCTGGCTTGGCCACGCCAAGTAGTACCCGAGTGTTAGCGAGAGTAGGACGGTGGTTACCACCTTATGTGTAGGGTGTGTTGCGGTTGTGTTGCAGAGTGTAAGCGCCTCTATCGGACCATTACACATGTAAGCTACATGTCTAATCTGTTTCAAACACTTGTGGTTCAAACACTGGTGTTATGCCGGCAGTATTATTTTTATTCCCAGGCATATACAACATTAGTGGCGAGTAGCATTTGAACCTGGCCTGGATTGTCTTCCCATAGGTCTACTCGGCCTTACATGTCTACCTGCTGCATAGCGAAGCATTGATTATGCTCGACATGCACGCGTCAAATTGTGTGTGCAAGAAATGTTATTTTTTGTGTCCAATGTTGTATGTCGTTGGTTCACACAGAACCCCATTTACCACAGTGGCAAAAAGAGTATATATTGTTGGGATAGCACCATGAACTTGAATCCTGATAATTCACCAAATCACAAGGGAACGGGCTCGCCACTTGCCTCGGTAAACATTTAAACTGTGCAGGCCAATGCAGCCATGGTTGGTGCTGGCCGTAACCGCCCCCTTGTTTGCGACACGCTCGCTTGAATAGGTGCGCACTAACAGCCTTTGCCTATATGATTTCTGCGGCTAAGCCAAGGGATCTTTGTGTGTGTGTGTGCGCGCGAGATGGAGGGGGGTGGGGGGGCTCTTGATTGCTGCCATTCAATTGGTTGTACCAAACTTACCCGGGTTTGTCCCGTGACATCCATTGATGAAGCCATTACCTCTGCACCCGCAGCTCCCCCGCCGTCTGTCCCTGTGACCTGCCATCGGCGAGTTGAATTTTAATTCCGTAAGCACTGCCCGCGGAGCCCGCTTATGGATTCGCGTCTGCGTGGGCGACAAATTGACATCGATTTCGTTTTCCAGCGGCCGAGGTCGTTCACCGCAAAAGTCGACGGGAGTCGTTTGTTTTGATCGGAAATTAGGCCAATTTATTCCTGCGCCGGCTCCAGCAGGCATGGGAAATGTATTTTTGTTGTTGTTCAACTGAAAGTGCAGCGCTCCTCGTGTCCGACCGGCGTTGCGGCGGCGCTGCTTCTACAAGGAGATGATAGATTATTCCTAATTGGCAATTAGCGGCGCGTGTGTGCGCGGGGCGCGTGGATTGGTGCTTTCCAGGGACGGGCCGTCCGAGCGACCGGCTGGCGCTGGTTTGCGGGGCTCGCAGTGCCGCAGGCTGCCCGGAGGGCGCCGGCCTCAATGTCACCGCGCCCGGAGTCGCGTGCACTGCTCGTCCGTTTATGTTCCCAGCGCAGATGGGACATGGAGCCTGTGGGTGGGTGGAGTTGGCTGCAGCCGAGACACAGCCTGGCCGGTCGTGCTGGGCCTCAATTGGTCCTTGGTAATGGTACGAGCGAGGAGGGGAGCAGAAGTGTCGTGGGTTAGCGCACTGAGTTATGAACGTGGCGACCCGAGTTTGATTGTCATTCGTGGCTAACATCACAGGCGACTAGCCTAACCGGTCCTGGGCCTCCCCTAGGTTGACTCGGATTCCTCCAGTATTAATAAATATTCGGATTCCGACTCGGTGTTAAACGATGGTGCAGTGTGTGAACATCAGCACTGATTAGACAAAGGTGGCCAGGCGTAGTGCTGGTCACCCCCACTCCCCAGCCCCCCACCCCATTGTGTGCTCTACCGGCCTTCATTGGTGCTCGCGTCCAACACGTGCCTCCCAACAATCTGTTCAAGGCAACATGGGGGATGTTTGTCTCTGTCTGCAGGGGTGTGTGGGTGTTTCGGGGCGTTTCGCCCACGCTACAAGGTCCTTGTGGACAGCATCTACCCTATAAACCCACAGGTAAGAGGTCATCATCATCCATGGATCATCGGTCATTGGCGAGAGACCTGATCATCCGTCAATCATCAGTCAATATTAATCATGATCATCAATCGCCGTCGTCTTTCTAAATACTTAGAGCTTGAACACAATTGTTGTATCCGTTTTCCCAGCACTCGTTGGGATGACGTTCAAAATACTTACAACGACCCAGATTATTTGAATTCTTTGTTCATCCTTTAATTTCAATTTACTACGTACAGATTATTGTAAATTCGTGCTGGGATTTGATGATTAATTTTTAAGTCAGTGTTTTCATGCCATAACTCGCACAAATAATTTTCTCGTTATTTGTCGAAATTTCACTTGATTTATTTTTAATAAACTCGTTAGTGCTTGGAAAATATTCATATATTTACGTTGTGTAGGTTAGTTATTTAGGAGGTGGTACCTAGGACCTCCAAGCAGAACGAAATTAACTGCAGTTATGCATGCATACCTTTATGAAGACATCCGAAATGAAAATTTGAAACATGGAAATTCTCAATTCCGTTTTTGCGCGTGATGGCACCAATTTGTTCACGATCTAAATGCCAATGTCGAGCTCTGCTGGCCATGACGAGAGTGATTCAGGGGAGAGTTCGTGTAGATTTGCTGTTCCTCCTCCTCCGTTGAAGGAGCGCAGACTGCAATGGTTTACGATACGCTGCATAGTTTGAGTTGCATGGCCACACTGTGGCTTTTCTTGCATTTTCCTTTTATCAATAATTATCAATGAACTGTCGCATAGTTAAATTATAGATTTGGATTTAAAATTACGCTGCGATGTGAGTACATCCCAACAAATCTGCATGACGATTTGTGAAATCTGGTAGATGAACATTACACGACGATTCACACTTCCCTGTCTCCCAGTGGCCACACTCTCCGTGGGTTTAGTGACGACCAGAATTGACGCTCGCAGCAACAACATTAAGTGTCGGTGACATCACCACGGCACTTGTGCCTAGCTCGTTGCACTGCGAGGGCACTGCACCTTGCTAGGTGATTAGCACAGTTGGCTACATACAGTGCGATGGGAGTTCAACATCCATACATGCGTTGACGCTCGCTCATGCACGCACGAACGGTGACGTGCGCGCGTGTCATGTGCAGGATGGCCTGGTAAAGCCGAGCATGGAGAGGCTGACGTTCTACGCCGTGTCGGCGCCCGAGAAGCTGGACCGCATCGGCTCGTACCTGTCTGCCAGGCTCAGCCGCGACGTGGCCCGGCGAAGACACGAGTGAGTGTTCGCGCGTGAGTGGCACGTGGCCAATCGCTTGCCGGTGTGTCGCTGGTGGGTGGCTGCGGCACACTTGAGCAGCGGGCCCATCCTCTCTCCCCGTGTGTGCGGGTGACATTGGTTGGCCTCCCGGTGGCTCATCTGTCTTTGGCGACAGGGCGATTGATAAACATGCAGGCATGTTGGAGGCGTATCAATTAGTTGATTAAAATTAATTGTTACCAGGGCGGCAGCTCGCCCCCCCCTGCTGTCCTTCCCACCCCGACCCCGCAGTCACCTCTGCCTTGACCTCGCACTCACCTCTAACGGTGCTCTCGCAGGTATGTCGTCATCTCCATGGAGGCCCTTGACAAGCTGCTCATGGCGTGCCACTCGCAGTGCATCAACCACTTTGTGGAGAGCTTCCTCAAGATGGTGCAGAAGCTCCTCGAGTCCAACGAGCCACAGCTGCAGATCCTGGGAACCAACTCGGTATGATGCCAACCCTGCCCTGTGACGTGCGAGATGGGCAGGGTGGTTGTGAGCTGAGGACTGAGCCTGAGAGAGTGCGAGCTCTCGGTGCGATTGATGTATGTGTGTACGTTGAACTTCTTTCGCACCGTACGTAGACAACCACGCTAATCAGATTGATGCTCGGACGCTAAGCGCGGAGTTCATTGCATGGCAGTGACAACTGATATCTTCAATTACATCAGAGCTCAAATGGAATTCAAATACTGTACCAAAATTACCTGGGAACAATGTGAGACCATCGTCTCGCTACATTCGAGAACTCTGGTTAACCACGGTGGGCTGTCCAGATTTAGGATACCAACTCGTGGGCTAAGCCCTCTGACCCTGGGCCACCCGGCCACTTCGCTTGGTGCCATTTAGATCCGCGAAACTTCTCACATGGTTAACGGTAAACACGCAAACCCAATACCAACAACTATTAATTCGTGGAAACGCACATCTCCCAATACATTAAATTTCCTATCCCGCAATCAATAGCTATTAATTTCTTATATAGTGTCGTTTATTTATTTAAATTGATTGTGGCCCTTAACTAAATATAAAACGATTAATTTAGAGTGGTGTCTTTTTATAGCTGGAAGCTCAGCTATTAGGAGTCGTTTATCTGATTTTCTGAAATCAGTTTAGTGCGCATGCTGCAGCAGATGAAGTCAAACAGTACGATGTGTTTAATGTTTTATTTATAGCCCCAATTTAATTAAAAATGAAAATTCTTACATCATACAAGTGTAGTGAGTCCAATTGAGTCGCAGACATTATCTTGGGAGCAACACGATTTATTACGCAACTCTAACACAACATAACACAACCTACGCTCGGGTCTCGAATGCCCATCTAACCCCACTACGGCAGAACTAGACATGGTTCACTATCCCGGCCCGGACCACAAGCTGGGTCCCGGACCGCGTGGCTAGAGGCTTCTTCTGCCCGACGTGGATCTTCGTAACACCAACACACAAAGAACCGCGAGCCCCTCACGGGGCCCCCGTTAGATGCCCCTGGGCTGGGGGCTGGCTCCGCCATTCACCATTCTCTCCTCCGGCCGCTATGTGCAGGAATTCCACACATCTCCCCCTCTGCCCCAACCCCCCCGCCTCCCCCCTCTCTCTATTTAAAGCCTCGACAAAGAGACGTTGTCTTTTTGTGTGTGTGTCTCTCTCTGTTTGTCTCTGTGTGAGTCCCTCTCTGCTTGTGTGTTTGTGTGTCTCCGTGTCTATGTTTTGTCTCTCTCTCAAATTGAGCAATCTTTGGAAGAACGTGATCAACCAGGAAGGGTGTTGACTGTTATGTTAGCCAACTCTCTCTGTTGTATTGAATTATGTTTGCAAGTTTGCTAGGTTTGTTTTCTCATTGATTTGTACCTGATTATGGTTGCTTGTGTTGCAATCGAAACGTCGTATCATATTATTTAGTTTAATTTCTTTCTACGTGACTTTACCGAAAGAACCAAAGAGTAAGACTTGGTAAGGCGTTTTTGGGTAAACAAGTCTAATAATAATCCATAATTTAACATCGTCGCCATCATCGGTCGCTTATCCGTTAGAGTCGTGGTTGTGCCGGCGATTCCTTACAATTAACCCTCTCCTCAAGCTCTCATGGTTTTTGGTGACCAGCGCAGCAACATCTGCCACTGATCTCCCTGTTCCAGATGCTACGTTCATCATCATTATCCCGATGGTCCTTGGCCGGCCTCTCATTCTCGTCCCGCCAACTGGGTCCAGATAGCTAATGCTGGAAAGCCCCTCTGGTGTTCAAGTCCAAAATAACCATTCTGTAAATGTTACCTCATCTCCAGAGTCGTTGTGGACATATGCACATTAATATAATTTCTTAAATTGTGACTTAGCAATGTTGCCAGTTGGGCTAGAAGTTGTCTTTTTTTGTTGAGTTAGTCAGAGTGCAAAAATGGCAATCTGTCGTAAAAACATCAACCATCGGGACCATATTAGTTCAGTGAATTCCTGCATCATAAGACCGCCACAATCCATCGTTCAAAGGTTAGGATACAATTTTGCCTCTCGCTTTTTACTTCTGCCTCGGCAGCCGAAGAATTGTTGTAACAGAGGGGCTGCGTTCGTATTTGGGTGACGCAGGCGACTCAGCGGAGCGAACAGCGGCGCGCTGTTGAATGTGGCTGCGGCGTTATGAATGGACCGGTGCAGCGAGTTCCTTTAACCGCAGCGAGAGACGCTGCAAGCAACAAGTAACAGCGAGTAGCTTCTAAAAACAATGTGCACCGCCCTGTGCTGAGGCGCAGCTGTGGGTGATGTGTCACCGCGGTCGTCGTCATCGCTGTCGCGTTTTCTAATTTCTGATATTGCACCAATGTTCCCAACCGGGTGAGAAGACATCACATTGGCACTACGGTTGCGAGATGTTAGCTACCTCGGCCGTTATACAGGAGCCTATGAGTTCGATCCCAACCCTGACACCTGCATATTTGGAGTTTGTGTGTCTCTCTCTCCGTGGTCGCGTGGATTTTTCTCCGGGTCCTTCAGTTTTTCCCTCCACGTTGAGAATCAACATCACGCGTTTAGAGGAAATTTTACTACTGCTGTAAATCTCCACGTGATAAGCCACTTCGTTCAGCTAGCATTTGTGGAGAGGTCGCTTCTGAAAAAGAGCTACAGTGAGGGAAAAAAGTATTTGATCCCCTGCTGATTTTGTACGTTTGTCCACTGACAAAGAAATAATCAGTCTATAATTTTAATGGTAGGTTTATTTGAACAGTGAAATACAGAATAACAACAAAAAAATCCAGAAAAACGCATGTCAAAAATTGTATAAATTTCTTTGCATTTTAACGAGGGAAATAAGTATTTGACCCCTCTGCAAAACATGACTTAGTACTTGGTGGCAAAACCCTTGTTGGCAATCACAGAGGTCAGACGTTTCTTGTAGTTGGCCACCAGGTTTGCACACATCTCAGGAGGGATTTTGTCCCACTCCTCTTTGCAGATCTTCTCCAAGTCATTAAGGTTTCGAGGCTGACGTTTGGCAACTCGAACCTTCAGCTCCCTCCACAGATTTTCTATGGGATTAAGGTCTGGAGACTGGCTAGACCACTCCAGGACCTTAATGTGCTTCTTCTTGAGCCACTCCTTTGTTACCTTGGCCGTGTCTTTTGGGTCATTGTCATGCTGGAATACCCATCCACGACCCATTTTCAATGCCCTGGCTGAGGGAAGGAGGTTCTCACCCAAGATTTGACGGTACATGGCCCTGTCCATCGTCCCTTTGATGCGGTGAAGTTGTCTTGTCCCCTTAGCAGAAACACACCCCCAAAGCATAATGTTTCCACCTCAATGTTTGACAGTGGGGATGGTGTTCTTGGTGTCATAGGCAGCATTCCTCCTCCCCCAAACACGGCGAGTTGAGTTGATGCCAAAGAGCTCCATTTTGGTCTCATTTGACCACAACACTTTCACCCAGTTGTCCTCTGAATCATTCAGATGTTAATTGGCAAACTTCAGACGGGCATGTATATGTGCTTTCTTGAGCAGGGGGACCTTGCGGGCGCTGCAGGATATCAGTCCTTCACGGCGTAGTGTGTTACCAATTGTTTTCTTAGTGACTGGTCCCAGTTGCCTTGAGATCATTGACAAGATCCTCCCGTGTAGTTCTGGGCTGATTCCTCACCGTTCTCATGATCATTGCAACTCCACGAGGTGAGATCTTGCATGGAGCCCCAGGCCGAGGGAGATTGACAGTTCTTTTGTCTTTCTTCCATTTGCGAATAATCGCACCAACTGTTGTCACCTTCTCACCAAGCTGCTTGGCAATGGTCATGTAGCCCATTCCAGCCTTGTGTAGGTCTACAATCTTGTCCCTGACATCCTTGGAGAGCTCTTTGGTCTTGGCCATGGTGGAGAGTTTGGAATCTGATTGATTGATTGCTTCTGTGGACAGGTGTCTTTTATACAGGTAACAAGCTGAGATTAGGAGCACTCCCTTTAAGAGTGTGCTCCTAATCTCAGCTTGTTACTTGTACAAAAGACACCTGGGAGCCAGAAATCTTTCTGATTGAGAGGGGGTCAAATACTTATTTCCCTCATTAAAATGCAAATCAATTTATAACATTTTTGACATGCGTTTTTCTGGATTTTCTTGTTGTTATTCTGTCTCTCACTGTTCAAATAAACCTACCATTAAAATTATAGACTGATCATTTCTTTGTCAGTGGGCAAACGTACAAAATCAGCAGGGGATCAAATACTTTTTTCCCTCACTGTACACAGCTCAGTGGGCCTTACATGGTAAAAAAAAAAAACGTTTTAATGTTTTCGACAAACGCAGTAAAACCGAATAACACATCGAGAGCTGTGCACCACAACTGCGAAAACTAGCGCAGTGTTGCGGTCACTTGCAATTTCAATTTGTGCAGTCGCTCGTGATCAAGCCAAGACCATTAAATAAACTCACCACAACTCATGGAATTTCGGCTGAAGCCCAGAACTGTGGCTCTGGATCATTGCTCTGACAAGGTCGTTATGAGCATTCTCACATTCATGATTTCCAAGCGGTGATTAATTTTTTGTGAAATTAAATTACCCACACAATTTGGTTCTCAAACTCAACTTTTATATTGATACGCTCACTGACTTTTCCGATGGGACGTGTGTGATTGTGAATGTGCACACGTGCGTGTGCTGTGTGTGTGCATGTGTCTAAGTCTGCTTGTATTTGGGGAGCGGCAGCGCAGTGATCAGCGCACTACGCTACAAACCCGGCGACCCGAGTTCAATTTCCGCTCGGGGCCAATAACAGTGGCGTATAGTTGAACCATCTTCCCGAGATCGGTCCTGGACCTTCCCTAGATCGACTCGGCGTTAAATTAGTACCTGGTGAGGTGTGTAAACATCATCATTGGGGAGACGAAGGCAGCTGGGTGTGGTGTTGGCCACCCTCTCCCTCATGTGCCGTGCTGACCTAATTGGCTGCTCGCTAACAGAACTTGCCCTAACAGTCTGTTAAAGGTTACGGTATATGGGGGAACTTTGTCTTTGTGTGTGTGTGCGCGTGTACGTTTGTGGCTGCGTCTTTGTTTGTATGTGTACTCGTGTGTCAGCGTGTTTGTGTGGATATTCGTGTGTACCACAATGTACGTGTGAATGTGTAGTAAATGTTTGTTTACACACGTGCATTTGACTGTATATTCTTCCTGTGAACACCATGTTGGTGTTGAGTGAATGTGTGTGTGTGTAGAGGTACGCATGTTGTGTCCGTGTGCGCGCGTGTGAAGAACTTAATCAGCAAATTGGCTTCCCAGAGTTATTGTTTGCTGTCGTTATAACCCAAGGCGGTCTCTGCATGTCTTGTCTCCTATAATTGCACCGTGTCATCGCGTGCATTAAAATAAATCCTGCGCGTGTGTTTTTTTCAATTCTGTCAAGTGGTTTCTGTTCCGCATCGATCTCTCTGCGTTCGCTTCGCACCGCCTCTCAAACGCGCCCCTTCACCCCGTTTGCATGGAGCACCGAGGTCATTCCCTTCTCCCGATTTCTACACAACGTGTGCGAAGGTTGTAACGAAAGGTGGGAGACGTCCGCTGCTCTCAATGCAGCGTTACATTTTAATGCGGTGGTGCAGAGAAGGCAGCCACTCCGTGGTACGCTCGCATGTGCATGCGTGACGCTTTGCCATTTGGGAAATCTGGTTTCAGAGGTTGACGGCTCGCAGAGTAAACTGAACGCAAGATGCTGTGTGCTCGGCGCTGCGGCCATGAGGAATAATAATTCCGTTTGTGTGCAGGAGTGGGACGATTGCGGTGTTTAGGACCACGAATTGACGGCGACGGCATGGGGGAGGAGGGCCTTAGTCCAGCTATGGACAGGCCATGTATATGTTCTGCTGATGGCGATATTGACGATTGAGTATTTTGAATGAATACGGATTGATGGGCATGGAGCAATCCGTACAAGCTGCAATTCGATGAATTGTGTAAAATTCCGAGGTGATGATTTTTGTGCTTCATGTTTGTAAGGCCAGTCTCGAATGTTTCATCTCGTTCACACGGTCACGATTAATTGACTCTCGTTTGTCATGTCCACTTTTGTTGAGTGCTACGTCATATATATACTCTGACGTCATATGAAGCATTTCCAGCACGTTTGGGGTTCGGTTTTTTGCTTTTAATGATTGATTCGTGAGAGGGTTAAGTTAGAGGTCATGCTTACACATCATTTGCATACAACTTGGACATCATCACAGTGATTCAACGAAAGTATCGGCACAAGTGGACCGTTTAAGAGGCCTACCGGCCAACGCGTTGCAGATTGTCATTTCGTTCGTGATTGTTCTCACGAGCGCCGTGTGCCCCCCCTCCCGCCTCCCCCTCTCTCCCTCCTGCCTCTGGCGGAGCTTGCTCGCAGTTTGTGAAGTTTGCGAACATCGAGGAGGACACCCCCTCGTACCACCGCCAGTACGACTTCCTCGTCTCCAAGTTCAGCGCCATGTGCCACTCGAACATCGAAGACCCCACCACTTGCACCGAGTGAGTAAGGGCGTGGACCATGTGCTTGAATGTGGGGTGGTGAACTGGCACGGGAAGAGCAGGTTCTGTGTTTGCCAGGTGATGAAGGAATTGATGAGCCCTCCCGCTCGGGTCGCCAATTTATCGGCATGCTCAGCGTGCACTTTGAGCTAAGTAATTAGCGGAGGAGGAACCACTGATATTCATTAAGACCGTGGGCGTTGTATTCAGATCAATTGCAGGGCTTAGTTCTATCAGGAAATTAACCAGTGGACCGTGCCAGACCCAGCCCAAGTTTAATAAGGAACCCGCTCCCACATAATTGGGATGCTTGGAGAGAGACCACAGCAGAAGGATGCCAGCCATGGCAAGCTGTGCCCACCATCCAGCTGGCATTGGAGAGAGGAACTGATCACGGGGAACAGCCAGGCTTCATGTTTGGTCGTCTGGTCGAGGAGCAGAGACAAGCGAGCTCAGGAAAGGATGTTTCAGCAGTGGGGAGCTGTTGTATATGTGGTGAGTGTAAATTTGATGAAAATAATACAAATTAAATGACATTTTAGAATTGCATAATTTATCCCAAATTATGTTGATTTGTGTAATTATGCGTATAAATTATGCTAATTCGATGGATAATCGTATTAATTTATACGAGTGGGTGTGGTTATGTTAGTGACAGCCTTTATGATAATCAGACCCCACCTCGTTGGCGAGGGTCGGTTATCAATCGGGATAATACAATTAATTGTATGCAGTTATGCTCGTGTGATGTGGTATGCCAGAGTCAACTCGGCTTCGCTGTTTGACTTCGTATTATCGATCAGTATAGTACAATTATTCTTGCTTTAACGTTTATTGAGTGGATTAGTGTGTTTATATTTTAGGTCACCAAGTTCATATCTCAACACAGAACCAGTTCTTATGCATAGATTTCAGGAAAGAATCACACGACCACTTCTGCATTGATCAATTTATTTCTCATGAAACCTTAACTCTAAAAGATACAACTCTCGGCTTGGAATTACAACACAGTATCAACACAGTCTCATCAATGACTGGGTTGTTTCACTTTGACAACAGCACCTGTGGTTAATTCCGCCGCGTAACGCGAGCTCTGTTGGAGAGAGAGAGTCGTAACACATTCATATGCTAATCTAAATAAAAACCTTAACTTTATAATAAATGATTATACTTAAATTGTTCACGCAGTACCGCACTCATTATTGATCATATGCAACCCTTATCACGTTGTTAGCACATTGGGTCACGGAACGTCAGAGTATTCTGTAGAGTACGCGAGTATGTGCGGCGATCAGTAACGAAAGGTACTTAAAGATCATATGACGATATTCATACGAAAAGGCGATCAAAACAGTTATTATTCCCAAAGGCACAAATATATCAACAGATCCATTGGACAGATATGATTACCGAAATGGCTTAGAGTGAGGGTGTGCGGTGGGGACCGCTCTCTCCCCTGATATCCTTATCTTGGGCCAACGTTTAATTAATTATGGACCAGTTTTCCTGATAAAGAAGCCAGTTGGATACGCTATTCCCCCACGTGAGCGTAGCTCCGTGGCGAAGGGGTCAAGGATTAATTCGTATTGATGGATCGTTTGGTAATTTATGCGATTAGAAGTACAGCCCAAAACAAAATATTAAGGAGGAAAATTACGAATATACTTATAAACGACAGACTGTTATCACCCGATCTGTAGCGATGCTTCCATGGCCACAGATGGTTCACGTTTTGGGATTGGCTTTTGGTTCCTGACTCGTGTATGGTGAGGGATATAAATTGTGTTGAATAGTCAGTGTTCGGAGTTGATTCTTTGTGTCAAACAGACGCCTGGTTTGTCGTGTGGTGGGGGGCAGTGCGCGTCATACGTATCAGTCGATTCTTCTGTCACCGTGGTTGATTCGGTTCGGCTGACATAGGTTGGCGAGCCGACACGCTGTTGTAGTTGCGGTGGCCCGTCTGTAGATGGCGCACGCAGCTCGCTGGTAGCGTGCGGTGGTGTCGCTGGCTGTTGACACCGGTTGTTGTAGTTGCGATGACCTGTCGGTAGATGGCGCACGCAGCTCGCTGGTAGCGTGCGGTGGTGTCGCTGGCTGTTGATGCACGTTCGTTGCAATGCTACTTTTGATGATGCCGACTCGCACCACGTAGCCTCGTCGCTAAACAGCGACCCTCGCCACTCCGGCGGACGGCAGAGACCTCCTCCGCGTCGGCAGAGGCCGATCCCACGCAGGGATGAGCCGAGCTGGCAAGCTCAGCTGAGCTGATGAGCTCCTTGCCGATGAGCTGAGCTGGTGAACTCAGCTAATGAGCTGAGCTCCGCTGATGCTGAGCCCCGATGAGTTGATGAACTCAGCTGATGAGCTCAGCTGAGCTACCATCAGGAGCTCAGCTGAGCTCCGGACGAACTCGGCTGAGTTCCTGACGAATTGTGTCGCGAAGTGGCGCGCACCGATGAGCTCCCCCGATGAGCTGAGTTGAGCTGGCAAGCGGGTCTTGCCCGCTTGCTGACAAGCTGAGGATTAAATGCTGCAGTGCCCTCTTTTATGCCAAAATCCCTCCTCTTGGCTCCTCCCCACAAGGCGGAGCTTCTTTTGATTTAGCTGTGTGTCGTGGTCTGGAGTGTGTGTCCGTATGTGTGTCCGTTCGTATGTGTGTCCTTGTGTGCGTCATTTACGGCACAGCTCTGTTGCCCTCCTCTTTCCACAAACCATAACAACAGGTGTTACAAATCGTCTCGCAGGCATCTCTGTCTGTGTTGCACAACCTGGAGGGAGGGGCGATATTCCCTCCGGTGCGACCTTCACCGACGCACAAAGAAATGGTTAAGGTTTTTAAAGTTAACATTTTATTCCACCATAGTCTTACGGTTATGATTCTGTATGTGGCTCGAGGTCGGTTGTGTTAGTTTCCCATCGTGGTGTTTGATTTTATGTCAAGGGAAGGTGCTCCCGTAAGCGTAAGCATATTCTTATCATGGGCTGCAGGAAGACAAAGGCGGCAGGGAGACTCTCTTTTTCCCGGGCCCCCGGTTTAACATCGCTTGAGTATCATGTAGTTTATGTTTAACAAGGTTGTGTAAGCGGAATATAGTTTACGGTGAATAGCGTTAACGTTAATGTTATGTATGAATGTATTGCGATTTCTTTAACTCAAGACCTGTTTGACTGAGTTTTGCTGACACGCTCATGCCAAGGAATTTCACGGCATCTCTCTCTCTGCTCCCTCCTCTCGGCTTGCCCGTGTGGTGTGTTATCCTAGCTGCGGTGGGGGGGAGCGTTATCTACGTTTTCCCAGCCTTGTGAACGCTGGTGCTGAAATAATTGCTTGGCGTCTGTCCGCTCTCTCACACTACGATTTAGACAAAGGCTCCTCTGCTTCTCTTCCTTTGCCCTTGAGTCAACACTGCCCTATTATTCGCCTATGTCCTGAGGTTAGAGAATTCGTTTTGACTTTAGTAAAAATTCTGTGTTTGTCATACGCTTTGGTCAGGTTGTACAGAAACTTACTAAAGATGCATTAACATTCAGTGTTGGATTAGCAAATGGGCAATGGTTCATTGATGTAGCTCGCAGCCTGGTCTCCAATTGGAGCGAGCGCGAGGATCGATCATTTTAGCCTACTCCTGTTGTTGAATTTCGAACTTTAACGTTACTTTAAAAGCAGTGCAGGAGCTTTTTGACTTAACTATGTCTGTGGCTAACGCGGACTATCTCGCTGTCTCTCTCAGTCTCTGCCTGCACGGGTGACGTGTGCGTCATTCATTAGGCCTTATCTCTCCCTTGAGCAAGGTTGCGATAATTCCGCCATCCTGGCCCTCCTTCAGTTCTCATTACTTATCAACACCTGGATGTTTTGCTGGTGCTGACGTTGCGTGTTTTCTTTATTTATTTCTCTAAAGAAAATATATATGTATCGGCAAATTTCTTGTTAATATCAATTTTGGAGAAAGGCGCATATCCAACAGAGCGCAAGGAGGCCGCCTCTGGCGCCTTCATGCGGTGGGAAGGAGCGGTGAATGCTTTGCAGCTTAGCCCCCAGAAACTCGTGCCGTGAACAGTCCGACATTGTGCTGCCGAGTGTGGTAATTGTGCCGAGTGTGGTAATTGTGCCGGGTGTGGTAATTGTGCCGAGTGTGGTAATTGTGTCGAGTGTGGTAATTGTGCCGAGTGTGGTAATTATGCCAACTGTGGCTGAGAAGTGGTGGTCTGGGATGGCTGTGTTCTGCATCTCGAGAAGATATAAGTCGCGGCGAGGCGGCTTCAGGTTGCCTGAGACGCCACATCGAGCGCTCAATTGCGGTGAGGTGGCATAAGGCGACCTGAGCAAATGAGCTCGAACCCAAATTGTGTTGTGATGGCGAGGAGTGCCTTCGACTAGAGTGCAGAGGGGTGACCCGTCGGGTCATTGTGAGCACCCAGGGTGGTCTAAGAAGGCGTTGATTAAAGGGGTGTTGGGAGCCCAGGGACAGGGGTCGGCAAGCTGCAGCGCCGGAGCCGCGTACGGCTCTTTGAGGACCGCTTTGTGACGTTGTTTATTAAGGACCACCGTCTCGTATTCACCACGTGCATTGCTGTTCTTGACATGTTGAGTTTTTCCTTTACCAAATACAACAAAAATTAAATGGCTGCTCTTGTTATTTTGGTTGCCGACTTCTGCACTAGGGGGGTCACAACAACTTCCAAAACCCTGATGAAGAGCCGGGGGCAGGATAACAGCACGAAAATCATTGTGACTGGCGGATAGTGGGAACATCCCCATATACGGAAGGTTAGGCATAACAGCCTTAATGCCCAACGGTGGCTAAGAGAGAAAATGAGTTCGGGAATGTGCAAGGACAAAGGTTGTGTGTGTGTTTGATTGTGTGACTGACTGAAGCGTGGAGGGCGACTTGCCTACAATTAAAGACAGTCGCCCCTCATAATGCGTCGCCTCAGGTTAAAAGTTGCCTCACGCCTGCATCACTTAACCCACCGTATGAGCAGTCGGGACGCTGGCTCACCGAACTACATCATCGTGACGCTGGCAATGGTTTATATAGTTATTGCTGCGCCACACCCTACACCGTCACCAGTGGCATTTGGAATGTGAACATGGTCGTCTGTGCCTTGCTTCGGTTGTGTCGGCCTCAAATGCCTTACCTGGGTGTATTGCGTGAACTTGTTGCGCGCCGTGCCGGCCTTAAAGAGCCGCTCGCTAGCAGCACTTGCCCGAACAGTGTGTTAAGGCGATACTTGGGTGTGGGGAATCTGTGTCTTTGTCGCGTGTCAGCATCCGCATGTCAGGCCTGAAGGGGCTGCAGGGCGTTGTGCGCAAGACCGTGAAGGACGAGCTTCAGGCCAACATCTGGGAACCCCAGCACATGGATAAGATCGTGCCCTCGCTGCTCTTCAACATGCAGCACGCGGACAGCTCGGAAGGGTGCGCGTGGTTTGTCGTCACCTCCGCCCGCACCTCCGATCGGCGTGGTTGGCCGCGCACGGTGCAAAATAACTTCGACGTGCGTCCGCACGGAGAGCGGCGGCCGATCCGGCGCAAGTAACACGGCCACCGCTTTGCGCACACGTCCGGTGTGTGCAAAGCGGTGGCACTCTCGTGCCTCGTGTAGGTACAAGGGGACGTGGTTCGGTTCCCGCCTCTGGCGCCTCTGCGTGTGGATTTTGTGTTCTTCTCCCTCCGTTCTGCGTGCGTTTCCCTCCGCGTTCGCCGGTTTGCTGCCAATGCCTAAAAAAAGAACAGAGCCACACAGTGTCACTGGTAGTGGGGAGACGTCCCACTGCTCGAAAATTGCCTGCGCAATGGCTCATTAGGAATCGCACACAGCAGCAACATTGCCCCCTTACCGTTCATGAGACCGACCGCATTAATAAACGTGTTGGGAAAACCCACGCATGCATTTGCATTCGGAAGTATTTAACGAGCAGTGTGGGTGAAAACAATTTTGCACAATAGGTAGCCGTCTTTAGGAAATGCGTTTCATGATTTGCAAATTGTCCTTTTTGCGCTGGTTTGCGTCTCTAAGTTATCGGCAACCCCCTTTGATCAATTCTTCCAGTTTTTTCCAGAGTGTAAGTCCCCAACAGCCTACGCAACTTCAAACAAAAGTTTTGTTCAATTTGGGTCAGGTTTACAATAGCTATAGTGCGGCGCCCCCCCCCCCCCCCCCCCCCCCGTTACGGACTGACGGATTAAGTTAGTGTATAAATGCTTTTAACCCGATTCATCATAAAAAAATTGGTCTTCTGTGGTGTAAATGTGTCATAAACCCACCTCCACTCAACTAGTAAGGTTTGTCACGTGAACAACATGTGCAAATTGCTGTAAACTCTCGATTATCTGCGCTAATGTACAGGAAGGATGGCCGCGGATAATAAAAAAAAATCCATTTTCTGGGGATCTCTGTGCCAAAAACCACGAATATAGGTATACATTATTGTTTAGGTTAAGAATATTGAGTTTGTTAATGAACAAAACTATATATTTTTAGTCGTGACTGATCAATGCGCGTGCTCAGTGATAACACTTTCCTGGTCCCGCACAGAAGACTGGGCCCACTTAGTGGATGATAGCAGAGCCACGCCAATCAAGATCAATCAAACTCCACCCACTGTTGTAAAGATATGCAACTACTCTCCTGTAGAGGCGATCGCGTGGATTTCGGATTAACCGGCGCAACATATTTGTCGGGTTTAAGAACGTGACTTCGAATAAACATTTCCAAGAATAATGATGTTTAACTGTATTCGGAATATTAATCTGGGCCTCTCCGTGCGTCCGGCAGTCAGACCCCGGGCTCGCCGGCGCCCATGGAGCAGGAGAAGCCGGAGAGCCTCGCCGAGAGCTGCCTTCGCGAGCTGCTGTCCCGCGCCGCCTACGGAAACATCGACAGCATCATCCGGCCCGTGCTGATGTGAGCGCTCCACCCCATTGGGTATCCGCCCTGCTGCTGCTGCTGCTTCTGCTGCTGCTGCTGCTCCAGCGCTGGGCCAGCAGCACCTTTGTGGGCTCCTGAGTTCAGGCCCTAAGGCTGGGTGGTTTTTTTTTTTTTGGTTTTGTCAAGGGGGGGCTGATGTCTGTGTCGGAGCACTTGAACTGCACCTCTTACTTTTAATGGTTAAACCTGGGAGGTTGCTCGCATCTCAGGGCTTACGTCTGCATCGTGATGCTGTGCAGCCACTTTTGAGATCCGTAGTTCAAGGCCCCAGAGTTTGATGTCCGTTTTGGAACGCTCTGTCGGGGCATCAAGCCGGCACGTGTAGACACGTGCCACCACATCAAGCTCAGACTTCTAGGATTCTTCGGTGGCATTCCCCGAGACTGATGGGACCAGACGAAGGCAAAACGTAGATATACAATTTTTACCGAATTGTGGGAGAAGCGGCTCAAGCCGTGCCTTCATGGTTGCCTTATTGTCTACGTCGGACACTTGAGGGCACAGCGGCCTCTGTGCCCGCTCGCCCATCAACACGCAACACGCATGTCGCATGCGTGTTGTGTGTGTAAGAGCGGTGGCGCAGTGGTTGGCAACCCGGATTCGATTCCCGCTCACGGTCAACACCACCGACGATTACCTGAACTGGTCCTGAACCCTCCCCTAGGTCGACTCGGCCTCATATGAGTACCTCATACGGTGTGTAAGCATCGCCACTGGGAAGACAAAGGCGACCGGGTATGGTATCACCCACCTCGTGCGCCGTGCTGGCCTTCATAGACGCTCATGAACAGCACTTGTCCCCACAGTCTGTTAAGGCTATACGGGGAATCTTTGTCTTTGTTGTGCATCGCAGGCACCTGGACGGTCACTCCCTGTGGGATCCCAACACCTTCGCCGTCCGCTGCTTCAAGATCATCATGTACTCCGTCCAGGTGCCCGCCCGCACCTCACACTTCGCCGAGCGGTGATTGTCCCGCCGAGTTTGTGAGCGTGACTCAGCGGCCGTCGCGACGCGCGTGAATTGCATTTTGTATTTCCTGCAGCGGGGGGTACAAAGCCCAGGGTTTGTCAGCTGCTCTGAGCAAGTGGGGGTCTGGTGGTGGCTGCCCTGGCGGGGGCCGCTCTGGCGGTAGCCGCACTAGCGCTGGCGATCATCTGAACCGGTCCTGGGCCTCTCCTAGGTCGACTCGGCCTCAAATGAGTACCTGGTGCGACGTGTAAAAACATTGCTACTAGGGAGGCAAATTTGGCCGGGCGTGGTGGTGGCCACCCACCCTGTCGCGTACTGTGCCGGTCTTCATCGGTGTGCACTAACAGCACTTGCCCCAACAGCGTTACAGGCGCCATGAGGGTTCTTTGTTTTTGTGTTTATATATGCAGACCGATCCATTTGCAGATTCCCCATTAACATAAAAGTGAGAAACTGCAGCGAAAATATATATAGTTTTTCACTTGAACTTATACAATTTATATGTACTGCATATAATATTGGAGGCATGGTATATACCTATATGTGATATTTTAAACCAATGCACTTATTTATTATCAGTTCCTCTAAGAAGAAAGTAAGAGGGGGTCATTAGAAGTCGGTAAGGTATCGACAAATGACTCAATCCTGCGTACACTTGTGTGCACCTGCGGGGCACCTATAAACGGCTCACTAATTTGTATTATTGCGTGTCGTCCCCATCTCAGAACCAGCATGCCCACATGGTCCTGCAGAAGCTGCTGGGCCACCTGGACACGCACAGCAAGGCCAGGGCGACCGTGCGCGCCGGGGTGGTGCAGGTGCTGTCCGAGACGGTCTCCATCGCCACGGGGGGCTCCATCGGTCAGCGGATTGTCTTCCTCCGCGCAACGCACCCTTCACTCTGCTGAGCGCAATCGTTAAATCGCCTTCGCTGTTGCCAGTCGTCGTTTCGAGCTTCGCTCGCGCGAGCGTGCAGTTGATGCGACCGTCCTTCCCCCGCACCTCCGATTAGCACGGTTGGCTACGTACGGTGCGAAAGAAGTTCAACGTGCATTCGTGTGCTGTTGGTTGTCAGCGCTCGATATTATTAAGCGAGCTGGCGTGCGATCGGTGGTTTGATTCCAGCGATAGCTTTAACCGCTCCTGCTGGACATCTGTGAAAAAGAGCTCTGTAGCTCATCTGGATTCTTCCAGTACAAATACATTTTCCGATTCTGAAATGAAGGGCATTCACTTGAACTGTATCCTCACTCCCCCGACTGCACATCGGTGAGGCCGTCGCTGGGTTGGCGAACGGGGCGTTGTTGCTGATGCTTGGGCCCCCCCCCCCCCCCCCCCGCAGGTCCGGCTGTGCTGGAGGTGTTCAACTCGCTACTCAAGCACCTGAGGCTGAGCGTGGACCAGGAACTGCGCTTGAGTAATGTGGGACAGGACGACAACGCGATAGATGGCGCCAGCGCAGAGGCCATGTTCCAGGATTCCGTCGTCAAAACTATAGGTGCCGCAAACCCGCTCCGCTCCACCACACCGGTCTGGGGGATTAACATCGTCGGCGTCGCCACCCACAGACCGAACGGCCGTTGACCAGCCGGTGAAGCTGACTGCAGAGAGCGCTAATTTTTTTTTTATAAATAAAAAAAAGCAAAAACCCAGCCACGCAGTCGCCTCTATGGCCTGCTGATCCTATCTCGGTCCAAATGAATGACGTCCATTTTGCTGAGAGAAGGCGACTGATTGCATTTGGCTCCTGAACATGCAGTGTTGCCATTCGCTGGGTTAGACCAGAATCTATGGGCCTCGAGGATCCGTAGTGGTTCTCTTGATTTTCTGAGTATTTTTCCCCAACAGCATTTGCTTACGTAGGCCAAACCTGGACTTGCTTTGACCTCGCTTAATCTCTTCAGCAGCGCGTGGCTCGGTTAGAGGGGTATCGTAGAGACCGCGCGGGGTGGCCTGAAGGCCGAGAGGCTGTCCGCTCGCTCTTTACCATGCCCTTATCCCGCACCTCCGATTAGCACGATTGGCTACGTACGGTGCTAAAGAAGTTCAACATATGTACAGTGAGGTGAAAAAAGTATTTTTGACATGCGTTTTTCTGGATTTTTGTTGTTGTTATTCTGTCTCTCACTGTTCAAATAAGCCTACCATTAAAATTATAGACTGATCATTTCTTTGTCAGTGGGCAAACGTACAAAATCAGCAGGGGATCAAATACTTTTTTCCCTCACTGTAGGTACATACTTAACGGAGCGTTACCCTGTGCACAGGCTCCTTCGCGGGGATCCTACCTGACTACCAGCGCTCCGAGATTATGATGTTCATCATGGGCAAGATGCCTTTGCACGGAGTCGGAGTGGATATGGGCAGCACTGGAGACAAGTGAGTACTCGTATTATTTTATTTGGGAATGCTGCATTGGCAGTGGAGCACAAGCACAAATGTAACACTTCCTTGAAAAGAAAAGTATAATAAATGAAGTTTCTGGCAATGGCCCTTCTCCACAGCACAGAGGGAGGGCACAGAGGGAGAGAGAGAGCACGGAGAGAGAGAGTGCAGAGAGAGAGCACAGAGGGAGAGAGCACGAGGGAGAGAGAGAGCACAGAGAGAGAGTGCAGAGAGAGCACGGAGGGAGAGAGCACGAGGGAGAGAGAGCACGGAGAGAGAGAGTGCAGAGAGAGAGCACGGAGGGAGAGAGCACGAGGGAGAGAGAGAGCACAGAGAGAGAGAGTGCAGAGAGAGAGCACGGAGGGAGAGCACAGAGGGAGAGAGCACGAGGGATCAGGTGACACGGCAATTCTGACGTCCTGGATATTGTCCTGGTGATGCTTGATGTTGTTTCAAGCAAAATGTCCTATCTGATTAGGTTATGAGGCTCGTTCTTCAACTCAGCGGTGAGCTGAAACAACAATTGGCATGACGTTATTACGCTTTCACGCGCAACATTTATTTGTTTGGCTGTGTCAGGTGGTGGAGGCTTCTTAACGACATATTTCTTAGATCGTTCGGTGGCCTAACCCAACAATGAATCAATCCACGTGAAAATATCCTCCAGCCAGAGGTGGTGCTGTAGTCCTCAGCCCATAGAAGGAAGTCACGAATTGAGTTGGCATATTCAATTCTTCAAGGAAATTATTACCCTATCGGTTATCAGTTCGATGAGTTGACTTGTGTGAATGTGGCTGCTGGGGTCACGTTAACCCATTGCACGCTTTCCATTTGACTAAAAGCACTTATTATGCATGCAATTCGACGCACGTGTTGCGAGCTTCGGAATCGATAATAATCGATCAACCAAAGTCATTTTACTCCTCCAGCCGTTGCACTTTGTTTTGGAAGGCAATGTTGGCTGTGCTATGGAGGCACTTACCCTTGCTCTGGGACTGTGTGGAAACTCCGTCACTTTTCCCAGGAGGGGCTCACTCAATGAGCGGCCCACCACAACTCTGGTTTGACCGGGGTTGACGTTCTGTACATTTCCTTGGCAGCCTCGTGTTTGTGCATGTGGGTGGTGGGGCATCATTACACAGATACACTGTGGGTGGTGGGGCATCACTACACAGAGACACTGTGAGTGGTGGGGCATCACTACACAGACACACTGAGTGGTGGGGCATCACTACACAGAGACACTGTGAGTGGTGGGGCATCACTACACAGAGACACTGGGTGGTGGGGCATCACTACACAGACACACTGAGTGGTGGGGCATCACTACACAGACACACTGAGTGGTGGGGCATCACTACATAGACACACTGTGGGTGGTGGGGCATCACTACACAGACACACTGTGAGTGGTGGAGCATCACTACATAGACACACTGTGGGTGGTGGGGCATCACTACACAGACACACTGTGGGCGGTGGGGCATTACTACACAGACACACTGAGTGGTGGGGCATCACTACACAGACACACTGAGTGGTGGGGCATCACTACATAGACACACTGAGTGGTGGGGCATCACTACATAGACACACTGTGGGTGGTGGGGCATCACTACACAGACACACTGAGTGGTGGGGCATCACTACACAGACACACTGTGGGCGGTGGGGCATTACTACACAGACACACTGAGTGGTGGGGCATCACTACATAGACACACTGAGTGGTGGGGCATCACTACATAGACACACTGTGGGTGGTGGGGCATTACTACACAGACACACTGAGTGGTGGGGCATCACTACACAGAGACACTGAGTGGTGGGGCATCACTATGTAGTGTCAGTGATTCGGAGACGAGGTTTGTCGAGGCACTTTATTGAACACTCACGCTCTCGCCTGCACACTCTCTACAGCCGCTAGCCTGTACACAGCAATAGCCGTCTAACACCGACTTGGCTGACTGAGACAGCCAACAACCATCTAGCAGCGCAATGTCGAGCGAAGGCGTCAGCGACGACGAGACAATCCAATCCCAGAACCCGCAGCCTCGAGCTCCCGCTCTCGGCCACTTTTATGCTACCAGCGTGGCCTGACTCTGCCCCGGCCGTGCCTCCCTTCTCGAACTATCAGGTTCCAGGGGCTTCCAGATGGGGGGGGCCCCCCATGACCCTTGCACCAGTTCCACCGCCCTGCCCACACAGCCGTGTATATGCTCACCGGCGTGTGTACTGTTTGTCCACCCCACTTGCCGCTGCTGGTCACCAACCGGCGCTATTACACTACAACTGCATAGACACACTCTCTTTGGTTCTTTCGGTAAAGTCACGTAGATGGAAAATTCATAGATCACGACGTTTCGATCACAACACAAGCAACCGTCATCAGGTGAGACAAACACAGCAGGAGAAAGAGCTGTTGCAGCAGCAGCAGCTCTTTCTCCTGTGTCAGCTGATGGTTGCTTGTGTTGCGATCGAAACGTCATGATCTATTAATTTTACATCAACGTGACTTTACCGAAAGAACCAAAGAGTATCGATTCCTGCAGTCATGAAAGCTTCAAATCTATAGACACACCGTGAGTGGTGGGGCATCACTACACAGAAATACTGAGAGTGGTGGGGCATCAATACACAGAGACACTGTGAGTAGTGGGGCATCACTACACAGAGATACTGAGAGTGGTGGGGCATCAATACACAGACACACCGTGAGTGGTGGGGCATCACTACACAGAGATACTGAGAGTGGTGGGGCATCACTACACAGAGACACTGTGAGTGGTGGGGCATCACTACATAGACACACCGTGAGTGGTGGGGCATCACTACACAGAGACACTGTGAGTGGTGGGGCATCACTACACAGAGACACACTGTGAGTGGTGGGGCATCACTACACAGACACACCGTGAGTGGTGGGGCATCACTACATAGACACACTGTGAGTGGTGGGGCATCACTACATAGACACACTGTGAGTGGTGGGGCATCACTACATAGACACACTGTGAGTGGTGGGGCATCACTACATAGACACACCGTGAGTGGTGGGGCATCACTACACAGAGACACACTGAGAGTGGTGGGGCATCACTACATAGACACACCGTGAGTGGTGGGGCATCACTACACAGAGACACACTGAGAGTGGTGGGGCATCACTACACAGAGACACTGAGAGTGATGGGGCATCACTACATAGACACACCGTGAGTGGTGGGGCATCACTACACAGAAATACTGAGAGTGGTGGGGCATGACTACACAGACACACCGTGAGTGGTGGGGCATCACTACACAGACACACCGTGAGTGGTGGGGCATCACTACATAAAGATACTGAGAGTGGTGGGGCATCACTACATAGACACACTGAGTGATGGGGCATCACTACATAGACACACCGTGAGTGGTGGGGCATCACTACACAGAGATACTGAGAGTGGTGGGACATCACTACATAGACACACTGTGAGTGGTGGGGCATCACTACACAGAGACACCGTGAGTGGTGAGGCATCACTACATAGACACACTGTGAGTGGTGGGGCATCACTACACAGAGACACTGAGAGTGGTGGGGCATCACTACACAGAGACACCGTGAGTGGTGGGGCATCACTACATAGACACACCGTGAGTGGTGGGGCATCACTACACAGAAACACTGAGAGTGGTGGGGCATCACTACATAGACACACTGTGATTGGTGGGGCATCACTACATAGACACACTGTGATTGGTGGGGCATCACTACACAGAGACACTGTGATTGGTGGGGCATCACTACACAGACACTGAGAGTTTGGTTGTCTTCTGAATGCGGAACCGTGGCCCAGCTATCCGTCATCCACCGGCCGTTGTTATTATTGACGAAAGGAAGTGGGGGAGATAGTCAAGCGTTATAAAGATGCAGATGTAAGTTTGCACCGGCCTGCCATTATTATTACATGGGTGATTTGTTTGTAACAATACAGATGCACTGCATGATTGTAATGATGAAGCATGGATAAGTATATATTGATTGTACAGGAATCGTGATGAATCACTCGCAGTCAGCACATGTAGGAAGTGCACGCAATGTGAAAATGAATGATGCCATCACCTATAATCAAACGTTCAGCTGCATCTCTCTCAAACTCTGCCTTCAGTGCAGCGATTATACGACTGTATGTGTGGGCATGACCCACTTTGTGTGTGTGTGTGATTGCGTGCATGCATGTAGGGACCGGTGGTGCAATGGTTAGCGCACTATGAACCCAGCGACCCGGGTTCGATTACCGTTTACAGACAACACCAGTGATGATTAACTGAACCAGTCCTGGGCCCCCCCTAGTTCGACCTAGCCTCAAATTAGTACCTGGGGTTATGTCTAATAATTGTCACTGGGGAGACAAAGGCGGCCAGGCGTAGTGTTGGCCACCCACCCCCTTGTGTGCCGTGCCGGGCTTCATAGGTGCGCGCTCACATAAGTTGCGCCAAAAGTCTGTTCAGTCTATACGGGGGATCTTTGTCTTTGAGCATGCTTGTGTAGCGACATCGCGGGATGTCACTGTGCAGTGCCGGCCCGAGAGAGGTGCGGTGTAACGACACCGCGGACACCACAAGGGTGTGGGTGTAGTACCGTCCCTAGAGGGGCCCGGTGAGCGCTGCTTGATAGCACTGGGTGGCACCACGCTTGGCATGCAGTGCCAGCCCCTACAGGACAGGGTGTGTGAGTGCCGGCCATGGGATGAGGTTGCTAAAGGCCATGGCACTCTGGTTGACCCGAGAGGACACGTGACCAGTTAAGTCTACAAAGGGGGGCCCCAAGTGGGAGCTAGGGGGGGGTCACGTAGTTGGGATCGAGATCTGTCCCGAGGATTCTGGAAGGTGGTCGTGGCCAAGGGCGGAGCCAGACACGCCGCAGAGAATAATAGCCGGGTCCCGAGAGGGACCGGGGTTATTGTTGTTGTTCATCCTGAAGAAACCCTTCATCTCCGTTATCCGTTCAACGAGTCTCCAACACTTGGACCTGGACCCGAGCTGTGGTCCGGGCCCGTAGTAGCTAGTTGAGGTTGTAACTAGTGTAGTAACTAGTGTAGTAACTAGTGTAGGTAGCCTGGTGGTCACCACCAGCGGTTGTTATTCTGTTAAGGGGCAGTTACCCCGTGTGTTGGAGTTAAATACAGTAAAACCTTGGATTGCGAGCATAATTCGTTCCTGGAAACGTGTTTGTAATCCAAAGCACTCGTACATCAGTTGTGATCACGTGACGCTCGGTAGACAAAGCGTGTATATGTACTGCTCGTATTGCATGACCCTCGCTCGTTTATCAAATTAATATTTTTTTAAACATTTTTTGCTCGTCTTGCAAAACACTTGCAGACCAAGTTACTCGCAATCCAAGGTTTTACTGTAAATGTGTTGCCTTCAATTATACGTCTGCGACTCAGTTGAACTCGCCACACTTGTATGCATGTATGTGTGTAGGGCTGAATTCGATTCCCACTGACGACAAATACCAGTGGCGAACATTTTTCCTGGTCTTGGGCCTCCCCTACATCGACTGAGCCTTAAAAAAACGTGCATCTGGTGTGTAAACTTCGGCACTGGGGAGTCAAAGGCGGCCGGGCGTGGTGCTTGGCCACCCATCCCCTTAGTGCACCATGCTGGCCTTCATATGTGCTCGCTATAACAGTGCTCGCCTATAAACAGCTTGTTAAGGCTACACGGGTGAGCTTTGTCTTTGTCTTTTTTGCGTGCACGTGTTCTCAGGGAGCAAGCCGACCACATGTATCAGGTCATGCTGCTGAGGTCCGTCTTGAAGGTAAGAGAGTAATGATCCCTTGCGACATCATCTGCAGCGCAGTAGCTGCTGGTAACACATTTCGCGATGCTCGGCTTTTTGTTACGGTTGGCAGTGGAGGGACGGAGTTTGAAAACGTTTTGCCGAGTTTTACCCTCTTGAATCTGCGGTGGGATATCGATCGGGTTTTCGGGGTTGTTTATTTTTTCATAATGACACTGCCTGCCATCCCTTCAACTTGGTTTGCCTGCAGCTTTCTCGGGCTGTCCGCGTTTCCCTTGTCTCTGTGATGCACATTGGGGTGTTTGCTTGTTTTTATGGCTGCCTCTGTCTGGCTCGTTCTTACCCGTCTGCCCTTCTCCTCGTCTCTCTCTCCCTCTATTCCTAGGTTGTGTTTTTCTCTGTTTTTTAGTGTGTGGCTGCTCTAACTTTCCACGTGATAAGCCACTTCGTTTTGTGGCCAGGTTGCGACTGAAAAAGAGCTATGTAGCTCATTGGGGGGCCTTACCTGGTAAAATAACAAATAGTCGAAAGAATCGTTGAAATGGTTTATTTTATTACTGTGTGTCTCTGTCGCTCTTCCTTTGCCTCCACCCGTCTCGACCTCTCGCGTTTCTCCAGTTCTATCTTCTTGTACACTTGGAGTGCATTATACGTACATGTTTAGAGCAGTTTTGCAGCATCCATCCCACAACACATTGAATTCTATTCATCAGTCGGGAACTAGGCGTTCCATCCCTGACTTGATGACAGGGCTCAGACCTCAGCTGATCCAGTCCTTTGCACAGTATCAATGACTGATCATTGCTATTGCAATACATTGCTCTTCCCGTACAGATGATGTGTGTGATATTAGTTGATGCTTGGGTTTAGAACACTTTATCATGTGAACTCTCCTTGAAGACTGTTGCCACTCACCGACCAGACCATCAGCCACCTCGTGGTGTTCCCCGGTCGACTCCAAAAAAATAAAGAGGCATGAAAGCAATCCCACGCAAACGAACTTAAGCCATTTCCTGGATAACTAATCCGGACATAGACTTACGAGTCGCTACTCATCCAGCCATGCGTGCGTTCGGTTCGTACTGCGTGCTGTTTTGCGCGATGTCCGACGTTTCGGTCCACGTGCCCGGGAGCTTCGTCCGGAGCGGAAACTCAAAATCTTCATCAGGAACTCGAGAAGCTCCCCCCCCCCCACCCCCTCTCCCTTTCGAGCACGTGGAGTGAAAACGTTGGACACGACGCCGAAACAACCTGCTGTGCGGCCCGAATACAAACAGCGATTCAGTGCTACCGCGGAAACCTACCCAGGAAGTACCGCTCATCCGCTCGCTCCCGCAGGTGGTGCCGGACCACAAGGCAGCAGGTAGCCTGCTGTTGGCGCTGCCTGGCCCCGTGCTGGAGCCGCTGCTGTGGCCGGCGCTGCTGGAGGAGGCGGAGGCGCGTGTGCTGGCGCTGCGCGTGCTGCACGGGCTGCTGGACCGCCACCACAACCGCGACAAGCTCACCGCCGTCCGGTGAGTCGTCCCCTCTCCCTCAACTATACCCCCTCCCCCCCCCTCCCCCTTCCCAGACCCATCTGTTCTCCCACCGTGAGCCCCTCCGTCGGACACGCTGACACGCGGTGCAACTGAATCGTTCCCAAAATGACTGTTTAGCTTCTGAAGGAGCTCCCCAGCACATGGCACGACACGTTGGACATAGTGCTGAGAGGCACACGGCACAAAGTGAAGATACCCGGAGTGCTGCAGTGCACACCAGCCATCGCCTAGGCGGTAGGCAGCATTTAGAGCATTTGGCTGCTGTAAATTTCCACGTGATAAGCCACTTCGTTGAGCTCTCCTTTGTGGCCAGGTGGCTTCTGAAAGAATATCTATATAGCTCAGTGGTTTTTACCTGGTAAAATAGAAAGTTTATTGTTCATACAGTGAGGGAAAAAAGTATTTGATCCCCTGCTGATTTTGTACGTTTGCCCACTGACAAAGAAATTATCAGGCTATCATTTTAATGGTAGGTTTATTTGAACAGTGAGAGACGGAATAACAACAACAAAAATCCAGAAAAACGCATGTCAAAATTTGCATAAATTGATTTGCATTTTAATGAGGGAAATAAGTATTTGACCCCTCTGCAAAACATGACTTAGTACTTGGTGGCAAAACCCTTGTTGGCAATCACAGAGATCAGACGTTTCTTGTAGTTGGCCACCAGGTTTGCACACATCTCAGGAGGGATTTTGTCCCACTCCTCTTTGCAGATCTTCTCCAAGTCATTAAGGTTTCGAGGCTGACGTTTGGCAACTCGAACCTTTAGCTCCCTCCACAGATTTTCTATGGAATTAAGGTCTGGAGACTGGCTAGGCCACTCCAGGACCTTAATGCGCTTCTTCTTGAGCCACTCATTTGTTGCCTTGGCCATGTGTTTTGGGTCATTGTCATGCTGGAATACCCATCCACGACCCATTTTCAATGCCCTGGCTGGGGGAAGGAGGTTCTCACCCAAGATTTGACGGTACATGGCCCCGTCCATCGTCCCTTTGATGCGGTGAAGTTGTCCTGTCCCCTTAGCAGGAAAACACCCCCAAAGCATAATGTTTCCACCTCCATGTTTGACGGTGGGGATGGTGTTCTTGGGGTCATAGGCAGCATTCCTCCTCCTCCAAACACGGCGAGTTGAGTTGATGCCAAAGAGCTCCCTTTTGGTCTCATCTGACCACAACACTTTCACCCAGTTGTCCTCTGAATCATTCAGATGTTCATTGGCAAACTTCAGACGGGCATGTATATGTGCTTTCTTGAGCAGGGGGACCTTGTGGGCTCTGCAGGATTTCAGTCCTCTGAATCATTCAGATGTTCATTGGCAAACTTCAGACGGGCATGTATATGTGCTTTCTTGAGCAGGGGGACCTTGTGGGCTCTGCAGGATTTCAGTCTTTCACGGCGTAGTGTGTTACAAATTGTTTTCTTGGTGACTATGGTCTCAGCTGCCTTGAGATCATTGACAAGATCCTCCCGTGTAGTTCTGGGCTGATTCCTCACCGTTCTCATGATCATTGCAACTCCACGAAGTGAGATCTTGCATGGAGCCCCAGGCCGAGGGAGATTGACAGTTCTTTTGTGTTTCTTCCATTTGCGAATAATCGCACCAACTGTTGTCACCTTCTCACCAAGCTGCTTGGCAATGGTCTTGTAGCCCATTCCAGCCTTGTGTAGGTCTACAATTTTGTCCCTGACATCCTTGGAGAGCTCTTTGGTCTTGGCCATGGTGGAGAGTTTGGAATCTGATTGATTGCTTCTGTGGACAGGTGCCTTTTATACAGGTAACAAGCTGAGATTAGGAGCACTCCATTTAAGAGTGTGCTCCTAATCTCAGCTCGTTACCTGTATAGAAGACACCTGGGAGCCAGTCAAATACTTATTTCCCTCATTAAAATGCAAATCAATTTATAACATTATTGACATGCGTTTTTCTGGATTTTTTGTTATTATGTCTCTCACTGTTCAAATAAACCTACCATTAAAATTATAAACTGATCATTTCTTTGTCAGTGGGCAAACGTACAAAATCAGCAGGGGATCAAATACTTTTTTCCCTCACTGTAGTAGCCTGTATAAAATCTGAAAATGCTGCCAGAAAATGGTTGAAGTGGGCAGCGATGCACTTTATGACTAAAAATAAGATTGTCTTCTCCAAGGTGTGTAAACCGGCGAAATTAAGTATCTGTCTTACCTGTGTATGAGATTCTTAGTTCTCCTAGTTTATTATTCTGACCATGCACGGATACAGGTAATTCAATTACAGCGCTGTGCGTTATTGAAGTTAACTGTCCATGGATCCCTTATTCTGGGAAACAGACGCTGGAGATGATTTGCACTTTGCAGCCTGTGACTTTACGGGTCCACATTGTGTGGTCGTAACTTACAGTTGATCATTTTCCGATAGCTTCCTTGAAAGCCCTTGCGCAGTCCGGAGGCAGCTGCTAATGCCCATTTAATGCTTTGTGAACGGCAGATGCGAGGTTCCGTAACCGCTGTGTTTAACGAAGCGCACCGTATATTAAGGGAGCTGCTAATAGCCGTCGGGTCCTCGTTTTCACGGGCATTGTTTTTTTCTTTTTTAAACACAAGTGGGGTTTATGTGCCTCGGGTAAGTCAAAGAGGACGTGTGGTAGTCATCGCGTATCTTTTCATGATGATAACACCAGCCGGTTTTATAACCGGTTTGATAAATGTGTTGGTATGCACATAATGAATACGCTACGTATCACTGTTCTGTTGAATTTAATATAAGCGTTATATATTGTCTTTTGAATCCAAGTGCATTTTTTGTGATGTCATGCACATGTCCCACTTAATGGGATTCGGGTGCAAATCATATACAGCGAACCCTTAATATTGGCGGGGTCTTTACAATTTCTCGGACTGCGTGTTCGCGACAAACTTATTGAAGCTCTCTTGAAATTCGTGAGGTTGTATTTTAAATATTCGCGGCCGTAGCTCCCCACTACCCGACTGGGAGGAGCGTGGCATGTGTGCACGTGCGTTGAACTTCTTTGTTACCGTACGTAGCCAACCGTGCTAGTCGGAGGCTTGGGAGCGGTGTGGATGGTGAGGGCGTGAGTTCTGCCCACGTGGCGCTCCCTCTCGGTCTGCCTTTGCCTGCAGCATGGGTTACACGCGAGTGCTTTCCTTTTACAACTGTTCGGAATTACGTGGTGTGTAGTATATTCATTGATATATTGCACTTTCATATATGTTTACGTTCATCATTATTAAAGGCAAGCCTTGCCCCACCATATCTTGCCACTCTTGTTTCTTCTCTGTGTGTGCCTTCTCGCCCTCTACGTTCTCAATCTTTGCTGTCTCTCTCTCTGTTCCTCCTCCAAGTGGTCAATCCACGCTTTCACTCTCTTCTCGCCCCACTTCACTGGAACAAACTTCCCCCTCCACAATAAACAGTCACCTTCGCTCACTAGTTTCCGCTCCTGATTGTTTTCTAGCTCACCACACAACCCCTTATTCTCCCCATCATAACCACCAACGTTACTGTTCCCTCTTCGTATTCTCATTATATGGCTCTCACTCATTCCCCAATCATTCAATCCATTCATCATCATCTACTGTCGAACAATTTGCCTTTCACCGAATTCACGCATCACAGATTCGCCCATTGCTTCCTCTCATCTATTTCATTCACCTCATCTCCAGCATTACATCCATACGTTGTAGCGTTGTTAATTCTTTGTAAAGTTCCTTGGTTGAGGCGCGATATACATTTCGTGAAGATAAGATAAATAACACACTAATACTATACAATGTACGTATTCATTCATAAATACAGTTAATGTGTTCATATTTAAACGTCATATATGTTTATGCCCCCTAACCCAATTCTCCTCGTACGCTTTAATAGTTCACATTGGTGGATTTAATATTTGCGCCGTTCTCCAAGAACTATTTCCCGTGAGTCAGGTATTTGCTCTAAGTTATATTCTACAGCGTGTATTTTAGTGTCTCATTTGCCGATCTGTCATACCCCCCGTTTTGTTCTTACAGTTATGCGTACATGTTGCCCCACCGGAGCCACCGACACTAATAGAACTAAATTAAACAATTTGATTTCACTAGTGTTAAGGCCCACTGAGCTATATAGCTGTTTTTCAGATGCAACCTAGCTATCAAAAATGATAGCCCAACGAAATGGCTTATTGTGTAGACATTCACAGCAGCCAAATTCTCTCTCAGCGTACGTTGATTTCTAAATGCAGAGGGAAAAACCGGGGGATCCGGAGAAAAATCAACGTGACCACGGGGAGAACACGCAAACTCCAAATATACAGGCGTGCATCAGGGTAGCGATTGAGCCCACGACCTCCTGCATTGCAAACGATGGAGATAACATCTTGCCACCGCGATGTTTATTCACGTCGGAAGTTTTCTACATTTTGTTGAGCTAATTCGGACATCGTTCTCAAAGGGCACGAGGCTCATCTGGGATTGTGTGACCCCCCCCCCTCCCAATGGGTCTGACCTCACACTTCTGACCGCAGTGGGGGGCTCTGCTCACAGCTGTTTAACTGCGGCTCTCGCGCGTTAAACTGACGTTCCTCGTCGTCGCCGCCGCCGCCGTGTGTCGAACCTGAACGCTTGCAGGATCGTGCACGACCTTGCAAGCCTCAAGCTGAAGATGGAGAAATGTTCCAAGCAAGACGCCACCTTCATGAAGAAGGTGCGCGAGTTGCACAACGCAGGCACCGGTTCCCCCATTTCTCCTAATCGACTCTAGGGTCAAGTGCTGTTAGCGAGTACCCCACGATACGGGAGGCATCTTTATCTTTGCGCGTGCCTCAAAGCGCACCTGGCCTGGCACAAGCGCCGTGGTGACGTCACCGCCACTCGGTGGCGAATGGCGGCGGCTGCTGTTGTTGCATGTGTGTGTCCGTATCTACGCGCGGTGTCCGTATGCACGCGCGCGTGCAGAACGGGCAGCGGCTGTACGGCTGGCTGTACGAGAGCTGCGTGGCGGAGGGGAACACGCGGGCGCACTACGAGGCACTGTACGTGACGCTGGCGCTGCTTGTGCTCGAGACCGGCGGGGAGGAGTTTGTCGCCATCGACCTCCTGCGCCTCGCAGTCGCGTTGCAGGTAGGCCGCACGCTCGAGAGGGGGGGGGGGTGGGGGAGGGCAGCAACTCTAAGGAGTTTTTTTTATTTTCTTTTTATTTTACCGGGTAGAGCCCACTGAGCTCTACAGCTCTTTTTCAGAAACGGCCTGACCACGGATAATAGCTCAACCAAGTGGCTCGTCGTGTGGACATTTATAGCGGCCGAATACTGTGAACGCTCGTTGATTCTGAATGTGGAGGGGAAAAAGCGGAGGGCGCGGAGAAAATCAACACGACCACGGGGAGAGACATGCAAGCTCCAAAAATACAGCAGGCGTCAGGTTCGGGATCGAATCGATGACCTGTTGTATGCCAGGCGAGGTGTTTAACACCTTGTAACCGTGGCGCCCACGTTAGTCAACCGTCCCATCTGCATGGTGCACGGGAGCGACGTCTTCGTCCCCGGCGCTGGCATGTAGCCAAATTGAGTGCAAGAACAGTCCACGTGTCGGTTGTTTTTGCTCGGTCGTTGGCGACCGAGCTCGAGAACCCCAATTTAATCGCAGGTGGTCGGAGCCCGGATTCACATCCAGGATCTCAGTGGTGCTCTGAGCTCTGAGCCACTTTGCCACCTCCCACCAACGAATGGATTTGAATCGCTGAATGAATTCCGGCTGTCACGTCTGCGGAGCGGCGCTGCGCGCGTGAACACGGCCTCGCGTCCGCGTGCCGGTGGGCTCATGTCGCGTCTTGCCAACGCTGGCCGTGCGTGTGCGAGCAGGAGGCGGCGCTGGAGGAGGAATCGTGCTCCTCGGTGTTCGCTCGCTGCGCCACCCACGGCGTCGTTGCCGCCTTCCTCAGCCTTCTGGCGCAGCGCCCTGCCCTGAGGCCGCTGCTGCAGCACGTGACGGCCGTGAGTCGGGGGGGGGGGGGCAGGGCAAGGGGGGCGGCGGCGTGGCATTGTCGGAGATGCGTGCGCGTGGCAGCAGGAGACACAGACGCAGTGGAGACGTGTAGGCAACGCCTGCGCAGGCACGACAGACGCACCACAGACGCACCACAGATGCACCCGCGCTATAGAGAGGCGCAGCGGAGGTGTACGGGCGACGCGTGCAGACAGGCACACGTATGTGTGAGTGCATAGGGCGACAGCGAGCCTATAGCCCCGTGCACTCGCACACAGATTTATAGTGAGTGAGTGCATACGGCTGATATTGCATCAGCAAAGGTTTTTATGTTTGTGTGAGTGGCGGAGCGGTAGTGTAGCGATTAGCGCCCTGCGCCACTAACCTGCCCACCCGAGTTTTGATTCCCGCTCACGGCCAACATCGGTGACGATTATCTGCATCGGTCCTGGGCCTCCCCTAGGTCGACTCAACCTCAAAATGAGTGCCTGATGCGATGTGTAAAAACATCGCCACTAGGGAGACAAATTCAGCCGACGTGGTGCTGGCCACCCACCCCCTCATAGTTTCATAGTTTAGTTTCATAGTTTCATTTATTTGGTATATCCCTGTGAGCCATTCGGCTCTTGAATCGGGTGCAACCACAACAAACAAAAAACACAAACACGAACAAGAAAACATCTTAAAGTGACTGTGACTGTGCAAACAGAAAATCCAGGAAAAAAACAGCAAAATATTCCTGAAATAGCACCGTACACCAACGCGGTGCAAAAATCCCAGTGTGATTCAAGTCAGACAACAGCAACAACAAGAAAACTTAGATTAAGGCCATCAGTCTAACTCCGTACTACAATAAACAAAAACATGGCCAAACCAAAACACTTTTAGAAATCACCAAAATAAAGTCATAAATGCAATGTAACAGTGATCATAGGAACTGTGACCGAATTTTTAACAATTAACTACATAAATAACATGTAACACCAAACCCTAGAGCCATAGCTGGCTGCATGAGTCTCTCCACAAACAACAGGAGCCATGCTGGCCTTTAAATGTGCTCACGAACAGCACTTGCCCCAAAAGTCTGTTTCTGCTACGAGGGGGAGTTTTTGCATTTGTGCATATGTGTTTGTGGGGAGCGTGGGTGGTTGTGGCTAGTGCGCTGTTACAAACCCGGTCACCTGGGATCATTACCCACCCACAGCCAACGTAACTGGCGAGTTATATCTGAATCTTTTTCTGGGCCTTCCCTCGGTCGATTCAGCTTGGTGCGACGTTTAAATATCAGCACTCGGGAGACAAAGCTGGCCAGGTGTGGTTGCTGACCACAACAACCGCTTGTGCGCCGTGCCTGCCTTTGTAAGGGCTCACTGACAGTACTTGCCCCAACAGTCTGTAAAGGTTATACGGGGGGGGGGGGGTCTTTGTGTGTGTGCGCGATTCAGGTCGTGGAGCACAGGAGGAAGGTGGCTCCATACCTCTTACCTGACGTCGTGCTTTCAGAAAACCCACGGTGAGGGGTCTCCAGCTGTCTGGGTGCCAAAACCAATTCCCCGCCATTCGCCGCTTTGTGACGATGATGACACCACGGAGCCTGTGCCAGGCCAGGTGCACTTGTAGGCCACGTGAAGTGTCGAAGGCTTGCTGACAGGAGGTCACGGGACAGACCCGGGTGTCGTGGGTTGGCTGACTGAGATAACTGGCAGATGCACACCAGATGTGCCCCCTACTGTGCCCAACTTTGCTGCGTTTTAGCTGCCCGGCGCTGCGCTCGTTGTTGTGAGCATCGCTCCTCTGCCCTCTGTTGTTGTTGGAGGGCGACTGCATGCAACTGCCCAGGAGCGTCGTTCACGAGCCTCTTCTATAGTGGGTGCATTCACACACACGTAACTCAGGTTCTCTGCACGCAGATCCCAGCGCAAGCAATTCCCTCTTTTTAGCCTCTTAGTCAGCAGCAGCAATTGCTGATACAGAGCACTCTCTAAGACGAACACGACGCACAAAGTGGAGGTGTGGCCAGCAGCATGCCCAGCCACCTTTGTCTCCCCAGTATTGATCCCCACACCGCAACAGCCACTCCCCTTTAAAACAGATTTGACATAGTGAGACCCAGGAGTGCTTGAAATGCCTCGCGGCGACTCACGGCATTCACAGCTGGAAATCGAACACAGGTTTGCTGAATCGTAGTGCAGCGACTTGAGCTGCTTCTCCACCTCTTCCGCTCGCATGGCACAAACAATAACAGCAGCCACAGTTCACTGCTTGAGTGGCAGTGACGCAAGCGCAGTTCTTGTGCCAGGCTAGGTACACACCTTGAGGCCATGTTGAAGGTAGCGGCTCGCTGGCAGGCTACTGGACAAGGCCCCAGGTGGTGTTGTGGGTTAACAGATCTGCGCCATCTCTGCTGAGATGGGAATGAGGTCATCATTTTCATTTTTACTTTATGGGTTAAAAAAGGGCACATTGATTTGAATAATAATAAAACTACTGCTGGATGCGTCACATTTCTAGCTCGCGAGGGGGCACGTTTTACCGTGCGGCACTGTCGGGGGCGGGTTACGTGGGTTGCTGAGATTGCTCGTCTGTAATGCCCACATTCGGAGCACTGTTTATTAGCGATTGCCGGTTGAGCGGACGCGGCCTGTTAATGCGCGCGTATGGCTTCCCGTAAAGTATTTCACGTCAAACGGATGTTCCGTTTGTTTTGGCTGGACGTGGCCGGCCCGGTGTTTTTGGTGCAGGTCTAATTGCCCGATTTAAAATCGCGTCTTTATCTTGATCCGCGCGCGCGCGCATTTACGTTGCGCATTCGTGTCGTGCAACGCGAGCATGCGCGGCGCTTGCGTGCGCTGCACTGCATGTGGGTCACCTGCCGCCGTGGTTGTATTTTTGCATGGCCGCATTTTTACGAGCGCGCGCGCGGGCGTGCGCGTAACGGGGAGCGGTGAAATAGTGGTCGGCACGCGCTGCTACACACTTGCGGACCCGAGTTCAAATCCTGGCAGCAGACTAACATCGTTGCCAGGCGATAGCAACGCCATCGGGGAGGGGGGCGGGGGGAGTGCGTGTGTGCGTGCGTGTGTGCGTGCGTGTGTGTATGTGCGTGTGACCGCCGCTGTGCTTGCCGGTCGCGTGGCGCAGCCTGCCCAGCGGCACGCCCAAAGAGGACAAGACGCTTCTCTTCCTGCCGAGCGTGATGGCCGAGGCGCTGCAGAGCGCCGGCCTCAACGGCGAGCGGGTGACCGTGCCCTTCGTGCCGCTCCTCCACGGTGGGTCCCGGACTCCGCTACCGGCCCGCAGAGCTCGGTCTTCACAATTTAATGGGGGGGGGGGGGGGGGGGGGGGATGGGGGGGGGGGATGAGGAGGGGGGGTTACGGTTAGGGGGGGGGGGTACGGTGGGGAGGGGGGTAGACATGTCTGGGTATTTTTTTCAGCCGCCGTGTTCTAAAACTGAGCGTGATATGCGGTTGGTTGTCTTTTTGAACCGTAAATACTCTGTGATGTCATCGAGATGCACTACGGTACACGTATAATATAATTACAGGGGGTGCGGGGGAAGGACCACAAACTAGACACACAAAAAGCGGTTGTCAAGAAGCGCGTTTGTCATCGCAGCCATTGCGACCAGATTGAACATGGGATGAAGTTAAGAAAGATGCTTCCACAAACCACAAGTTTACTTCTTCTTTGTTCTTTTGGTAAAGTCACCACCACGTAGAATGAGAATAAAACAATAAAACAAAATAAGACAATAAAATTCTCACGACGTTTCGGCCACAACACAGGTAGCCTTCTTATTGTGTTGTGGCCGAAACGTCGTGAGAATTTTATTGTCTTATTTTGTTTTATTGTCTTATTTTGTTTTATTGTTTTATTCTCATTCTACGTGGTGGTGACTTTACCGAAAGAACCAAGAAGATGAATCCTTGCAGTCACGAAAGCTTTAAATCGAAATAAAACACAAGTTAACTTTCAAAACAAATTTGACAGAACCCTAATGTTAATAGTCTTGCATCCGATGATGCAGACAACAGGCTGTTCATATTTCTTATTCACTCGCATTGTATCATCTCGCTCCAAACTATTTAATATCCAAGCAATAATCGCGGTATCGATGCCACGGAGATGCGGCCAAACACGGAAACAAATTAAGTTCGTTTTCCAGTTCTTTGTCTGCTCATGCGGACTGTGATCGACGTTTGACAATCTGGATGATGGGACAAGTAGCGGTCTGTGTCCGCGAAGGCGCCCCGCGTGCTGGGGGGCGTTGGTGGGAGGGTTGGCTCAGGCGAACCCCGCCTCTCTGTGCGCAGACGAGGACGCGCGCTCGCACAGGAAGAGCATCGTGGACACGGTCTCCGTGCAGGTGGACCTCGAGTGGAACGAGGGCACGGACGTCGGCCAGGTCAGCGAGCCACGATTTTGCTTCACCGTTCAATGCCATGCCACACACCAGGTCACACGTCATGCTATTATTGTTATTATTGTCATTATTGTCATGCTTGTTTACCCAGGGAAAGCCTCGCTGAGTATTGTACATTCGTAAATAACACGGAGGTGACCACGATAGAGGGGTGAGTAGCGGTGAGGGGAGGTGACCACGATAGAGGGGTGAGTTGGGGTGAGTTGAGGTGACCACGATGGAGGGGTGAGTTGGGGTGAGTTGAGGTGACCACGATGGAGGGGTGAGTAGGGGTGAGTTGAGGTGACCACGATGGAGGGGTGAGTTGGGGTGAGTTGAGGTGACCACGATGGAGGGGTGAGTTGGAGTGAGTTGAGGTGACCACGATGGAGGGGTGAGTAGGGGTGAGGGGAGGTGACCACGATAGAGGGGTGAGTAGGGGTGAGGGGAGTGGAGAAGGGGGGGCGGAAAACCAGGAAATATGTTCCCGCTAGACCACGTGAGCGCTGTACCACCCAGAGCCACGTTGCCTTTAATGTCACATGCCAAAGCTACACAACAACATGCCGTGTCTTGCCACACCACGCCACATCAAGTCACATTATGTCACAGCAAGCAATGCCGTTCCAAGTGATGGTATGTCCTGTGCCATATCATGCTACACCATACCACGTAGAGATATACTAAGCCAAGCTACACCAAGCATGTTGCTACATAGCAACATGCTATGTAGCAACATGTACCAGAAAGTATTGGTTTGTGATGGAAATTCCATATTCCTCTGGGAAGACTGTTTAGCTTGAAGTTGAACCTCTACCAAGTTGAGGAAATTCCACGTTTCACTCCTCAAGTAGATTGAACCACCGCCATTGACTTCTTTGCCTTGGGTCAATGCGTAGCATTTCGGCATTTTGAGTTGATGGATGTTTACGTGGTCATTACCACCGATTATTCCACTGCCGGACAAATACTTCTCGATGTTCACGTCGCCTCCTGTTTATCACTCCTGCAGCCGGTTCCTACAGCAGCCACCACACTTTGCACGGTTTAGTCGCCCGGCCTCTTGTTGCACGTCGCCCATGAAAGTCGTTTCCCCGAGAGTCGTGTTGCTATTTGACGCGCTGCTCCGCTTTGGCAGGTGGAAGAGATCACCTTTGAGATGCTGAAGAACGCCATGGGTGAGTCGGCCGAACCCGTGCCGCCGGTGTCGACGGCGGGGCGAGTTTTGACGGCTGCGCGCGTGGCAGGTCGTGAAACGTGTGGCCTCGCCACGTTTCGTACCCTTCGACGCTTCTCCCACGAGCTCTGCGATTCTCTGGGTCCGGTGCTCCCAATGCAGGATGCGTAAAATATTGTGGCGATAAAGTTTGACGAGATACGACGCGCTAGGCACCACGCAGTGAGAATGGCGCAACACATAGCTGAGGGTAGGCCGCCTCGTTACTGTATCATTCCGCGTACTGTACTGTATCACCGTGCCGCTCGGCTCAAGACAGTAGTAGCTGGTCGTCGACCACTCGGGAATTGTGTTATAATGGTGCACGTTCCACGTTCTAATGGTGCGTGTTCCACGTTGTAATGGAGCGTGTTCGACGTTATAACGGGGTGTGTTCCACGCTATAACGGGGCATGTTCCACGTTATAACGGGGCGTGTTCGACGTTATAACGGGGCGTGTTCCACGTTATAACGGGGCGTGTTCCACGTTATAACGGGGCGTGTTCGACGTTATAACGGGGCGTGCTTCACGCTATAACGGGGCATGTTCCACGTTATAACGGGGCGTGTTCCGTGCTGTAACGGGACGTGTTCCGTGTTATAATGGGGCGTGTTCCACGTTGTTCCGCGCTGTAAATGGGGCGCGTTCCGCGTTGTCTGAATAGTGTTCCCTAATGAACAAAACGCGTTATAGCGAAAATGCGTTGTGTGAACACCACACGTTAAGTGATGGCTTAACGTACCTGTGTTGTGAATGTTACATGAAGGCAATGGGTGTGAACACAACTGTATAGGCACGACATTTTTTTTACAATAAATTACACAAACAAGAAGGGAACATTGAGACAAAAGGGAATAGATCCTTGAGTTGTATCTGAGCCAGGAGTTTCTGGGTAGGGTTGGGGAGGGGGGGCGATTACACCGCTATTTGACCACGTGTGTGTGTGTGAAGGCAGTCAGCACAGAGCACAGCTGGAGTTTGCTGCAATGCCCTCTGCTGGCCAACGCGTCGCCTTGCTGCCCCAGCTCGATCTAACCGGCTTTCACGAACAGCCCAGGCTTGTACATGCCCACACCGTTGATCTGCGTCTGTTGCGTCTGTGTGCGCTGTGCGCAGTGGACAGCGCGTCACGTGATGAACAGGAGAAAGAGAAGAGGCGGAAGGTGATGGAGAAGTTCCAGAAAGCCCCGTTTGAGGAGATCGCCGCACAGTGCGAGGCTCGGGTGAGATGGCGCGTGCGTTTGGGAGCAGTGGTGGGGTGCAATGGTGGCGAGATGTTAACTACCTCGCCTGGTATACAGGAGGTCGTGGGTTCGATCCCGACCATGATGAGATGTTAACTACCTCGCCTGGTATACAGGAGGTCGTGGGTTCGATCCCGACCATGATGAGATGTTAACTACCTCGCCTGGATACAGGAGGTTGTGGGTTCGATCCCGACCCTGATGAGATGTTAACTACCTCGCCTGGTATACAGGAGGTCGTGGGTTCGATCCCGACCCTGATGAGATGTTAACTACCTCGCCTGGTATACAGGAGGTCGTGGGTTCGATCCCGACCCTAATGAGATGTTAACTACCTCGCCTGGTATACAGGAGGTCGTGATTTCGAGCCCGACCCTGAAGAGATGTTAACTACCTCGCCTGGTATACAGGAGGTCATGGGTTCGATCCCGACCCTGATGAGATGTTAACTACCTCGCCTGGTATACAGGAGGTCGTGATTTCGAGCCCGACCCTGAAGAGATGTTAACTACCTCGCCTTGTATACAGGAGGTCATGGGTTCGATCCCGACCCTGATGAGATGTTAACTACCTCGCCTGGTATACAGGAGGTTGTGGGTTCGATCCCGACCCTGATGAGATGTTAACTACCTCGCCTGGTATACAGGAGGTCATGGGTTCGATCCCGACCCTGATGAGATGTTAACTACCTCGCCTGGTATACAGGAGGTCATGAGTTCGATCCCGACCCTGATGAGATGTTAACTACCTCGCCTGGTATGCAGGAGGTCGTGGGTTCGATCCCGACCCTGATGAGATGTTAACTACCTCGCCTGGTATGCAGGAGGTCGTGGGTTCGATCCCGACCCTGATGAGATGTTAACTACCTCGCCTGGTATACACGAGGTCATGGGTTCGATCCCGACCCTGATGAGATGTTAACTACCTCGCCTGGTATGCAGGAGGTCGTGGGTTCGATCCCGACCCTGATGAGATGTTAACTACCTCGCCTGGTATACAGGAGGTCGTGAGTTCGAGACCGACCCTGATGAGATGTTAACTACCTCGCCTGGTATACAGGAGGTCGTGGGTTCCATCCCGACCCTGATGAGATGTTAACTACCTCTCCTGGTATACAGGAGGTCGTGAGTTCGATCCCGACCCTGATGAGATGTTAACTACCTCGCCTGGTATACAGGAGGTCGTGAGTTCGAGACCGACACTGACACCTGTTGTACATTTGGAGTCTGATTGTCTCTCTGCTTGTGGTCGTGTGGATTTTTCTCCGGGTCCTCCAGTTTTTCCCTCCGCATTTAGAATCGACGTGCGTTTAGGAGTATTTGTCCGCTTTAAATTTCCACGCGATAAGCCACCTCATTGGGTTATCATTTGTGGCAAGGTCGCTTCTCAAAAAGAGCTTCGCAGCTCAGTGAGCCTTACCTCATAAAATACAAAATAGTGAAGTTAGAAGCAGTGAAGTTAGAAGCAGTGAGTAAGTGAAGACCGTTCAGAAGCCAACCGCATTAATGAACGAGTTTGGTTACCTGGCAAAATAAATGTTGTATTTAGTTTCTGCTGACGCGCTGCGCGGTGAACCCGTCAACGCGAGTTCGATTGAAGCCCAGCAACAAAACAAAAAAAAGGATTTCGCTTTCCAGCACTTGTGCCCTGTCAGCGAGTGTTGCGAGAGATCCTGCCATCATTCAGAAATCGGACATTGCCTCCCCTCTTTGGTTGGGAGTTGCAGTTGTACGTTGAGCTTCTTTCGCGCCATACTTCACCAACCGTGCTCATCGGAGGTGCGGGGAAAAATCGGAGTTGTTTTCTAACTGATGTGTCGCCACACTTCATTTCAGGCGGCGATGCTGCAGAGCAAATATGACCAGATATTCGAGATCAATATCCGGTAAGCGACACTCGATTATACATACACGGGGGCATTTCCCAAGGGGGACATTGCCCCCCACCGCAACGCACGGCGAGTTTTCACATGAACGTCTGTTGCTCGTGTGACCCAGCCTAGTCCAGCCGAGGGTGAATGTTGGCTCAGAGGCAGTGCATTGGTGTCGTCTTCCCGGGTTGTTCTCCGAGATGACGTGAGGAGTCCCAGGAAGATGATTTTTCACGTAACGTGCGGGCGTTGGCATGGCCACGCGGCAGCGCCTGTTGCAGAGGTTCACGGTTGGAATGCAGTGGCCGCCCTGATTAAGACTGCGGGTGTTATTAACCGTGAAAAAAGATACGTGTGCCGTCTGTTTCAAGGTGGATGTTAAAGATAATTTTAATAATTGAAAGCGAATTTCTTAAGAACTGATTTTTGTGTTTAGTTTGTTGTCCTTCCCCCGCACCTCCGATTAGCACGGCTGGCGATGTACGCTGCGAAAGAAGTTAAACACACGTACATCCTGTGACGTCAGTCACGCGTGTAGGCCTGTCTATGCTGCCCTCATGTTCAAAATTTGAAAAAAATCTTAATTTCCCGCAAATATTTTTTTAAAATGTACAGTACATGGTAATATTTTACCCCTACTGTGAACATTTTGAAGGACCCTTCTGCAAAGACTTCCTTGAGTAACAAGCAAAATAAATAAACAAATGGTGAAATTATTACATAAGTGACGTTACGACAGCGCTCGTGTCAGGCTCGGTTGACGTTGAGACTCTGTGGCAGGTCAAGGCACAAACTCCATTGTTATGGGTTCACTGAATCAGATGACTGGCAGATGCCACCACCTTTGGTTCTCATGGCACCAAATTTTTGCGTTTTGACCACCTGGCGCTTCCGCTGATTTTTCTCCGACCGCCCAATAACATCTTGCACGTGCCTCCTCTACACAGCCTCCACAGAACACGCGCACACACGACGCGCACACACGACGCGCACACACGACGCGCACACACGACGCGCACACACGACGCGCACACACGACGTGCACATACGACGCGCACACACGACGCGCACACACGACACGCACACACACGCGCCTTCCCCCTGGTCTTCGCGCGAATGCCGACGATGGTTCCCGCGCTTCGCAGGCCACCGCCCAGCCCGTCGGGCTCCGTGCCCGGGAAGCTGGGCCAGATTCCGTGCCGCTCCGTGCCCGTGTACGAGATGACTTTCCCCGACCTCTGCGTCTACTGAAGGCGACAGTCGGATGCGGGGGAGAGAGCGTTGGATGGCAGAAGACTCACGGCGGCAGGCTCGGCCTTGGATTGTCCGAGACACCAGGCACGTGTGGTGTGTGTGTGTGTATGTGGTGGGTCGTCAAGTCCCAGTGCTGTGGTGTGCGACTGGGCCCAAAGCCCATCGATCTCCATTCTGCATCGTGCGTGTGTGCGTGTGTACGTGTGTACGTGTGTGCACGTGTGTGTGTGCGCAGCCGACACCAGCTCCATTACTGCGTAGGCGTTCGCGTTTTTTGCCGTTAGCCCTCCGATGTGTTTTCAATCAAGTGCCTGAAGGGGGCACGTGGAGCGAATCGTCGGACATCGTGCCGAACAATACCACCACGGCACAACCCCTGAAAACACATCGGAGAGCTAGACATTAGCCCCCGTTTATACAGAGGGCTTCTCAATTCACAGTGAATTGTCACCAGAGCCAGACAGGCAGGCATGTTATTGCAAACGCATTAAGAAAGAGTAAACGGGAAATGCTTTCCATAAATAAATCGAGAGCCCATACTCGGCGTTTGTTTTGCATCTTGTGAAATTGAGTGCGTATGAACTTTACCGCATATGCGCACGTTCACACGCAAATCCTCAGCCTTTCTAAACATCAAAAACCATTACAAAAGCCAGCGGAATGCGTGGTTGGTGCTGCATAGAGTATATTTTGGAGCAGTAAAAATAACGTATTTTGCTCGAGTTAATTGGAATCTCTCTTAACTCTGGCATTTAAACACACCAGCCCTTCCCTTTGGCTCGAATCGTTGGACGCTTTCTCCGGGGGCTGCCCCATGATTTATTCATTCCCGCCTTGGAGGCATTCTCTTATTTGCAGTGTACTGAGCTGCACATTTTGTAACGATTGACCAATACTTGGATTTTAACAGTTGATGGATCTCACTCATCGCGTGGGCCGTTCTTGGAAAAGCTACCTTACTTAATAAGACTTGAGTTTTGAACATATAACAAGGAGCAATATGAATAGGTGGATCCCCATGCAGTACGAGTATGTGTTTGTACGTTTTACGAAATAGGCTCTGCGCTATATATATATTTTGGGTGGTGGCGCTTTGCGTGCACCGTTTGTACGTACGCAACTGCTTCTGTGTAGGTGCGTGCGCTGACGGAGGCATTTTTATTTGTTGCGTCCTGCACCGGCAATTGGCGAATGGGGCTTACTTTAATGTTTTACATCTAATGCTGGATTGATTGATTTATTTAACACACGCGCGGCATTACGTCGCCATTAGTTCGCAGCGTAAAATTTTGATGGGGGGAAATCTGCCCGCGGGCGGCATGTGGTCTCGCTCGGACGGTGCTTGCGATGACTTCCAACGTCCCAACACAAACCAAACGAAGGATGAATTGTAAACGGGAGTGGCCGTTCTTGTCCCGTAGCAGGGATGGTGGTGGCCGGGGTGGCATACAGCACTTTGTAGAATTATTCAACCAGCAGGGAGAGAGGCTATAGTAAAGTGTGGAATGGTGGGTTTTGACAAGTTGAGATGAAGCACTTGCTTGGACATCCATTCCACCCGGTGGTTATTGTGTCCACCACTAATAATGTGGAATTAACAAAACGCAAGCCGGCCAACCAGTCCATTGAGCAATTATTAAACCAAATGTACGGATGCACTTAAGAGTATAAAACCAACCCGAGGTTATCGAACACAGACACGGCCCTAAGCCCCATGCGTAGGAGTGTATATGGCACAGAACGCCCTCTCGCCCCTCGGTCCACTGCCTAGAGCCTCCCGGCTCCTTGAGCTGCGTGTGCCGGGTGGTGAGAGGTGAGAGGGTATTGCGATGCCACCCTCTGTCGCTGCTGCTTGTTCGTAATTATTGGGTTCCCAGGGCCACGATGATTAATCCACTGTCGGTTCAACAGCGGTGATGCAACTTGTACGGCGAAACCTTCCGAGTTTTAATCCTGCCAATTTGGTTATGCACGCACTTGCGAAATCTTTCAGTTTAGTTCTGAGGGCATTATAAATCGGTGTGCTTCGGGATTAAGGAATGTATGGGACTCGTCTGGCTAAATCAGTGTGCCAATGATGATTATTGTTTTGAGCACTGCATACGTTATGCCAATTGATCGAGGATTGTATAAGTGTAGGGTTAGGGTGGTGGTTGTGAGGCTGGTGGTGAGCGAAGTGAGAATGGAGGTGTTGTTAATCAAAAAAACGCTCTCAGCAATACTGTTGCATTAAAAATATGTGTGTGTGTCTGCACCCATTGAGATGGCCGGTTGTGCGGAGTGGGACCACGTTATACTCCGTCTTGTTGGGTCAGGTGGGACGATGAAGAGCATGGGGTAAGGATGGTCGGTTATGGCCACTCCCTTGGAGGCGAGGTGGTAACCTCCTTTAGGTCAGACTCGGAACTCAACATCTGGCTGGTGCCTTCCACGAGCTGGACTCGGCCTTGAGCGACAGCAGAACTCTCGACTCTTCAGTTGAGGCCTCTATTGAGCAACTCGATTCGACGGTGGCGCGTTTGCCTGCACGCTCTTAACAGTCCACACGCGTGCAAGTGTTGGCCTGCCCGTACCGCGAACGTGTAGGGCGCGGTTCAACGAATGTCGTTTCAAGGTCATCGAGGAGCAACGCGAAGCGGGGCTTTGCTCAGCCGGCGAGGCGTTTGTAGAAAGTTTTACCGGATGTGATTTACTGTTCAGTGGATGCACACATACACACACGCCTTACACGTAAACATGTATCGTGGTGTATTCGCACAAACTCGCTATACATTTTGATTAGTATATTAATGCAAATACGCCTATACATCTTTGATTAGCCATCGCTCCTCAATTCTTAACAGCCGGCTTATACGATTGTAATATGTTACACATTTGGGGGGGGGGGGGTGGGTGGAGGTCGCATTAATTACCAAAGTGCGTAGTTCGCTACAAAGTGGTCATTAAAGAAGGCGTGATGTCGTCGGTCAGAAGAGCGGGTCATTGTGTACCGATATCAAGTGTCAGTTTCCAAATGTTAGAACTACCAGAAACTAAAATCGTGGAGAAACCCTGATGTCAGTGGGTGCAAAATCATCACTATTTTTACATAAATGTCCGTTCTGGAAATGGATAATGAATTCTCGATGGCCTCACCTGAATTATAAATTGCCCAGGCACGAGTCATAAATTGCCCGATGCTTGAATCACTGTCTTAACGGTCCAATGATTGACGGATCACTCTTGATGATGCGAACGTGATGGTGGCGACACTGGGCACGTGATGATTCTCTCGGATTCAAATGGATCCGCGTGCGCACTTCGCAATGCGAGCAATTCCGAGCGCGGCAATCGTTTACAATTTACGCTCATTATGTACAAATGTTAAAGTTAAGAACTAATGGAGGCGAACACTGTCGTGTACGTGAGACGGCATAGACTGAGAGAGCTACAAGTGATACAAGAATATATTGCAATTCTAGATTTGAAGTTTTCGTGATTGCAATGATCCATACTCTTTGTTTTTTTTCGGTGAAGTCACGTAGGTAAAAATAAAAAATAAAGTTAATCAAATCGCGACGTTTCGGAGGCGCAACACAAGCCTCCGACATCAGGTTTAATAAGCACAGCAAAATTACTGTAAAGAGAGCCATTTGTAATAAGAGATTTGTAATAAGAGATTATTATTACAAATCTCTCTTTACTGTAATTTTGCTGTGCTCGTTACACCTGATGACGGGGGCTTGTGTTGCCTCCGAAACGTCGCGATTTGATTAACTTTATTTTGTATTTTTACCTACGTGACTTTACCGATAGAACGAAAGAATTTGTTTCAACCCTGTGACAATCCAATTGAGGTGGGGGAGGGGGTGGGGGAGAATCAATACATGCCAAGTGTTGTACATGAATATACCAATTCCAGCATGGACACGTGACTCTGCCTGATTTGACCAATTGGGAGTGTGTGACTTGCGGCATCCCAATCAATCACCAGCTCTGGCTGAGTGTCGTCGTAGTAGCGGTAACTCGGAAAACGATCAGCCTTCCATTCTGTTCATTATGCGTTTTAGAAACTAATTGGCAACATTAAAGCCAACGCTAGCAGGTGTTCCAACACTGGGTTCTCCATTTATAGTATGTCAGAGTAAGGCTGCTGTTATACACATCGGTCCTGTAAAGCAGTATTTCACATTGATTTTCCAACTTACAATTAAGATTCCATGGGATTCAATAACTGCCTAGCTTTCCCCCCCCGTATTTTTACTTTTATCTTTTGCACGTGCACTGATGTAGTCACTTCACAAGATTCAGCCTGCGGTGTCCACTGAGGTCCAGTTTCACCGCATCTGCCAATCGATAGCCGCACGTTACGCCCTTCTTTATTCTTCGGGAGTGCCACCTTTAACCGGCTAAGAATGCAAGGAGGTTCATTTGGTTCTGTGACCTTCGCGAAAAAGACACCTGCCAGGTGGCTTGTGAAATGTTCCGCGTAACTTTGAGGTTGATTTCATGTTGACATTGGGCTTAATGACGTGGCAGAAGAGTGTTGGCACTCGTGGAAATTAAAATTTCAGCTGGACTTCTTTTCGATGTGCCTTCCGCTCTCCTATGAATGGGTTGAGTTGATTAGCGATTATATGGCCTTTGAAAAAAATTGTGAATTGTAAAATCAAGGCGGGTTGCATTCAAAGTAATTGGTTAACAGTTTCGGACATGGAAGTGTGCTATTTAAATGCCCGGCATTCTAGCTCCATGGGAAAACGTCAGAATTGCGTCAAGGGCTGCATCGCGCGTTGGTGGCTCGTAAAAATCTGGATCGAAGTGAGGGCGTCGGGACTGGAGTTTGTTCGAGTGCTTGCGTTTATTTTTGGACCAAATAATGGATGATTATCACCCTCTCGCGTTGTCGCTCCGCTGTGCATTAATGCGACCCGTTGTGCGCTGTCGGGCTCTTTACTTTCCAATTTATAAAGCTCGTCACGTTTTCCACTTATTTATTGCGGTCATCAATTCATGTTCTCATTCAGCTTTACATTCACGTGATTTGTTTCTGTGCAATAAAGTGGAGAATTTATTGTTATGCATCCGAAATATGTTATTTTTCGCGACATTTTAAAGTGGCCGGTGCGTTTCGCCCCGACTTGACGCATGAACTCTGCTCACTGATGAAGAATCAAAGTCGTCGACCGACTAATTCAGTCAAACACACTGGTGGGCTAAAGCAGTGAACTAATTTGTCTTTTGTTAACGTGACACTTTTTTTTTACTGAATGGCCGTGGTCGGGTGGTGGAGGCTTGTGACACATTTATAATAACGCGATCTAACCCAAAAACCTTTATTATGAATAATTCAGTATTTTTAAAAGGTGTCTGAGTGGCTAAGGGGAGGGCTCATTGGCGGTGGCACTGAGCCAAACACTGCTGGGATTCTACATTCAAATTGATGGTCTTACTCCACCTGTGGTCCACAATTCCAGCGCACAAAGAGCCTTCCTGTCATTTGACCGTACCTTCATTTGCACACGTTTCAGTAAAAAAAAAAACCCGATTCATCCGAGTTTGATTTTGTCATGCAACTCACGTTCCTTCCACACCCCGAAACTAATAAATACAAATATCACTGCGCTGTCGGGCTCTGGAGTAAAACACTTGTCACCCTCCACAGGGCTCCGTCTGAATTAATGATACAATGTGACGTTCCACGTGGAAGTTTAATCTCGGGCCGTGATGCCAGCAGGAAAACTATGACACAAAATGGTGTTAAAAAGTTTCGTGTTATTCATTACACAAATGATGCCCCCTCCTAAGCTGCTGCGGTGTGTGCGGGGTGGGGGCTGGGGGGGGTTTGATGCTTCCCGAATGCGGGCAGCTCCTGCTGGGCTGGAGGAGAAGGTCGCTGGGTCCCAGGTGAGGTGAGGGTCTTCTCCCTCCCAGCAGAGCTGCCTCCTCTTGTCGCACCGATACCGCACAAAACCCTGCGCCCCCACCCCCCCCCCCCCCCCCCCACAGTTAGCACGGTCCAACATCAAACGCGGCCTTCAAAGAGTTAATCCGTATAATAACAATAGGCTATGACTAGATCTGTATGGGTTTAGAGGAAGACGGTCTCACAATGATTACATTTAAATGTTACAATACAATTTAGTTGCCTTGCTTTCATGCTACACCCGTCAGTGTAGCGTTTCCTCAAAGGGGGTGGATCGCGGAACGTTCTGCTGCCTGTTATGATAGCCAGATGCCTTTAATCGGGCTTGGTCCAATTAATATTTAAATGTTTTAACTTGTTTTGTGATTCGAGGGCCCCTTGTGGCCGACTAGCCCACTAGCGTCGCACAACGCTGCCACGTCGCCCCCAATAGTTAAGCTCCTGCCTTCGTCACACTACAACTCAATATAACCCTGACCCGACCACACTCATCATGTCCTCGCACTATCCAGAACCACAGTAGCCAACCAGACTATAGCCATCACCCACCCCAACATTAACAAACCAGCCAACCAGCACCTCTCAAGATCCCAACCTCTCACCCTCGCCCGATACCTCTAAGGCCAACCTCTAGGCTAGGGGAACCGAATCCTCAGAGGGCCAATTAGGATTTCCAAACTCCTTTGGCAGACAGCCACAATATTATCGCGCCCGCTTCCGCCACTTTGATCACTTCAAGATGCCCGCACTAAAATGATAAACGCTGATTTCTTTTTTTGTTCCGGTCGAAATTATGTTTTTTCCCTCTCTCCCAGAGTACCCGATTACTGCAGCTAAGACGCTTGCAGCGCCGGAATACCCAGAAACCGTCGCTTGCGATCCGTTTCGTAGTGGTAGGGCGTGGTCCATATAGGGTCCTCCGTCTCCTATAGACCAAACCCTAACATTGTCGCCAACACTGGCACTTCGCTCGCCCCCCGACTCGTGTTACTCACATCTGGTGTTGTGAGCAGCACCACCATCATCATCATCATACCGAGTGCAAGCGACTTACGGGCCCCGACGAGGCATCGGACTCGCCCTTGGCTTCTGCCACTCAGGCTGCACCCTTGAGACCAGCAGCACCTGCAGCAAGCGAATTTGCGCAGGCGTTTGAGCCACACACACACACCATGTACATGAGTCGTGCACCGCACGCACGTATGTATTCTGAACCTCTTTCGCACCGTACGTAGCCAAGCGTGCTAATCGGTGGTGTGGCGGAAGGACAAACTGAACAACAACAAGAAAGCAGTTGTCAAGAAATTAGTTTCCAATGTAGATGTAAAAGTGCATAGCTCCAGTGGCTTCCTATTATCGAAAGGAAGGACCGTTCCAGACGGCCACAGAAGCGCGCGATGCAGTCGTCGTCTTTGATGGCCCAGTCAAAAGCAGATGCGAGGGTGACACGTGGGTGCCTTGTCGGTCTGTCGCTAATGACACGCACGACGTGCACGGCCGGGGACTCAACCCAGGCCCTCGAACGTGCCGACTCGGCACGACGAGCAGTGTTGTACCGTGCCCATCACGGTATTGATAAAAAAACAACAAACCTCTTACATTATTAGTTCACATTTTCTGCATCGCGAACATTGTGTTCTTCTAGTTGACAGCAAACACATGCAGTAAAAATAATTATTTGAGCTCACTAACCACAGACGTGAGAAGGCAGCAGCGGCAGCCACCTGGTGAGCCGGTGCCAATAATTGTCCCAGCACTGCAGTCCTCTATGTGGTAAGTAGTTTGTCAGCTGATGAGTGAGTGGTTTCACATGTGGGAGGAAGCCAGAGCAACCTGGAGAATCACCCCCGCATGCGAGGGGGCAACACTCGATCCCATACAGACGGAACAAGTGGAGTCCACTTCTCCTGGCAACCTCATTGGCAACACGACGTGCGCGATACACTACCAACCCCTTTGCTGCCTCCACTCCGCAGGGCTGCGTGACCGGCCACGTGCGTAGCCAACTGCAGTACGAACAACATTTTGTGGCCAGGTCGCTTCTGAAAGATAAGTTAATACCTCGGTTGTCTTTACCTAGTAAGACACAAAGAAATATATAGTTTTGTTTTATTTGTGAATTTTTTTGTTAAAGTTATTTGTTTACCTTTCCGATAATTTGCACTCCTATCGTGTTTTTTTTATTGTTGTATAACGTTCTGACTCACCTCTGCTGGACACGTGAAAAAAAAGAGCTTAATAGCTCATCGGATTTCTCCTGCGTAAATAAATACTCCCATTCTGAACATTGTGCGTCACGGGGAGTGGGCGCAGCAGTGTTGTTGCTGCTGCTGCTGTTGTTCAGTGGATGAATGAACGCACGTGGCCGGGGCGGGCGCCAGCCCGTCGTCTCGCGGAATCCGCCCGGTAGCGCAGGGCGAGCAGCGTCCCCGCGTGTCCCAGCCACACGCCGTGCGGAGCACGCAGCCCTGCCCGCCCTCGCCGGGGGTCCAACCGGGCGACACGCGTCGCCACGGCCACACCGGCCGGCACACCACTGACGCACAAAAACAAACAAAGATCCCACCCCAACCCCGTGTAGCCTTAACACACTGTAGGGGCCAGTGCTGTTAGCGAGCAGCAGCACCTGTGAAGGCCGGCACTGTGGCACGCGAGGGCGTGGGGTGGCCAACACCTCGCCCGATGTTTACGCACCGCACCAGGTATTCATTTGAGGCTGAGTCGACCTAGAGGAGGCACGGGACCGGTTCAGATATTCGTCACTGTTAGTGGCCGTGCGCAGGGATCGAAGTCGGGTCGCCGGGCTCATAGCGCAGCGCGCTAACCGCTACACAACTCCCCCACACTGACGCGCACACAAATAGTGTGACGATGTGTGACGAGCGGGGGGTGGGGGGGAGTTTGAGAAATGTGACGTCACATCAAAATACGCAACTTTAAATGAATATAGACAACACGTTCTACTTAATTAAATAGACTTTTTAATAAATGTTTTCCCCTACAGCATCAGAGTGCAGCGCCACATTAAATACGCACTACAATGACAATAGTTTAAAGCGATTTGAAGCATGTTTTATTTTGGGGGGGGGGGGGCAGAGCTTTATGACGTCATTTGAGTGGCGGTCTGACTTTTTGTGACGTCGTGTGACGAAGGGGGGGGGGGTCAAAAATCGCGTGACGTCATTTATGGACGGCTCCTAAGTGCACGACGCAATTCCGTTGGCGCAGTTGATGGCCATGATAATTATTTGTTATTTCGCGTATTTACCCAGTCCCGTGGCTCATTGTTGAGGAGCGTCCAGCCAAGTTGGTGCGCCCTTGTTGATTGCAAGGAATCCTTGGCGAAGTGTGATGCAGCTGATTGTATTTGTTACGTGGTATGTACGTGGCGTGTAGTCAGCCGTGCCATCATCAGTGTTGGACCAGCATTGTTGTGAAATGTATAAATGGATGGCAGTGACATCACAAGAGTTCCACAAATGACACAATACTCGACCCTAATTTTTACATGCACGTTTCGCATGAACAATGTTTCAAAATGTGCGTATGGCAGTGCGTGACACACACACACAGAGATACTCGAAATGGACGTCGATTCCTAAACGTGGAAGGAAAAACAGGACCCGGAGAAAAGTTAACGCGACCACGGGGAAAGCTCCAAATATACGGGCGCCAGGGTCGACATGGAACCCAGGACGTCCTGTAGCCCCGGCGAGGCAGCTAACACCTCGCCACCGTGGCAGCCCGTGCATCTTCCCGTCGTGTGCATAGCTGAACTTCGTTCGCACCGTACGTAGCCAACCGTGCTCATCGGAGGTGCGGGCGAAGGGCAACGAACTAAACACAAAGGCTGTTCTCAACAAATGAGTTCCTCAATCGAGATTCTAAGGGTGCAACGACTCCCAGTGGCTTCCTCGTCGGAATGAGGAGCGTTCCAGACGGCCGCCGACGGCGCATCTGAAATCGCCGCGGGATGCAGTTGACCGTCCTTCGTTCGACGTTTCGGGCTTTCACCTAGGCCACGTGCGCCGAGTTTCGCCACTGAGCGCGAGCGATGTGATTGCGCTAACCGCCGCCCTGCCACCACCACCCCCTCCCCCCCCCGCGGTAATGCGTCCACGAGGATCTACCGACCAAACATCGCCGGCGGCGTGGGCTGGCGCTCAGCTGTCCGGTTGGAGGTGCTCGAGTGCAGGTCACGGCCGCGGGTGGCCACCGCACCTGTGCCAAGAACACAGCGAGTTCGTCTCGGGCGCACGGCCACAGCGTGTCCATTGAGTTCGTGAACATTAAGCGAACGACGACAAACACCCTCCCCCCCCCCCCGTATATAGAGCATTGACAGACTGTTGGGGCAAGTGCTGTGTATAGTGAGCCAGCCAGCTACGAATGCCGCTGGCAGGGCACACGAAGAGGGGTGGGTGGCGTGGTGCTGGCCACCCACTCACTCGTGTGTCCGTTCCGGCCTTCGTCGGTGCTACTCGCTGAAGCACTTGCCCATACAGTCTGTTAAAGGCTATACGGGGGATCTTTGTCTTTGCGTGTGGTTCATACGTGGCACCTGTGGTGCCGGATTATCCTCGTAACAAAAGTAGCTACACATGTAGTAGCCACTGGCCCCGAACTTTCAAGGGCCCCGTGCTCAATGGTTTGAAGCTATCTTTTCCGGTTCAGTGATTCTGCACTTGCTCTATTACTACAGTACTATACCGCCTTCGACTTTTCTGAACGACTGGGTGTTTAAGGTTAGCGATTTGTCGTATTATCTGGCTGTATAGCAAATGAAAAAATACAATTAGTTTACTGTGCAAGTTAAACATTTGTGTTTTCATATTTACGTGTTTTTTTATATTTTATGGCCCCTTTATAACATCACATGCTCCAGGCCCCGCACTCGCTTCATCCGGCACTGGGCATCTGTTAACTTGCCCAGTAACCACCGGGAGGCATTCGCCAAGGGAACTCCCCACAACTCCCAACGTGCGACCGCAACCCCACCCCCCCACCCCGCCCCCCTGGGTCTTTACCGGTCACGGTGGCTCTGCTCGTTGCGGAGGAGCTGCCGCGTTCGTCCGATCGATCGGTGGTCACGGGGTGAGCGGCACTCGAGGGCGGAGGAGGCGGGATCGCGTCTCCTGGCACGCGGAGACACCAGCACTCGCTGTGACCAGCGCCGCAGCCACGATTGGGACAATACGAGCCTACTGAACGGGAGGGGTTAACACACGCATTGCAACAATACGGCCGCGTGAGATCTCTGTTGTTATGGCTTGTTTTGAATCTCGCCACGGTGGCGAGATGTTAACTACCTCGCCTGGTATACAGGAGGTCGTGGGTTCGATCCCGGCCCTCACCCGTGCGCGCTGCAGGGAGCACGGTCGACTTCGGAAGGGAGGGAAGAAACGTGGGGCCGAGGGTGACCTCCTCCACCGTCAGTCGCGTGGCTCCATCAGCACCACCACCATCATCACCACCTGGGACAAACGACGAGTTCCTGCCATTGGCGTTTTGTGTTCGCAAGCGGACAAGCCAGGGAGGCCACCAGTCATCGTCCCTTCTGGAAAGGGGCCTTCTTCAAGCAACTGAATGTCCTATACAGGGCGCCATGGTGGCGAGATGTTTAACTACCTCGCCTGGTATATTGGAGGACCTGGGTTCGATCCTGACCCTGACGCCTGATGTATATTTAGAGTTTGCATGCCTCTGTCCCCTTGGTCGCATGGATTTTTCTCCAGGTCCTCTGGGCTTTCCCTCCACATTTAGAAACATGCGTTTAGAGTGTTTGGCTGCTGTGTATTTCTATATGGTAGGCCACTTCGTTGAGCTATAATTTGTGGCCAGCTCGCTTCTGAAAAAAAACGCTATGTAGCTCAGTGGGCCTTACCTGGTAAAATAAAAATAGTTTAGTTTTAAGTTTATGTTTTGGGCTTCTCTGTCCAATCACATCCCAATTGCCCTACTTGCTCTGTCCGGGTCGGTGACCCACAACATATTTTCTCCAAACCCACATAGGTTCAAGCGCTGGTAAAATCTGAAGTTAGGTTAATATTCAGTGGTGCCTGCATCTCAATCTGTTTTTTTTTTAGTTTTCAGTTTATTTCTTTTGGTATAGCACTGTGAGCCATTCGGCTCTTGAATCGGGTGCAACCACAACAAACAAAAAAACAAAAACACGAACAAGAAAACATGTTAAAGTGACTATGTGACTGTGCAAACAGAAAATCCATGAAAAAACAGCAAAATATTCCTGAAAAAAGCACCGTACACCAACGTTGTGTGCAAAAAATCCCAGTGGGATGCAAGTCAAACAACAACAACAACAACCACAAGAAAACTTAGATTAAGGCCATCAGTCTAACTCCGTACTACAACAAAACAAACATGTCCAAACAAAAAAACTTTTCGAAATCACCAAAAAATAAAGCCATAATTGCAACGTAATAGTGATCATAGGGACTGTGACCGAATTTTTACAATAAACTACATAAATAACATGTAACACCAAATCCTAGAGCAATAGCTGGCTGCATGAGTTACTCCACAACAACAGAAGCATCAGTCGGAGTATCAAGTTTTTCAATGCCCCTTTAAGATAAGCACGTTAAATCAAATACAGATAATACTTTGCAGCGTCATCCAGAGCGAAATTTTTTATTTTATTTTACGCCAATGAATAGCAGTGGCAGCTAGGGGTGTACAACTCCTCTAGAGCAGTTTTGAGAGAAGATCTCATTGGTAGCGATTTAAGTTGTAGTTAATTGGCAATAGCATTCCAGACCCTGGGGGCATCAATAGCAAAGGCCCTTCCTCCAGTTTATGTACGGCAATAGGGAATGTGAAGCTGGGAGATGAGCGAAGACTGAGGTAAAATTTGTTCTTTGAAACAGAGAGGAGATCCAGCAGGTAGTCTGCGGATTTTTTTGTAAGTACATCGTCAATAAATAAGACCTGGTGCACAAGCCGTCGAACATTAAGAGATGTTAAGTTTGACCCAATGTACAGATCAGTGGTGAGTCCTATATGGGCAGTTCAATGTAAATCTTAAGGCCGAGTGATAGATGGAATCAAGCTTCTTCAGTACAGTACTTGGTGCTGATTTATACACGATGGCACAGCAGTCAAGTAGAGGCAGTATGGTAGTTTTTATCAATTCCAAGCGGAACATTGGGGGGAAGCAGTGCTTGTGTCGATACAGAAAACCAATTTTTATTTTTGTCTTTTTACCAATATAATCAATGTGATCTTCAAAATTCAGTTTTGAATCCAGGATGACCCCAAGATACTTATTGATCTTGACTTGCTCTATTTAATAATTATTTACGGAATGTAATTGGGGAAAATAACTTCCTGCTTTAGTCCTGGTGAGAAGCATAGTACCTTGGTTTTGGAGGTATTCAGGACTAGTTTAAGAGCAACTAGCTGATGTTGTAGTTTGTTGAAATCACCCTGTAGCTTAGCAATCACGTCATCCGGAGAGCGGCCAGCAGTAATCAGTATCGTGTCATCTGCAAAAAAATACCCTGGAATGATCCAGGTCAGTGCCCAAATCATTGACATAAAGAGAGAACAAAAGGGGGCCGAGGATGGAGCCCTGTGGAACCTCTTTTGTTATCTTAACACTATTTTACCTCCAACCATCTGTGAATATAGTTTGGGTGCGAGAAAAGAGGTAATTTTGTAACCATTTTACTGCGTTTTCGGAAAAACCGAGGCAACTTAGTTTACTAAGCAGGGTGTTGTGGTCTACTGTATCAAAAGTTTTGGACAGATCTAGAAGAAGACAGGCACAGTACTGCTTATTATCAAGGCTACTGTAAATGTGATTCAGAGAGTCTAATGCAGCAGATGTGGTACTGTATTCTTTTCGGAACCCAGATTGTTTAAGATGTAGTAGATTGTTGGTGGACAGGAAACTGCTAATTTGGTAGGTCAATAATTTTTCAAAAAATTTCATCAACGGGGACAAAATTCAGATAGGTCGATAGTTTTTTGGATCATCTTTAGGGCCCCCTTTGTGAAGTGGACGGACATAGGAATGTTTCCATTGTAGAGGAACTAATGCTTTTTGATGGACAGGTTAAAAATATGGGCTATAGGTTTGTATATTAGGTGACCAACAGTTAGTTGAGCAAAGACGGGAATACTATCTGCTCCAGTAGAGGAGGACTCTTTGAGGTAGGACAGTTGTTTCAGAACATTGCTTTCGTGGATTGGCTGGAAACTAAATTCGTATTAAAGTTTGGACAGGGGTGTAGGAATTTGCATGAGCAGGGGTGACTCCCAATACATTATCAAAAAGATTCCCAGCTTCAGAAAAATGAAGGTTAAAATTGTCAACTATCTTTTTGGGATCTGAAAAATATTCCCCATTTCGGTTAAGCTCAACGGGCAGATTGTCTATTTTGGATGCCTTTTCGATCCATTTGATTGTTTTCCAGGGCATTTACATGTGATTCCAGGAGAGTGGAAGAAAAGTAGGCATTTTTTGCATGCCGTATTTTTTGACGCATCTATTCCTTTAAATCCTGTATTCTAGCCAGTCATTGACCAAATTACTTTTCTGAGCACATTACCAAGCCTTGTCCCTAGTTTTCATGAGCTTTGTAAGCAAATGATCAAACCATGGTGGGCGGTTGCCTTTAGTTTTAAATCTAACCAACGGAGCATGTTTGTTAAGAATTTGGAGAAACGTGTACCTGAAGGTCTCCCAAGCTATAGTCAGTCATAAATACCTCAGTATAAAAGTGGGGGAGAGTGTGAATTTGTGGATCGGAGGACCCAAGTTAAACTCCAATTATACTTTAATATTGAAACTATTTAATATTTTAACGTTAAAATATAAAGGAAACAAGCTGGTTTTGAGAACCCAAATTTCAACGGCTTACAAACCCAAACAAATTTCCACTCAGCCACCAGAGACTTGGCTCTGTTTCTATGAGTCTTCGTGTACAGATAACTGAGACTCGGATACTACCGAGCTATATGATGTAGCCATATATGCAACACCGAAGTCTCAGTCATATATCCACAGGCTCTCAGACATTCATACCGTGTCTCTTGTGACAGAGAGGAAAAGATGTTGCTTTGTAAATCAGTGGAACCTGAGTTGAAATCCCACTAAGTAAATTTTTGTTTTGTATTTATTAGCAGTGTTAGTGATCACACATCACACTTTCTTTGCTGCATGAATGCACGGCGCAAGGACTTGTTTGCCAGAACCACCAACTCTCTGTTTGGTGGCTCAGTGGCAGTTGGTGGCTCAGTGGCAGTTGGTGGCTCAGTGGCAGTGTGTGGCTCAGTGGCAGTTGGTGGCTCAGTGGCAGTTGGTGGCTCAGTGGCAGTTGGTGTGCTCAGTGGCAGTTGGTGGCTCAGTGGCAGTTGGTGGCTCAGTGGCAGTTGGTGGCTCAGTGGCAGTTGGTGGCTCAGTGGCAGAGTGGACGAGCCAAGAGGAGCGAGTCCCGGGCAGCGCGGCGGCCGTGAGGAAAGCCGCCCAACAGGTGAGTGTGACTACAGGTGATATAAATTTTGATTTAAAGCTTTCGTGACTGCAGTAATTCATATCCTTAGTTTCTTTCGGTAAGAACTAAGAATAATACAGGTGAGATAATTGTCATTACGTGTGTTGCTGTACGTCCCCTGTCTCATCCGGGTGATTAGGCAACAAGTGGAGGGAGACCTGGAGACAGTGAGGAGGTGGTGGTATTGGAGGAGAACTGGAGACGTGGAGGGATGGCAAGGTGAGCTGAGGAGAGGGGAGGAAGGAAAATGCACAAAATAGATATTTGGGGGAGGGGCGGGAAATTGTATTTCTCACGTAAAACATCTCGCCACCAGGGGGCGCTGCTGTATTTAAACTCCTTTTCCCCACTCACGCCCCACACCCAGGCAGACATTAACCGATTAGCACCCCCTAGTGGTCACGAGTGGCGTTGACTGCTCAAAGTCAGTTTAACACGAAGGCTTTCTGAAAGCCGTGAAGCCGAGCAGCCCTCAATGGCTCTCCCTCCGCAGCAGCGTTTCTCAAACTCTTTTGACCCACGGACCACTCGGCCGATGCAAACATTCCGCGGACCACTCAGCCACACACACCTGGTGACGAAACGCATTCACTTACCTCTCTATAAATACCAGGTGATACCAAAATCATACCGTGTCATCCCACACAGTTTTGCCCCGTATTCTTGGTGCAGGGAAATTGAGTTTGCAGGTCCATTCGGCGTACAGCTGTTTAAATACGGGCAACATTTATTTTAGTCTATTTGTTTGTGTGTCTCCCTTGTGATGGGAATTTGAAGGATGAACGTTGAGATTTATAAGGGGCACGGGGTGACCAATGAGGTCTGAATTGGTTTGTAATAAGGTAGGGGACTGATAATGGGTTGACAGGTTCGCTAAATCATTCATATTACCGGAATTTTATTAAGTTTACACGCAGATTTACGTTTGTTTAGGGGGTGGCATTTATATCTGAGGGTTAGGGTAATTTAATCAGGGTAGTTTTACTAACTTCATTTATTATTATTAAATATCGTAAGTAAAATATGAATTAACGTCAGAAACAAAAGATATAAACGTTGCCATTATTTCTGGATCGGACTGCGGACCACACTCTGAAAACCACTGCACTTGAGCCACCTGAACCAGCCCGTACAACTCCCCCATCATCAGCTCACACCATCACCCCTTCCCTTCGTCACCCATCACATTCCACTCTACACTACTTCACCCATTACCTGTTCCATTACTTCGTATTTCCTGAATTGATGGTTGACGGGGGGGGGGGGGGGGGGGTGGGGGGGGGGGGGGGGGGGGGGGGTATGAATATTCATCCACATACGGCGGCTCACAGTGTAGGTAGTTTAGCGGTAACGCGTTGTGCTACGAACCAGACGACCCGAGTTTGATTCCCGTTCACGGCAAACACCGGTGACGATTATCCGAACTGGCCTTCCCTAGGTCGACTCAGCCTCAAGTGAGTACCTGGTTCGGTGTGTAAACATCGCCACGAGGGAGACAAAGGCGGCTGGGGCGGGGTCCTGGCTACATCACCCTCTCGGTGCTGTGCCGGTCTTCATTAGGTGCTCGCTAACACCACTTGTCCCAACTCTCTGTTCAGGCTACACGGGGGAACCGTTGTCTTTGTTGCCTCACCCGTGCGTGCTACAGGGAGCACGGTCGCCTTCGGAAAGGAGGGAGGAAACGTGGAGCCGAGGATGACCTCCTCCACCATCAGCCGCGTGGCTCCACCACCACCATCACCACCTGGGACAAACGACGAGCCTCTGGCGTTGGCGTTTTGTGTTCACAGCGGGCAAGCCCAGGGAGACCACCGGCCATCGTCACTTGTGTGAGGGGGCCTTCTTCAAGCTATTTAATGTCCCTTCTAACGCGCCAAGGTGGCGAGATGTTCACTACCTCGCCTGGTATCCAGGAGGTCATGGATTCGATCCCGACCCTGATGAGATGTTAACTACCTCGCCTGGTATACAGGAGGTTGTGGGTTCGATCCCGACCCTGATGAGATGTTAACTATCTCGTCTGCTATGCAGGAGGTCGTGGGTTCGATCCCGCCCCTGATGAGATGTTAACTATCTCGTCTGCTATGCAGGAGGTCGTGGGTTCGATCCCGACCCTGATGAGATGTTAACTACCTCGCCTGGTATCCAGGAGGTCGTCGATTGGATCCCGACCCTGATGAGATGTTAATTACCTCGCCTGGTACACAGGAGGTCGTAGGTTCGATCCCGACCCTGACGCCTGCTGTATATTTGGAGTTTGCGGTGTCTCTCTCCCCGTGGTCGCGTGGATTTTTCTCTGGGTCCTCCGGGTTTTCCCCTCCACATTTAGAATCAACGTCACGCGTTAAGACTATTTTTGGCTGCTATAAATTCCAACGTGATAAGTTGTTGAGCTTTCATTTGTGATGGCCAGGTCGCTTCTAAAAAATAGCTATATAGCGCAGTGGGGCCTTAGCTGGTAAAATACATATTTTTTAATAGTAAAATAGGTTTCACTTCCTGAAAAAGCTCCCAGCACGCGGAGCGAAACGTCGGACTTCGTGCCTAACAACGCGCAGCACGACTCGAAAACTACGTATCAGTGCTAGACTTCTCCCATCCATGCAACCGTGGAATTTCCACGAACGGTTTAGGGCCACCATTGAGGTTGAATTCTGCGGGATGCTCACTTGGGCACGGAGATATCGAGCTCACTTTGTAAAACACTCGTCACGAAATGCCGGGCACAAGACGGTTGATGGCTGCCTGTGAGCGTGCGCGCGTGGAGGAGGTTCGTGAAGGACGCTGCTGCTACTGGTCACTTGGAAGGAAGTCGCCCCTCCAACAACAACGGAGGGCAAAGGAGCGACGCTCGTAATAACGGGACCGCCGTATGGCGAAAATGCAGCAAGTTGGGCACAGTAGGGGGTGCATCTTCCGGTCATCTCAGTCGGTCAACCCACGGCACCTCGGTCTGTCACGTCAACTCCCGTCATCGAGCCTTCAATACTTCACGTGACCTCAATGTGCACCTGGCCTGGCACAGGCGCCGTGGTGACGTCACCGCCACTTTGTGGCCAATGGCGGGTGTTGTTGTTGTGCATGTTACCACTGCTCTGGTGGTGGTGTTGTTGTTCTTGTTATCTACAGGCTCAATCCGCTGGTGATTAAACCAAGTTCTTAGAGTTGATGGGTCTCTCGGCGCGATCACTAATAACTACACCAAAAAAACCCCACCACAATAACTTTGGTTAGTCACTTAATTTGGCTTTACCCCAGCACTGAAATTGACACATTTCAATTTGATTGGCATGCGATGAACAACCTTGGCAGCACATTGCATGGTTGGCTACGCACGGTGCGAAAGAGGTTCAACACACATGCATTGTGGACAACACGGCATTTCGGAGTGCGTTCAGAAGTAGATCTGTGGGCATCCTCATTTTAGTTCACATTGATGTCGTGGTAGCAGCCGGATGTCCGAATGGGCACGCATCGTTGTCCCACGATGGGATGCCACGGGCACGATCGCGATGCAATTGAGGGACAGACAAAAACAAATATCACAAAAATCCGAAGCCGCACGCAAACATCCTGCGGACATCCCCGTGTACCTTGAGCGAGAGTGGCGTTCTTCGACATCATAACGCCGAAGAGAGGCGGAGAAGGGGGCAGTGACGCATCTGCGTGATGAGAACACGGATAGTAACGAGATTCAGTTGTGCACGGGGGGGGGGGGGGGGGGGGGGGGAGGGGGGGTGGGGGAAGGAACAAAACCCAAAAAACATTAAACATCAAATGGCTGCATCCTTGATGTGTCGCATCCTCAGAAGCTGAAGAGATGAAGGGAATGGGAGGATCGGAATCACGCGACGGCCGAGGGGGAGAGCCGAGCTCAGAGAGGCGGTGGGAGGGGGGATGGCGGCGATGCCCGGCTGTGATCGAGCAGCTTGTTTCAGTCACCTTGAAGTGTCGCGGAGAAGCACAGGACATTGCAGTTGGGAGTGATGTCCTGCGCTGTAAGCCAACGAATACAAGCACGAGTCAATTGACGGTTTGCTCAAACATTCTGCACTTGGGCTGATTTGCAAACGAAAAGATGTCGCCGTTTACAATGAGAACCAAAAAAAAACGCACTCCAGGGGCTACCAGTTGATGAAATACTATCGCGGTTGGCTGCATACGGTGCGAAAGAAATTCACGCATACAAAGATGCAAATGTGAAATTATTCTGGTAATCTACAAACGGGTAACTGACCGAGAGCCCGGATATGTGCAAGACGTCATTGTCATTGTTACGACTCTTGCATCGTAGAGACTCCTAAATCGTACAGACTCCTAAATGGCTTTTCCCACGGCAATTGCAAGTTTTGGAATCGGCTGCCTTTGGAAAATAGTTTTGTTGCTGTTCGCTGTCAATTTCAGATTTCCAAAAGCGTCTCACCCTCTTTCTTCTGCCTTTTCATTGTGTAATGACAGTCGAGTCTACATGCGGTGTGAGTGGACTAGTGGCCACGGGAGGTAATGACAGGGGAGTCAGCTGTGAGTGTGAAGGGACTGGTGGCCACGGGAGGCAATGACAAGGGGTATCAGCTGTGAGTGCGAAGGGACTGGTGGCCACGGGAGGTAATGACAGGGGTATCAGCTGTGAGTGTGAAGGGACTGGTGGCCACGGGAGGTAATGACAGGGGGTATCAGCTGTGAGTGTGAAGGGACTGGTGGCCACGGGAGGTAATGACAGGGGTATCAGCTGTGAGTGTGAAGGGACTGGTGGCCACGGGAGGTAATGACAGGGGTATCAGCTGTGAGTGTGAATGGACTGGTGGGCACGGGAGGTAACGACAGGGGGTATCAGCTGTGAATGCGAAGGGACTGGTGACTACGGGAGGTAATGACAGGGGTATCAGCTGTGAGTGTGAAGGGACTGGTGGCTACGGGAGGCAATGACAGGGGGTATCAGCTGTGAGTGTGAAGGGACTGGTGGCCACGGGAGGTAATGACAGGGGGTATCAGCTGTGAGTGTGAAGGGACTGGTGGCCACGGGAGGTAATGACAGGGGGTATCAGCTGTGAATGCGAAGGGACTGGTGACTACGGGAGGTAATGACAGGGGTATCAGCTGTGAGTGTGAAGGGACTGGTGGCCACGGGAGGCAATGACAGGGGGTATCAGCTGTGAATGCGAAGGGACTGGTGGCTACGGGAGGTAATGACAGGGGTATCAGCTGTGAGTGTGAAGGGACTGGTGGCTACGGGAGGTAATGACAGGGGAGTCAGCTGTGAGTGCGAAGGGACTGGTGGCCACGGGAGGTAATGACAGGGGTATCAGCTGTGAGTGGGAAGAGACTGGTGGCTACACGAGGTAATGACAGGGGTATCAGCTGTGAATGCGAAGGGACTGGTGACTACGGGAGGTAATGACAGGGGTATCAGCTGTGAGTGTGAAGGGACTGGTGGCTACGGGAGGCAATGACAGGGGGTATCAGCTGTGAGTGTGAAGGGACTGGTGGCCACGGGAGGTAATGACAGGGGGTATCAGCTGTGAGTGTGAAGGGACTGGTGGCCACGGGAGGTAATGACAAGGGGTATCAGCTGTGAATGCGAAGGGACTGGTGACTATGGGAGGTAATGACAGGGGTATCAGCTGTGAGTGTGAAGGGACTGGTGGCCACGGGAGGCAATGACAGGGGGTATCAGCTGTGAATGCGAAGGGACTGGTGGCTACGGGAGGTAATGATAGGGGAGTCAGCTGTGAGTGCGAAGGGACTGGTGGCCACGGGAGGTAATGACAGGGGTATCAGCTGTGAGTGGGAAGAGACTGGTGGCTACACGAGGTAATGACAGGGGAGTCAGCTGTGAGTGCAAAGGGACTGGTGGCTACGGGAGGTAATGACAGGGGGTATCAGCTGTGAATGCGAATGGACTGGTGGCCACGGGAGGTAATGACAGGGGTATCAGCTGTGAGTGCGAAGGGACTGGTGGCCATGGGAGGTAATGCCAGGGGGGTCAGTTGTGAGTGATGAAGGGACTGGTGGCCACGGGAGGTAATGACAGGAGGTATCAGCTGTGAGTAGGAAGGGACTGGTGGCCACGGGAGGTAATGACTGGGGTATCAGCTGTGAGTGTGAAGGGACTGGTGGCTACGGGAGGTAATGACAGGGGGTATCAGCTGTGAATGCGAAGGGACTAGTGGCTACGGGAGGTAATGACGGGGGAGTCAGCTGTGAGTGTGAGTGGACTAGTGGCTACGGAAGGTAATGACAGGGGAGTCAGCTGTGAGTGCGAAGGGACTAGTGGCCACGGGAGGTAATGACAGGGGGTATCACCTGTGATTGCGAAGGGACTGGTGGCCACGGGAGGTAATGACAGGGGGTGTCAGCTGTGAGTGTGAAGGGACTGGTGGCCACGGGAGGTAATGGCAGGGGTATCAGCTGTGAGTGGGAAGGGACTGGTGGCTATGGGAGGTAATGACAGTGGGTATCAGCTGTGAGTGTGAAGGGACTGGTGGCCACGGGAGGTAATGACAGGGGAGTCAGTTGTGAGTGCGAAGGGACTGGTGTCTACGGGAATGATCGAGAAGGGGGCGTGGTCAGGTGACGGAGGAGGACGGTGGAGTCTGCTGGTGGAGCGAGCGTCCAGAGTCAGCGAGAATGATCGAGAAGGGGGGCGTGGCCTCGTGTTGGTATATAAGGGGGAGATGCGCGGGGGACTCAGGGCTGTTGCAGTGGGGGTCTCCGCCTGATGTCAAGTGAGCGTCGTGTCTTCAATAAAGTGCCATCGCAATAGAAGTGTGTCAAGTCGTTACAATTGCATCATTTTGATCTCAGTCTGCCTTGAATAGTTTCCCCAATTAATGTACGTACGTTGAACTTATTTCGCACCGTACGTAGCGAACCGTGCTAATCGGATGTGCGTGGGAAGGACAATACTGAACACAAAAAGCCGTTCTAAAGAAACGGGTTTTCAGTTGAGATTTAAAAGTCATTTGAAAGGCAACACCGGTTGCTGAATCGGCTCATTCACACTTACCCGTTAGGGGCTTACGGGGAAAGATCAGCTGTGGGATGATCGGCTCGTTTTTCCCCAGGACAATCACATCGTACACATCTGTAGGGGAGGGATTAAGGGGACGGCAGTAAAGGCAACATTAAAATGTGTGCGATAAGAAAGGACCTTCCGAAAAAAATCCCGTTTAACTCTGTCATGTGTTTTTTTTAGTGCAGTTCATCTTATATTGCCAGGAGTCGATGTTCACTGTGAGTATATGTGCTAATTTGTCCCATTGTCTCTCAGCCTTACCTTCTTGGCCGAGTGTGCGCTGCTGCTCCGCACTTCCCACGCCCCCCTTTGCTCCATGCATACCTCATGCTAATTTGTCCCATTGTCTCTGAGCCTTACCTTCTCTGCCTATTTAAGGCGACTTCACTCTGTGCTGGTTGGCTCTGCTTGGATGTCTATGTGTGTGTGTGCGGTCTGTATTTTTAAAATTTCATACTTAACTTGCAATTTAGCAATCTTTGAAATAGCGTAATCAACCAGACTATGCGTTAATTGTGTTTTGACCGACCGTCTGTGTTGCTATATATGGTTGCCAAATTTTGCTAAACCCTGTTTGTTTGGTATGATTCTCTCTCTGTGTCCCCTGTTGTATCTGTGTTAGTTCCCCCTACTTGGGTGTCTGTGCATACATCTGGGGTTATGTGTTTCCTCTCTCTCGTAAATTTAGCTCTTCTGTACCTTATGATGGCTGCTTGTGTTGCAACTGAAACGTCGTATGCTATTATGTTATTTTATTATTTCTTATTTATACGTTACTTTACCGAAAAAAACAAAGAGTATATGTGTCTCTGTGTAAGTCTTTGGGTCACCGTGCGAGTCTATGGATCTATATGTGAGCCTCGGTGTCTCTGTGTAAGTCTATGGGTCACCGTGCGAGTCTATGGATCTCTACGTGAGCCTCTGTGTCTCTGTGTAAGTCTTTGGGTCACCGTGCGAGTCTATGGATCTCTACGTGAGCCTCTGTGTCTCTGTGTAAGTCTATGGGTCACTGTGCGAGTCTATGGATCTCTGTGTGAGTCTATGGGTCTCTGTGTGAACTCGTGTCCACTGTGAGTATATGGGTCTGTCTATGGGTCACTATGTGAACTCGTGTTCACTGTGAGCCTATAGGTATATGTGTGAGTCTATGGGTCACTGTGTGAGTCTATGGATCTCTACGTGAGCCTCTGGGTCTCTGTGTAGACTCGTGTTCACTGCGTGAGTCTATGGGTCTCTGTGTGAGTCTATGTATCTCTGTGTGAGTCTATGGGCCACTGTCTAAACTCGTGTTCACTGTGAGCGCCCTTCGAGGGAGGGCACGAGTGGGATTCACTCGTTGTCTTCTGAAGCCGGCAGCTGTTATTCACGACTCGGAACATCGATGGCACAGGCTGCTACTCGGTCCGTGCGCGTACGCCGGGGAGGATCGGCTGCTCACTCGTTTGGTCCGGGTTGGCGAAGTCGACGCAGATGCACTGCCGGCGCGGATGTCTCTCCTGCTGCAGGAGCATCCTCCTGTCCGTCACTGGCAACAGTCACGGCGGGCAGGCGGGCGGTCGAGCGAGTGAGTGAGCTCACCCGCCAACGTGCGCGCGTTAGCAAAATAATGCGGGAACAATCGCGCACACGCATGGATTTTTACGGGGTGCGGTTTCCTGCATGCGTTTATCTTCGAAAGCATGTAACGTTTTAATGGACAAGTGCGTGCGCGCGTGCATTAGCTGCCGTGAGATATGGAGTAGAACCACGGGCACGAGCAGAACAAATAGAAAGTGTGCGCAAAACGCAGAGTGCGCGAAGACGCGTAGCAAGGCACGAGCGCGGATTTGCGACACTTGCGTTGTTACGCGTGCGATTCAGCGCCTCTTACACGAGCTTACGAATCGATATACAATGATTGATCGTTAAACCTCCGGATGATAAACCCAGACTGTGTAATGGAGCTGGCTTCAGTGTCCACGACAGTAATCAACAGGCATTCTGTGAGTCCACCGACCGCAAAGTCGGCCACGGACTGGGTCCGGCTTGCTGTGTCCTTGACTGGCCTGCGCGCCGGGAGAGACCCCAGAGAGGGATGAATGGACATGGTCTCGCTCTCACCATTGTAGACGTACATGGCCATAGAGTAGAGCGGTGAGGAGAAGTTCGCGGACACAGCCAGGGAAGAGAGCTCTGCCTGGGAGGCTGAAAGCACGCATCATGCACACGCCGCGTGAACACACCTCCGCCATCCACCATCACTCGGCCACACAATGCACAAATAGCAACGCAATCATTCTTACATGCTTCTTACTCCGGTGCAGGATTTTGCACGGCTCGGTTTCAGCCGGGTCTGTCCGGGGTCATGCTTAACCATGTCGGTCAGAGTGGGTTCACTGAATGGGGTCACCCAGGACCGGCTCGGATTCAAGTTTCAAGTTTTTAAAGTTTCATTTATTAGATATAGCCCTGTGAGCCATGCGGCGCTTGAGTTGGATGCAACCGCAACAAACTAAATATGAACAGAGAAACATCTTAAAGCGACGACACACAACAGAAACATCCTGGATAAACCAGCAAATCTTCCAGAAAAAAAAAACACCGTATTACAACGCCGTGTGCAAAAATCCCAGTGTGATGCAAGTCAAACAATAACAACCACAAGACAATTTAGATTCAAGTTATCAGGCCAACTCCGCACTTCCGCAAGAAACATGGCTTAACCATGTTTTCGAAATCACCAAAATAAAGCTATAAAATACAATGTAACAACAGATATCAATTGCTTCCGATGCTATCCGTCGCCGGGAATGTAACTCGGGTGGTTGGGTTTATCACGCAATGCGCTTACCACTGTGCTGCCACTCCATCCCCAATGGTTGTAAAAAGAGCCATCAAACTAAACCATATTTTAAATTTTATTTTACCAGGTACGGCCCACTGAGCTATACAGCTTTTTTTCAGAAACGACCTGGCTATCACAAATGAAGCGGCTTATCACGTGGATATTAAAAGCAGCCAAATACTCCAAACACGTGATGTTCATTCCAAACGTGGAGGGAAACACCAGAGGACCCGGAGAAAAATTCACACGACCACGGGGACAGAGACATGCCAACTCCACATATACAGGCGTCAGAGCCGGGGTCAAACGCATGAGCTCCTGCATAGCAGGTGAGGTAATTGACAACTTGTTTCCACAGCGCAGCATCAGACCAGTCTACCGGTCTCTCGGAGCTCTCAAGCCGCCGATGCTTGTAAGCGTGATGATCCCAAGACTCGGCTCACCTCGGTTCAACACATGAACCCTGATCGCGATCTCACGACGCGGGGTTTCGTGTGGACTGCGAGCGCACGTGGCCCTACCATTGTTGGGCCACGTCAGCATGCGGTTGAGGATGGGCATGAGGTCGAGCACCGTCGTCTGCAGCGGCATGGACACTGCGGCACAGCAACGCAAGCGACACACGGGGCCCAAGCGAGCCGGGGAGAGGCACGGGTCTCGAAGGAGCTGCCACGCCTTGGTTATACGAACAGCAGTCGCTGATCAGGAGTTGGTAACGGGGCGCTGCTTGAATGAGCAGCCGCATCGTTGGAAACGATGCAAGCAGTGGTGGCTCAATATTTTGGTGGGGGTGGTACTGGCACCGCGACAGTGGTGTGAGTGGGGGGTGCATGAGGAAGGTTCCTTGTCCCCAGCATCAGAACGTCTAGGCTATGGCTGCAATCATTCCATGATGCGATGCCAACAGCACCCTGGGTCTCGAGGTAGCGAGATATGAACTCCCTCCCCTGGTAGGTTATTTAAACTATAAAGCCACATAACTAACACGCAAATAACCTCGTGATGTTGTAGCTGCTCTCTCGCTGGATCAGCAGTTCCACTGCTGGGTTATTTTTGCCGCCTGAGGACGACTGTTTGTGTTGCGATCGAAATGTCGTAATATATTATTTTTTATTTTATTAAATTTTTCTACCTACGTGACTTTACCGAAAGAACCAACGAGTATAAAGCCCTGCTCTAAACTATAAATCTCTGCTCTAAACTATAAATCTCTGCTCTAAACTATAAAGCCCTGCTCTAAACTATAAATCTCTGCTCTAAACTATAAAACCCTGCTCTAAACTATAAATCTCTGCTCTAAACTATAAAGCCCTGCTTTAAACTATAAATCTCTGCTTAAAACTATAAAGCCTTGCTCTAAACTATAAATCTCTGCTCTAAACTATAAAGCCCTGCTCTAAACTATAAATCTCTGCTCTAAACTATAAAACCCTGCTCTAAACTATAAATCTCTGCTCTCAACTATAAAGTCCTGCTTTAAACTATAAATCTCTGCTTAAAACTATAAAGCCTTGCTCTAAACTATAAATCTCTGCTCTAAACTATAAATCTCTGCTCTAAGCTATAAATCTCTGCTCTAAACTATAAATCTCTGCTCTAAACTATAAATCTCTGCTCTAAACTACAAATCTCTGCTTTAAACTATAAATCTCTGCTCTAAACTATAAATCTCTGCTTTAAACTATAAATCTCTGCTCTAAACTATAAATCTCTGCTCTAAACTATAAATCTCTGCTCTAAACTATAACGCCCTGCTTTAAACTATAAATCTCTGCTTTAAACTATAACGCCTTGCTCTAAACTATAAATCTCTGCTTTAAACTATAAATCTCTGCTCTAAACTATAAATCTCTGCTCTAAACTATAAATCTCTGCTTTAAACTATAAATCTCTGCTCTAAACTATAAATCTCTGTTCTAAACTATAAAGCCCTGCTCTAAACTATAAATCTCTGCTCTAAACTATAAAACCCTGCTCTAAACTATAAATCTCTGCTCTAAACTATAAAGCCCTGCTTTAAACTATAAATCTCTGCTCTAAACTATAAATCTCTGCTATAAACTATAAAGCCCTGCTCTAAACTATAAATCTCTGCTTTATACTATAAATCTCTGCTCTAAACTATAAATCTCTGCTCTAAACTATAAATCTCTGCTTTAAACTATAAATCTCTGCTTTAAACTATAAAGCCTTGCTTTAAACTATAAATCTCTGCTCTAAACTATAAATCTTTGCTCTAAACTATAAATCTCTGCTTTAAACTATAAATCTCTGCTCTAAACTATAAATCTCTGCTCTAAACTATAAATCTCTGCTTTAAACTATAAAGCCTTGCTCTGAACTCTAAGGCCCTGCTCTAAACTATAAAGCCTTGCTCTAAACTATAAACCTCTGCTATAAACTATAAAATCTCTGCTCTAAACTATAAATCTCTGCTCTAAACAATAAATCTCTGCTATAAACTATAAATCTCTGCTTTAAACTATAAATCTCTGCTCTAAACTATAAATCTCTGCTTTAAACTATAAATCTCTCCTCTAAACTATAAATCTCTGCTCTAAATTATAAATCTCTGCTTTAAACTATAAATCTCTGCTCTAAACTATAAATCTCTGCTCTAAACTATAAATCTCCGCTTTAAACTATAAAGCCTTACTCTTAACTATAAATCCCTGCTCTAAACTATAAAGCCTTGCTCTAAACTATAAACCTCTGCTATAAACTATAAATCTCTGCTCTAAACTATAAAGCCCTGCTTTAAACTATAAATCTCTGCTTAAAACTATAAAGCCTTGCTCTAAACTATAAATCTCTGCTCTAAACTATAAATCTCTGCTATAAACTATAAAGCCCTGCTCTAAACTATAAATCTCTGCTTTATACTATAAATCTCTGCTCTAAACTATAAATCTCTGCTCTAAACTATAAATCTCTGCTTTAAACTATAAATCTCTGCTTTAAACTATAAAGCCCTGCTTTAAACTATAAATCTCTGCTCTAAACTATAAATCTTTGCTCTAAACTATAAATCTCTGCTTTAAACTATAAATCTCTGCTCTAAACTATAAATCTCTGCTCTAAACTATAAATCTCTGCTTTAAACTATAAAGCCTTGCTCTAAACTCTAAGGCCCTGCTCTAAACTATAAAGCCTTGCTCTAAACTATAAACCTCTGCTATAAACTATAAAATCTCTGCTCTAAACTATAAATCTCTGCTCTAGACAATAAATCTCTGCTATAAACTATAAATCTCTGCTTTAAACTATAAATCTCTGCTCTAAACTATAAATCTCTGCTTTAAACTATAAATCTCTCCTCTAAACTATAAATCTCTGCTCTAAATTATAAATCTCTGCTTTAAACTATAAATCTCTGCTCTAAACTATAAATCTCTGCTCTAAACTATAAATCCCCGCTTTAAACTATAAAGCCTTACTCTTAACTATAAATCCCTGCTCTAAACTATAAAGCCTTGCTCTAAACTATAAACCTCTGCTATAAACTATAAATCTCTGCTCTAAACTATAAATCTCTGCTCTAAACAATAAATCTCTGCTATAAACTATAAATCTCTACTTTAAACTATAAATCTCTGCTCTAAACTATAAATCTCTGCTCTAAACTATAAATCTATGCTCTAAACTATAAATCTCTGCTCTAAACTATAAACCTCTGCTATAAACTATAAATCTCTGCTCTAAACTATAAATCTTTGCTCTAAACTATAAATCTCTGCTCTAAACTATAAATCTCTGCTTTAAACTATAAATCTCTGCTCTAAACTATAAAGACCTGCTTTAAACTATAAATCTCTGCTCTCAACTATAAATCTCTGCTTTGAACTATAAATCTCTGCTCTAAACTATAAACCTCTGCTATAAACTATAAATCTCTGCTCTAAACTATAAATCTCTGCTCTAAACTATAAAGCCCTGCTTTAAACTATAAATCTCTGCTTAAAACTATAAAACATTGCTCTAAACTATAAATCTCTGCTTTAAACTATAAATCTCTGCTCTAAACTATAAATCTCTGCTTAAAACTATAAATCTCTGCTCTAGCGGTGTTGTCGCCGCTATGAGGTGCACCTCCCACTACACATCCGGCGTCTTGAGACACGGCTCGGATTCGCAATCTCTATAAATGCAAATGTCATTAATAATTGGAACCCATACCTCTCCAAAGAATTCCAGGTCAGGTATGCACCACTGCGCATGGAATTTCTTATTACTACACGTGCGTGTATTCTACATCTATATACGGCATATATGTAGATCACGCGAGAGTTCATTGAGACAAACAACCTCTTACATCCAAGACAGACCAGGGGTAAAAATAATTACAAATGCTTTTGTTTTTGTTAAACCGTATTGTAAGAGAGCAAAGAAACAGGACACAAGATAACTGCGTCGATGATGAGCGGAGAGACACACTCGGTGTGCATTGTGCAATGCACAAATTTCCATCCTTAAAAACGTGGGCAGGCGTTCAACGTTGACAAGCGTGTGGGGGGGGGGGGGGGGAGACGTGGGGGAGGGGGGGGGGCTCCTAAGTGGCAGGCATACTAGAAGTTGTGGGCAGTTAAGGGGGGTGGAGAGGATACATCTACCATTTTTGTTGACTTCCCCCGCCCTCCCCAGCCTTTTACCAAGCGGTAGACGACCAGCGTGGTGAAGTATGGTTAAATAACCTCGGGTGTAAAAGCGTAGCTTTGGGGAGGCACTCAATCCGGCAGTGGGCTGAGGGACGGACTGTCCGTGAGCACGTTTCCTTCGGACTGCTTTTTGTGTTCAGTTTGTTGTCTTTCCCACGCACCTCCGACTAGCGCGGTTGGCTACGCGCAGCGCGAAATACGTCCAACGCACATACACGTTGGACCAATATTAACTCATTGTTCGAGCGATAACTATAAAGTCTTCAATTGTAGCACAAGGCAAATGCGTGATGACACAAGGCACATTCACAATGGTGGTATGAGAATAGGTTTGACCGTTTCTGGCGATAAGCCAGGCGTTTAAGATGTTCAAACACCGAAACATAAACCTTTTGCAAGGAGTCACAACGGTGGTGTTGGCACAAACATTCGCATTTAAAGTAAATAAGGAAATAAACTCACGGATCACAAAGGGTTGGAATAAAAACACAACTCACCGTTCGTCACTAAGATTCCCCGCTTGGAGTTCAACACGAAGTCGTGATTTCTTAAGTTCCTGGTAACTGAGGGCAAAGTGGGGGGGGGGGAAATCAGAACGATCCACGTATCAATCGCTCGACAGCGCAGAAATGGAACGAGTAACGAAAGGTAACAGCGCACAAAACCGGAGTGCCTTTTACCTGAAACGAGCAATTGGGGCGGTGCTCAATTCCATTGGTAGCCATGAGCAAGTGTTGGACAATTCCACATTCCTGTGGCAGGGGCCAGTCTATCAAAAGGACAACCACGACTGAAGGAAAAAATATCCAAAAACTCATTCAGATTATTGGAAAAATGTAAATAAACTGTTCTATGGCTATTTATTAGATACCGTTTTCCCCAGGGACATTTATTTTTCCTATTAATATAATGTTTTCAATGAAGATGAGCTAAACTGTAAACGAAACTATTTTTTTTATTTTACCAGCTAAGGCCCACTAGAGCTCTATTTTAATCAGAAGCAACCCATCCACAAACGATGGCTCAATAAAGTGGCTTATCATGTGGATATTTACGGCAGCCAAGTACACTAAATGTGTGCTTCTAAGTGTGGAGGGAAACTGGAGAACCAGGAGAAAAATCCACGCCACCACGGAGAGAGAGACACACGCAAACTCCAAATATACAACAGCAGGCGTCATGGTCAGGCTCGAACCCACGACCTCCTGCATGTCAGGCGAGGTAGTTAACATCTCGCCAAGTCTCTCGATCGAAGGAAATCCTTGCGATAACAATGCTGAACGTTACAGCATTGTCATCGCATTATTCTTGTTGTTTTTCTCAACCCACAAACACCTTCAAATTGCGAATGCAAAAGTGCCCAATCGGTGAGCGTGCCGGTAAAAACAACAACAACAACAACGACAACAACTCACCAGTTGCGAGCAACATGCAGAGCGCCACGGCAGCCGTAGCGACGAGCGCGCGTCTCAACGGCAGCATCTCTCTCGTGAACGGCAGCAGCAGCAGCAGCATCTCGACGCGTTCCCGACGACTTTCAACAACTCTGGCGCTCGCCTGACGAGGCTGGTCGCAATTACCGGCGAAACGTCGCGGCACTCGAATTGTGAATGATGTTGTGGGTTTTGCCCTTCCGACACATCGCCGGTGTGCTGAAGCAGTAACGAATTGGCACGTTTTGTTTAAGGTGACGAACCTCACTAATTGGCTGTATCGGGTGGTGGCGGGTTTAACGACGCGTTTATATCTTCCGTCACTCCCCACCCCCCCCCAAAAAAGCCTCCAATATGAACCGTAACCTTGTAATTATTCGCAGCTCTGCACAAACATAATTGGGAGCTGCATCGAGACTGCAGGAGGAAATCAGTGTAGCTATGAAGCTGCTATTTCCCCCCCACACAGATGTCCAGTCTGGGCAGCTCAGAGCGCACGCGGGGGTCCCCTGGCTTCGACTGCCGGACGCTCACAACGCCGCGGGGTTGGTGGGGGGGGGGAGGGGGGCGGCGGCGGTCTCCGCCTCGCAGCGACCGTGGCACGCGGGCGCGGCTCCACACAAGCGACGTTCCCAGCGCCCCTGCCCCACTCTCGGTGGCTCCCCACGACGTCCGTGGGCCCTCTCGTCACGGCAATGGCCCCACAGTTCCGCGACGCACGGCCACAGCGCAACCGGCTCCGCTGCGCGTGCCCAGAGCGAACAGCTGATGCACACGGGGTGTGCGTGTATACAGCGAGGGAAAAAAAGTATTTGATCCCCTGCTGATTTTGTGCAGTTTGCCCACTGACAAAGAAATGATCAGTGTATCATTTTAATGGTAGGTTTATTTGAATAGTGAGAGACAGAATAACAACAAAAACATCCAGAAAAACGCACGTCAAAAATGTTATAAATTGATTTGCATTTTAAGGAGGGAAATAAGTATTTGACCCCCTCTCAATCAGAAAGATTTCTGGCTCCCAAGTGTCTTTTATACAGGTAACGAGCTGAGATTAGGAGCACACTCTTAAAAGGAGTGATCCTAATCTCAGCTTGTTACCTGTATAAAAGGCACCTGTCCACAGAAGCAATCAATCAATCAGATTCCAAACTCTCCACCATGGCCAAGACCAAAGAGCTCTCCAAGGATGTCAGGGACAAAAAGGCTGGAATGGGCTACAAGACTATTGCCAAGCAGCTTGGTGAGAAGGTGACAACAGTTGGTGCGATTATTCGCAAATGGAAGAAACACAAAATCACTGTCAATCTCCCTCGGCCTGGGGCTCCATGCAAGATCTCACCTCGTGGAGTTGCAATGATCATGAGAACGGTGAGGAATCAGCCCAGAACTACACGGGAGGATGTTGTCAATGATCTCACGGCAGCTGGGACCATAGTCACCAAGAAAACAATTGGTAAAACACTACGCCGTGAAGGACTGAAATCCTGCAGCGCCCGCAAGGTCCCCCTGCTCAAGAAAGCACATATACATGCCCGTCTGAAGTTTGCCAACGAACATCTGAATGATTAAGAGGACAACTGGGTGAAAGTGTTGTGGTCAGATGAGACCAAAATGGAGCTCTTTCGCATCAACTCAACTCGCCGTGTTTGGAGGAGGAGGAGGAATGCTGCCTATGACCCCAAGAACACCATCCCCACCGTCAAACATGGAAGTGGAAACATTATCCTTTGGGGGTGTTTTTCTGCTAAGGGGACAGGACAACTTCACCGCATCAAAGGAACGATGGACGGGGCCATGTACCGTCAAATCTTGGGTGAGAACCTCCTTCCCTCAGCCAGGGCATTGAAAATGGGTCGTGGATGGGTATTCCAGCATGACAATGGCCCAAAACACATGGCCAAGGCAACAAAGGAGTGGCTCAAGAAGAAGCACATTAAGGTCCTGGAGTGGCCTAGCCAGTCTCCAGACCTTAATCCCATAGAAAATCTGTGGAGGGAGCTGAAGGTTCGAGTTGCCAAACGTCAGCCTCGAAACCTTAATGACTGCAAAGAGGAGTGGGACAAAATCCCTCCTGAGATGTGTGCAAACCTGGTGGCCAACTACAAGAAACCTCTGACCTCTGTGATTGCTAACAAGGGTTTTGCCACCAAGTACTAAGTCATGTTTTGCAGAGGGGTCAAATACTTATTTCCCTCATTAAAATGCAAATCAATTTATAACATTTTTGACATGCGTTTTTCTGGATTTTTTTTGTTGTTATTCTATCTCTCACTGTTCAAATAAACCTACCATTAAAATTATAGACTGATCATTTATTTGTCAGTGGACAAACGTACAAAATCAGCAGGGGATCAAATACTTTTTTCCCTCACTGTATGTATGTGTGTATGTGTGTGTATGGGGAGCGGTAGTGTAGCGGTTAGCGCGCTGCGCTACGAACCTGGTGACCCAGGGTCGATTTCCGCTCACAGCCAACACCAGTGACGATTATCTGAACCGGTCCTGGGCCTCCCCTAGGTCGACTCAGCCTCAAATGAGTACCTGGTGCGTTGTGTAAGCATTGTCACTAGGGAGACAAAGGCGGTCGGGCGTGGTGCTGGCCACCCACCCCCTCGTGTACCGTTGCGGCCTTCACAGGTGCTCGCTAACAGCACTTGCCCTTAGAGTCTGTTAAAGCTATATGGGGGATCTTTGTCTTTGTCTTATGTATGCGTGCGTGCGTATAAAAGCTTGCCGAATACACCGAGCACAAACGGAACATTTCAGAGTGCACCCATGTTCAAACAAGCATTGGGCGATGCCCATATCCAATGGCGGTTCTGAAATTCCACATTCACATGGCGCGTCGATGAAGTCACCGCCAAACGGTGCAAAACCTCGCTGGGGTGTGTTTATTTTACTGACCCCCCCAGTGGATGACGCCTGTGATGATGACGATGGAGATGGGTGGTGGTGGTGGTGATTTTCTTTAGAACTGCTTCCCGTGTTTTCATTTGCTGTACTTGCCCCGCACCTCCGATTCGCGTGGTTGGCTATGGAAGGTGCTAAAGAAGTTCAACGTACATTCAGCGTACACGCGGGGATGGTATTAACCCATCCAAGCACCATCCAGGCTCCAACCTTGCTTAGTTTTTGAGCAGTGTCAGATGATTTGTCCAGGCCAGCTCCAGGCAACACAGCTCCCCCGGCGGCTCAACAGCCCGCAAAGAAGTAGACAAACGCAGACTAAAGAAGCAGGCGCTTGGGCAAGTCTCTTCGAATATGCAAATAATATATGAAACTGTGCTTTATTGGTCATTATTACAATAAAATTACGATGTTACACCAACGATCGGGACATTAATTCGAGCAGACCTTAATCTGAGTGTTAAATGCTTATGCGAAACAAAACAAAAATAGAAAATATTTGCAATTGAACAGTTTCAAAGCGTATTTCTTTTCCTCTCTGTTTCAAGTGTGTCAGTTATTCAACTGGTATAAAACGCCATCACAAAACGTCTCAGCACGAAGTTACCATTATGAATCATGACGGCATGCAGCTTCACAGATCATGACAGCAGCATTCCAGAGTAGTGGATCAATGTCATACACACAGGCAAAAAACGGGCTGAAAACAACGACAAAAAACCCAACGACGACATTTCAAGTTAAACGACCGTGTGTCTTCGGATTATGTAATCATTGAAAAATGCAAAACTGGCAAAACATTGATTTGGTCATTTCGAATCTTACACGCAAATACCGCTGTCACTCGGTACCGAGGACCATTCCTTAACCAAATTAGGACTTCATTTGTCCAAATGTAACTCATTTTAATTTTGGCACAAACGCCATGGGTGACATTTGCTGAAGATGTGTGCAACCATCAGAACCTCCTACCAACAGCAGAGCCAATCTGGCAGCCCTGGAGCAAACCACGGTGGGATCTCTCCCCCCCGGTGTCTCATTATTTAAGATCGATGAGGGTGGGTGGCACAGGGAGCATGAGTCATGGATAGGTCCGTTTTTATTTACAATTTGTTATGGGGGCAGTAGCGGCTGCACCGTGTTACGAACCTGGTGACCCGAGTTAGATTCCCTGCCTACAGCTAACGTCAGTGGATTAGGGTGATACGAACCACCACTGGTTTCACACAATTCAACCCGCACTGCCCAGCCTGGTGAAGTATGGCCAAACAAACTCTCACGATCTCTACGGTGCGCGGCTGTCTTCATCCATCAGTGGATTGCCAAAGGGCTGCAAATTATTATTCACAAATGTTGTAGTGCGCGCGTGTATCGCGGCTGAAACAGCCACTTATTGGTGGGAAAACTGGAGTTTGGAAAAAAAGGGAAGTCTCTTTTGCACGAGAGATCTGTGGCGATTGCTGGGATTTTCCTCATGGCTTTAGTCTTGAGCATTCTCTGATGACTTTTGGTTCCCAAGAGGCCCCCATTTAAAAAAAAAATCAACGATCGCCGACGTCCCCATTGGCCGGATGGCCCAGCAGTCGGTCAGGGAGCCACTTTACACAACAGGTCACCAGTTGCATTCACCACCCCCCCCCCCCCCCCCCCCCAGCTAATTTCTGCAGACAATTAACCAAATCTTTCGCCATCTGCTGTAGAATGCATGTGAAAAGACCCTGTGACAACAATTCTTCCAAGAGCAAACATGCCAGGCCCCGGGATTAATATCGGCCGCGTCGGCGACACGGCAACAAAAGAAATATTTCCACGCCCGGCACACCACCCACATCCGAAACACCCTCTCGCTATAGCTGTGGCTAACGAGTTGCAGGCCATACCCCGTGACCCGGAAAATATTCCGTGACAAATTTTAAAAGCCCCAGCCCGGGCGTCGTTCCCACAAACCCCCTAGGTAATATTGAACTTTCAGGGGTAAAGGCGCAGCACTGCAATGGCTCTCTCACGCCACTGCTGGCGGAAGGGTCCTCTCCACTCGAAGGAGCCGCTTCACCTTGACATTTGGTCTACTCTTCCACGCCGGCCAGAAACGTCTACGAAGAGGTGGGAGTGCCCACGGTTTGACCCCACCACACGCGACCTGCCGGTCGACTGGCAGTGGTGGTGACTGTTTACACCGCTGCGTGGGCACGAGGCGGTGTGGATGGGGAGTTTAGGAAACTTGCGCCCTTGTTTGAACTGCCACTTTGGAAAATTAAAATCTAACCGGCCACCTCTGGATTGCCAGTCCAGTTTTCTGCAACTGTGATGATATACGATCGTTATGTTAAAGTAGTGTTAAACAGTATTCATAATATTCATAATCAAGGTTTTTGGGTTAGATCGCGTTATTTATGAATGTGTCGTAACCCTCCACCACCCGACACGGCCAATCAGCAAAAAAAAGTGTCACGTTGACAAAAGACAATTAGTTCACTACTTTAGCCCACCGGTGTGTTGAAGAGTGAATCCACAACATTTACAGTTTGAATACGACGTTTCGCTGGTAATTACATCCAGCATCATCGGGCAATTCGCCAGAATGGTAAAGCCCTCACTTGCTCTCGGTCTTAAATAGAGCAGCAGCAGTATTATTATTATATTAATGGAATTTATGAAATTGTCCCCTTAAGTTTGCCCCCTCTCTCTCTTCACATTTCTCCGCTCGATATCGTGAAAAGTTGAACAAGCACAGCATCAGCGACAATGACCAAAAATAAAACCATCGTACACTTTTTTTTTAAAAGCGTTTGGCATATGCATTACGTAGTACCGCTGTCGTGCACGTGCCCTGGTACAGAACCCATTTGGCTGCACCGCACATGAGCAACGCGTGTCGCGCCGCTCGGCAGGTCACGTTTAAATAAAGGCACAATGTAAGTGATGCTTTCACAGAGCGCGACAGCAGCCTGGCGGTGCCTGCTTGGGCCGCTCGACGGCACAGAGCACAGAGCCACCGCGGCGGCTGCGGCGGAGCTGCCGAGTGGGCAGGCAGTGCAACTTACTGCACGGGGGGGGGGGGCACGTCCCTCGAGAGGCCCTCGGGGTGCCAGGCTACAAAGGGTCGGGGAAACTCGACGGGCGGGCAGGCGGGCGGGCGGGGGTCCCATTTTATTCCTTGCACGAGTGCCCATGGCCCAACCACGCTATGCCATGCACAACCCCCGACACATCCCATGATACGATTCAACACTGAGCTGCGAAGAGATTGATTTGGCTCGGTGGTTTTATGAAGCGCATTTCCCCGCCGCGCGGGTGACACGCACGCGCCCCGCTCTCCGTCGTTCACCAATCTCCCGCAGGCCTGACCGGGTGCATGACGCGACGCCTCCCACGTGTTTTCCCGCACCTCCGGATTAGCACGGTTTGGCTTACGTGCGACGCGAAAAGACGTTCATCGTACGTGTACGTGCGTGCCTACGTGCGCACGCGTTGGTTGGTGAACGTGGACTGCGGGATCCACCGAGGGGAATCTACACATTGTGCATCTCCTACGAATAGACTCTTGCAAAAGTGACACATTCTGTGCGACTGCCACAGGCCCTGTATTCTAAGCTCAGCAACTACGCAACAAGAGATACATCGGTTGACATTCTTAGCTTTGTCCGAATGCCTACACTGACAAGTGGAGTGGTGGTACGGTACTTAGCATACTGCGCTAAGAACCCGGTGACCTGAGTTTGATTCCCAGCCACAGCTAACATCAGCGGCGAATGATATCTGATCATGGCCTGCTCCCAGGCCACGGCTAACAGCAGTGGTGAAAATCTGAACTGGTCCTGAGGCTCCCTCTTCACCAAGCCACCCTGACCAGCGTGGTGAAGTATGGCCAAACAACCTCCGTGACCGACTCGGCATGAGGAGGCCTTCATGCAGCAGTGGATTGATAAAGGGCTGCGCATTACACTTATTTCAATACTTGTCTACAATGTCTGCATTTCAAATGTAATAAAAAAATATTTTTTTATTTTGGGATAATTTGGGGAGTCTACCATTTCACCGAAACGATATTCCATCAATCCCACGGTCCGTTCGGCAATATTAGGAATTCAATGAATACATAATCATGGAAATGTTCGAATGCAGTGTAAGAACTTGAGTTGCAGGATTTCCCAACCAAAGAGGTTCTGAATTATCTTCCTTCGAAGTGCACGGTTTAGAGCCCTAAGTAACATGCACACGATGGATAACGTTGAACGTCATTGTCGTGGCTTCACGAGGGCGTGGGCTGTGAAATGAGCCACATAACCGAAGCATCCTCTCCTTGCGCTGGCCTCTGCCTTGCGACGTCCCATATTCTAAATCCATTGAACGTTTTACGCGAATAGAAGAATACCAGGGAAAGGTAAAGCCCTGGCATTTTTCTGCCGAAGCCACTGCTGCCAGAATAGCGTCCTCTCAAGGGAGCTCTACAAAGCTCCCTCTGGCTCCAGGGAGCCCTCTTCTAGACCAGGGGTCGGCAATCTGCGGCTCCGGAGCCGCAATGCGGCTCCTTACGGACTGCTTCGTGATGTGATCAGTGCCGGATTATCCTAGCAGCAAAAGGAGCTACGTATGCTACGGGCACCGCACTCTCAAGGGCTTTTGCGCTAAATGCTTTCCAGCTATCAATTCCGGTTTCAGTGATTCTGCACCGGCTCTATGACTATAGTACTACATTGCCTTTAACTTTTATGAACGACTGGGTGTTTAAGGTTAGCGAATTGTCGTATTTTCTGGCTGTATAGCAATTGCAAAAATACAATAAGTTTACTATGCAAATAAAAAAATGTGTCTTAAACATCTAGTTATTTATTTATTTATTATTTGGGGCCCCTTTATAACATATGCTACAGGCCCCGCACGAGCTCAATCCGGCACTGGACGCAATGTAAGAACTGTACGTGTGCTTTCACGTGCAATGCAGCTCTTATACTGGTAGGAACGAAGTTGTAAACTGAGTGTACCAGCCTGCAATAGATTAATGTGTCCGTCCGTCCGTCCCCTTTCAATACTTTAACGAAGTGAAATCTCGTGCTGTTGGGGTGTAAAAATAAAATTGCGCAAAATTCCAATGTTCCTACCAGCCCACCCTGCAGGGACCTGTTAATAAAGAGTTTTGCACCGAATTCGAAAAAAAAGTGATCTTCTTGTTATGTTGGTCGCCTTGATAGAACCGCTTGTTGGGTTTACTTTGTTGTCCTTTCTCCCGCACGGCTGGCTACGTGCGGTGCGAAAGAAGTTCAACAGACAGTACATACCGACACTTGACCGCACCGCGCGCGACTTGCCGATCGACTGTCCCCCGAGGTGTTCACGTTTACACCGCTGGGTGGGCCAGAGGTGGTGATGGGGAGGGGTGAGGGGAGGGGATTTAAGAAACTTGCGTCGTTGTTTCAGCCGCACGCCGGGAGATCGAAGCGGCGACCTCTGAATCCCAGTGCACTCACCGTCACACCACGGCAGCATCTCTTACGTTATTATGGGGCCCTATATCCAAGGTGATTTCGCTGGCCGATCCAGCCATTTACTTCGTAGCAGAAGCTTAGCATGCCTGACAGATGCTGTTAAAGAGGGAGTGACTCTACATTTCCGGAGATCGCAATTGATTAAAACCCACACCATGGAAAATTTATTAAAATTTCACCAACCTCAGATGAAGTACCTTGAGGATTATCTCACACGAGCAGCACTGCTGCAATTTCTAATTTCCATTCAAATGTGTAAAACACACAAAACAGCCTTCATTGGATTTACAAAAAGAGACATTCTTCTTTGTTAAAAAAATGTATTTTTCAAATCTCTGTATATCAAGTGCCTTCTCGTGGATATGATGTGAATTGCCACGCCCCCCAAAAATGACAGGTTTTATACACAACCCCCACCCTTTCTCTTCCAGAAATGTGCGCTTTTGTTTCAAAGTACAGTCGTCAATTTGTTTAAACCCGCACGCACTTCAGGCCACGTGCTTCAGCTTCTCAGGCTTTTGTTCGTCGGTCGGTCGATGATTCTCAAAATCGTCGCTCACCGCTGGCCACGATGGCAAACGAGCGCCACCCGCTCCCACGCCCGTCGGTCGGAACGTCGGTGTGGCGTCCCGGTTTAAAGCATCGTTCATCTTCCTCACCCTCAGCCTCGCCCTCCCCTCGCGCCTCATCTCCGCGACGTTTCATTTGCGATAATCAGCTCTGAAAAAATACTCCAGCGCGGTGTCTTTGCGCGTACGACACGTTCAAGTGCAATCGACGCCGTGACGTGGGAGCGTGCACGCAAGAGGCGTGCGGGACAACAATCTAGTTGCTCGCTGTCCAGCACGACCGTTACCCTAACCCTGGCACAATTATAGACATTTTGTTCCTCATAAATGTATATCTGGCGAATAATATGGGTCTTGTGCACAAAAAGGAAATGCACTATTGTTTGGGAATTGTGGAGTTTACGTGCAAGCTATTGTCCAATATGAATAACTGGCGTGAAAAGTTGTATTTCGTAGGTTTGTGTTGCATGAGGTTGTTGCTCTCAACCCTTGAAAGCGGGATCTTGAAAAGTGGAATTCCCAGGCTGTGGTTCCTGAAGGTTCGAACTTTGGGAAAAAATGGGTCTGCGTCAAGGCCACAATTTGCCCCATGAACTCAACCGTAGAAAATACGATCCCTGCTGCTTGCATGCAGGGTTTCGTTTAAGGCTTATGAACTCGGCTACAAAATCCCCAAGCCAGCCCAGAGCTCTGGAAACTCACTCATGGGAGTCATGTTAAATTGATTCTTTGATTAACGCGGATTCTGGTTCTGTTGGCATTGAGGTGAGCGATGGCTCCATGGTGTCCGGAATGTGAAACCCACAATATTGCCCTAAAACAATAGCACATTAAAAAAGCACACCTCCAGTGTTTTGTACTGAAGCTGGCAGCGTTTCATTGCAAAATCTCTCCCCAACCCCAACAAATTACCCATTCTATCATTCTCATGAATCCACAAAAATGTCTTTTGGCAGCATGGCAAATACGCAAAACAACTTGACCGCTGGATGCCTCTCTCTCTCTCTCTCCCACCCTCCAACTGTACCATCCCCGTCATAGGAACGAGGAATGGAGCGTCTCCTCGGCGGAGGCGGTCCGGAGGTGAGTCCTCCCGGGGCTGCTCCACGCTCGGACGGCGGTGTCGTCGTCGCCGATGGTGAAGGTCACCTGCTCCCCTCCCATCGGCCGCCCGGCCGCCTCTCCCGCCCGGTCACTGTCCCCAGCGCCGAAGAGGCGCGTCGTGTCCCTCCACGCCGTGTAGGCGTCCTCGGCGCCCACGCTCTCGTCCAGCTCGCTCACCGTGTGGAGCAGCAGCGGCATCTCGGAGCCGCCCAGCAGCTTGGCGTAGCACGCCACGGCGAGCTCCGGCGACTCGCCCGGCGCCCGCCCATCCGACGAGAGGAAGTCACCGGCCGCCGCGAAGCCCGGCGGGAACACGAGCTTCGACGCCGGCGGAGGAGGCTCGGGGCTGGGGCACAGAGGGCCCTGCAAGGAGAGGCGCGGCGTGCTCACGTCCGAGTCCGGCTCGCCCGGCGACCCCCCGCGCGGCTCCGTCGCGCCCCCCGCCGCCGCCATCGCTGCCGCCTGCAGGAGCTGCTGCAGCTGCAGCTGCTGCTGCTGCTGCTGCTGGCCGGCGCAGCGGGCGCCGTGGGCGACGGCGGTGGGGGAGCTCCCGAAGGCGGGCGAGGAGCGCACGCTGCGCGTGGCCAGCGAGCCGGAGGCGGTGCGGCCCGCGAGCGGCGGGAAGGCGGCGTCCAGCTGGCTCAGCGAGCACGAGAAGTCCTCGACGCTCGGCTGGTGCTCGAGCACGTGGCTGCCGACGCTGGAGGAGCGCGAGATGGTGGTGCGCACGAACGGCAGCCCCACGGGGCTGTGCGAGTCCGGGGTGGCCACCGAGAGGCCTTGGCTCAGAGACTGGCGGTAGAACTCGATGAGGAAGTCGAGCTTCTTCTCGATGGACTGCACCTTCAGGAAGAGCAACAGACGCACGCGTGTGGCCTGGTCAGGACTGGTCGGGACTGGTCAGTCATGATCACCTGGCATTGTGCACGCTTGCGTGTAGTGGGTGGGTGTTGCATCTGCCAGTAGTCATCTCAGTCAGTCAACCCATGGCACCTCGGTCTGTTCCATGACCTCCTACCAGCGGGCGTTCGACACTTCATGTGGCCTTATAGTGCATATAGCCTGGCACGAGCGCCGTGGTGATGCCACCTCCACTTCGTGGCAAATCACGGTTGTTGTTGTTGTTCTTGGTGTGTGTACACGCGTGTAGTGGGGGGTGTGTTGGGTCAAATTCATTATTTGGAAAACCACATTACAACACCGCCCCCTACTGGCACATTGATGTATAAACAGACATTTGTACATCCAAGTCGTTCATCTAACCTATAAAAGGCATTATTTGTCTGTCCGTGTGTGTGTGTTCGCACGCTTGCGAAGGATTTGGCTCTCAAACGGTGGGGTTTACTAAAAAAAAATACAGCCAGGTACCACGTCGTAAGCCTGTGGTGAGCAAGCGCTATTTCTTTTTCCAAACCTCAACTTTAAAGTAGTTAAATTCCCGATTTATTGCGATTTCTCTTTATTTGTTTATTACGCGCGCTCGACCATACCAACTCACATGCCTTCGGTGGGGTGAGAGGGACATTTGCTTTCGCAGTTAAAAATGCTATTAAAATACACAAAACGCTCAAGTAAATTCTTCACAGTGTGATGTCTTCTCCCCCCCCCCACCTTGATGCGTGCACTTACTACTATACAGTCGGTAGATGCTACCACTATAGGCCGTAGATATTACTGCAGAGTGGGCGGGGGGATCGTGGCTGGGGTGGGGGGGTGAGGGGTAGCGGCCCAGCCTGCCAAGATGCCACCTCGGCCGGCTGGGCAATCTAGGCGAGGCCCGGGGCTCAGCACGGGACTAGGCCTCACCAGGGCAATGTTGAGTACTCTTTTCTTGCTTCTTTCGCTAAACTCACGTTTATAAAAAAAACCTATTATTTAAATGATCACCTTGCAAATATTACATTAATAATGTTTGTGTGCAGACAACTAATATTTATATTTCTTTCGCTAAACTCACGTACATAGAAAGCTTTTATTTTAATAATAGCCCAGAAATGTGTGTAACGCGCGTGACGTCACTCCACATGCCGTACCCCCATCCGTCATTAATAATAAAATAATCATGAACGGGTGGATTTTTACACTGACGCAGAAGGTCGAGCGGAAAGATATATTTATTTTGCAAAGTCGCTTCAAATATCACGTTTCTTTATTGAAAGTGAATCAAATAAATAACTCTACGCAGACTTTTTTTACAGTGACGGTAAAAAATAAATATACGCAGCACAGTGCGACATCAGTACGTGACGTCACTGCAAAAGTGCCCCGCCCCCCCCGTCATTACTATCATAAGAATTTTCTTTAAGCAAATTGGCTTTAAATTTGACGTTTTTTAATTTAAAGTTAATCAAATAAATAATTATACGCAGCAACAAAGTATATTTGGTGTATTAATCTATTTCTTCAGCACTTTAAACAAAAGGTAAGTCTAATTTTTCCTTCTAAATTACGATCAAATATATACATTTCTCCGTGATATTCCAGACATTGTATCGAATTCAAATTGATTACAACCCCAACGAGCAAAAGCAGAACAAAATAAAGTATCAGAGCAGTGATTTCTAACTAATTGAAGGAGAGTTAAATGCAGTGCTACAGTGACATTAAGTTACAGTGAGGGAAAAAAAGTATTTGATCCCCTGCTGATTTTGTACGTTTGCCCACTGACAAAGAAATTATCAGTCTATAATTTTAATGGTAGGTTTATTTGAACAGTGAGATACAGAATAACAACAAAAAATCCAGAAAAACGCATGTCAAAATTTTTATAAATTGATTTGCATTTTAATGAGGGAAATAAGTATTTGATCCCCTCTCAATCAGAAAGATTTCTGGCTCCCAGATGTCTTTTATACAGGTAACGAGCTGAGATTAGGAGCACACTCTTAAAGGGAGTGCTCCTAATCTCACCTTGTTACCTGTATAAAAGACACCTGTCCACAGAAGCAATCAATCAGATTCCAAATTCTCCAACATGGCCAAGACTAAAGAGCTCTCCAAGGATGTCAGGGACAAGATTGTAGACCTACACAAGGCTGGAATGGGCTACAAGACCATTGCCAAGCAGCTTGGTGGGAAGGTGACAACAGTTGGTGCGATTATTCGCAAATGGAAGAAATACAAGAACTATCAATCTCCCTCGGCCTGGGGCTCCATGCAAGATCTCACCTCGTGGAGTTGCAATGATCATGAGAACGGTGAGGAATCAGCCCAGAACTACACGGGAGGATCTTGTCAATGATCTCAAGGCAGCTGGGACCATAGTCACCAAGAAAACAATTGGTAACACACTATACCGTGATGGACTGAAATCCTGCAGCGCCTGCAAGGTCCCCCTGCTCAAGAAAGCACATACACATGCCCTTCTGAAGTTTTCTAATGAACATCTGAATGATTCAGAGGACAACTGGGTGAAAGTGTTGTGGTCAGATGAGACCAAAATGGAGCTCTTTCGCATCAACTCAACTCGCCGTGTTTGGAGGAGGAGGAATGCTGCCTATGACCCCAAGAACACCATCCCCACCGTCAAACATGGAGGTGGAAACATTATGCTTTGGAGGTGTTTTCTGCTAAGGGGACAGGACAACTTCACCGCATCAAAGGGACGATGGACGGGGCCATGTACCGTCAAATCTTGGGTGAGAACCTCCTTCCCTCAGCCAGGGCATTGAAAATGGGTCGTGGATGGGTATTTCAGTATGACAATGACCCAAAACACACGGCCAAGGCAACAAAGGAGTGGCTCAAGAAGAAGCACATTAAGGTCCTGGAGTGGCCTAGCCAGTCTCCAGACCTTAATCCCATAGAAAATCTGTGGAAGGAGCTGAAGGTTCGAGTTGCCAAACGTCAGCCTCGAAACCTTAATGACTTGGAGAAGATTTTCAAAGAGGAGTGGGACAAAATCCCCCCTGAGATGTGTGCAAACCTGGTGGCCAACTACAAGAAACGTCTGACCTCTGTGATTGCCAACAAGGGTTTTGCCACCAAGTACTAAGTCATGTTTTGCAGAGGGGTCAAATACTTATTTCCCTCATTAAAATGCAAATCAACTTATAACATTTTTGACATGCGTTTTTCTGGATTTATGTTGTTATTCTGTCTCTCATTGTTCAAATAAACCTACCATTAAAATTATAGACTGATCATTTCTTCATCAGTGGGCAAACGTACAAAATCAGCAGGGGATCAAATATTTTTTTCCCTCACTACAGTGAGGGGTTTTATGACATAGCGTAGTGCAAGCATCACTGCCATTAATACAGTCCTGAAGTGAAATTCAGTGGAGTGTTTGATGACATCGTTTTGTGCAAGATTCACTGCAATTTCATTTACACAAGATACAATGATACTCTGCTCAATGTTTTCGTAAATATTACAGCTTCCATCCTAGGACGGTCAAAAGGCTATTTATTTTAATAATCACCTTGGGAATATTATAATATTTTTGTTTGTGTGCTGACAACTAATATTTCTAAATTTACTTGGTAAATATTACTATTATTATTAAAGTGTCTAAGTCCTGGTGTGCGTGTGAGTCGTTGTGCCTGTCTGCGACGATATTAGTGTGTGTGTACGTCCGTGTGTGTGTACGTCCGTGTATGTGTCTGTATCATTCGATGTGTGTTTGAGTCGATGTGTGTGTGTGTGCGTGAGTTTATATGTCTGTGTGTCAGTCGATGTGTGTGTGTTAGTCAATGTGTATGCCTGGTGCAAGTGTGTACACAACTAATATTTAACAATTAGGTTACTAAATTTTTAAATAATCACGTGTGTGTCTAAGTCTATGTGTGCGTGTGAGTCCATGTGAGTGTCTGCCTCGATGTGTGTGTGCGTGAGCCGATGTGTCTGTGTGTACGAGTCGGTGTGTGTGAGAGTCGATGTGTGTGTGTTCGTGGGTCGATGTGTGTGTTAGTCCATGTGTGTGTGTGTAAGTCCATTAGTGCGTGTGTGCGTCGATGTGTGTGTGTGGGTCGATGTGTGTGTGTGAGAGTCAATATGTGTGTGTGTCAGTCCAAGTGTGTGCGTCAGTCGATGTGTGTGTGTTGGTCCATGTGTGTGTAAGTACATGTGTGTGTGTGAGTACATGTGTGTGTGTGCGTCGATGTGTGTGTGTGTGAGTCAATGTATGTGTCTGCCACAACGTGTGTGTGTGTGTACCCATGTGAGTGTGTAAGTCCATTTCTTTGTGTGTCTAGGTCCGTGTGTGTGTTCGACACTTCACGTGGCCTCAAGCTGCACATCGCCTGGCATAAGCATCGTGGTGACGTCACCGCCACTTAGTGGTGAATGGCGGTTGTTGTTGTTGTTGTGTGTAAGTCGATGTGTGTGAGTGCAAGTCGCTGTGTGTGTGCGTGATTCGATGTGTGTGTTAGTCAATTTGTGTCCTTGGTGTGTGTGTGTATAGACAACTGATATTTAACAATTACGTTAGTAATTTTTACTATAATAACGTGTGTGTGTAAGTCCATGTGTGTGTGTGAGTCGATGTGCGTGTCTGCGTCGATGTGTGTGTGTAAGTCGATGCGTGTGTGTGAGTGAATGTGTGTGTGTGTAAGTCGATGCGTGTGTGAGTGAATGTGTGTGTGAGTCGATATGTGAGTGTGTACGTCCATGTGTGTGTGTATAGTCGATGTGCGTAAGTCGATGTGTGTGTGCGTGAGTCGATATGTGTGTCAGTTGATGTGTGTGTGTACGTCCATGTGTGTGTATAAGTCGATATGTGAGTGTGTAGGTCTATGTGTGTGTAAGTCGATGTGTATGTCTGAGTGAATGTGTGTGTGTGAGTCGATGTGTGTGTGAGAGTCGATGTGTGTGTGTGTACGTCCATGTGTGTGTGTATAGTCGATGTGTGTAAGTCGATGTGTGTGTGTGTGTGAGTCGATATGTGTGTCAGTTGATGTGTGTGTGTGTACGTCCATGTGTGTGTGTGTATAAGTCGATATGTGTGTGTGTAGGTCTATGTGTGTGTGAGTCGATTTGTTTGTGTAACTCCATGTGTGTGTGTCTAAAGTCGATGTCTGTGTGTGTACGTCTATGTGTGTGTATGTGTAAGTAGATGTCTGTGTGTAAGTCTATGTGTGCGTGTGTATAAGTCGATGCGTGTGTGTAAGTCTATGTGTGTGTGTGAGTCGATGTGTTTATGTAAATCCATGAGTGTGCGTCTAAATTCGATGTCTGTGTGTGTACGTCTATGTGTGTGTGTAAGTAAATGTCTGTGATTGAGTCCATATGTGTCTGTGTGTGTGGAAGTCGATGTATTTGTGTGTGTGGGTCGATGTCTGTGTGTGTGTTAGTCGATATGTGTGCGTGGCTACATGTGAGTGTGTAAGTCCATTTCTTCGTGTGTGTGTGTAGGTCTATGTGTGTGTGTGAGTCGATGTGTGTGTGTGTAAGTGCAAATAAAAAACATTGTGTGTGCGTGTAAATCGATGTGTGTGGGTCGATGTATGTGTGTAAGTCAATGTGTGTGTAAGTCGATGTGTTTGTGTGTGTGTACGTCGATGTGTGTGTGTGAGTCCATAAGTGTGTGAGTCAATATGTGTGTGTGTGAGTCGCTGTGTGTGTACGTCGATATGTCTGCATGTAAGTGGATGTGTGTGTGGCTCTATGTGCTTGTGTGAGTCGATGTGTGTGTGTAAGTCCATGTGTGTGTGTTAGTCAATATGTGTGCGTGTGTAAGTCCATGTGTGTGTGCGTGTAGGTCGATATGTGTGTGAGTCTATGTATGTGTGTATGTGAGTCGATGTATGTGTGTGTGGGTCGATGTGTTTGTGTGTCGATGTCTGTGTGTGTGTAAGTCGATGTGTGTGTCTTTTTCGCCCGGGCAACGCCGGGTACTTCCCGTAAGTTAGTTATAATCCACACCCACCAAGGCAGCACATATCTGTTTATTAAAAATGTTGTTTTGCATTATAATTTAAAAATATGTTGACTTCAAGGATTCGGCATCGGTTTAGGACCCACCAACCCTTACCTTCAAAGTGCTGGATCAAAAGTGTACGCCACCGTCCTCGCTTAAGAGAAGCGAAGGCACGCACACAAAACACAAAGATCTCCCGTATAGTCATCACAGACTGTTGGGGCAAGTGCTGTCACCTACATTGAGGGAAAAAAAGTATTTGATCCCCTGCTGATTTTGTACGTTTGCCCACTGACAAAGAAATGATCAGTCTATAATTTTAATGGTAGGTTTATTTGAACAGTGAGAGGCAGAATAACAACAAGAAAATCCAGAAAAAACGCATGTCAAAAATGTTATAAATTGATTTGCATTTTTATGAGGGAAATAAGTATTTGACCCCCTCTCAATCAGAAAGATTTCTGGCTCCCAGGTGTCTTTTATACAGGTAACGAGCTGAGATTAGGAGCACACTCTTAAAGGGAGTGCTCCTAATCTCAGCTTATTAGCTGTATAAAAGACACCTGTCCACAGAAGCAATCAATCAATCAGTTTCCAAACTCTCCACCATGGCCAAGACCAAAGAGCTCTCCAAGGATGTCAGGGACAAGATTGTAGACCTACACAAGGCTGGAATGGGCTACAAGACCATTGCCAAGCAGCTTGGTGAGAAGGTGACAACAGTTGGTGCGATTATTCGCAAATGGAAGAAACACAAAAGAACTGTCAATCGCCCTCGGCCTGGGGCTCCATGCAAGATCTCACCTCGTGGAGTTGCAATGATCACGAGAACGGTGAGGAATCAGCCCAGAACTACATGGGAGGATCTTGTCAATGATCTCAAGGCAGCTGGGACCATAGTCACCAAGAAAACAATTGGTAACACACTACGCCGTGAAGGACTGAAGTCCTGCAGCGCCCGCAAGGTCCCCCTGCTCAAGAAAGCACATATACATGCCCGTCTGACGTTTGCCAATGAACATCTGAATGATTCAGAGGACAACTGGGTGAAAGTGTTGTGGTCAGATGAGACCACAATGGAGCTCTTTGGCATCAACTCAACTCGCCGTGTTTGGAGGAGGAGGAGGAATGCTGCCTATGACCCCAAGAACACCATCCCCACCGTCAAACATGGAGGTGGAAACATTATGCTTTGGGGGTGTTTTTTGCTAAGGGGACAGGAAAACTTCACCGCATCAAAGGGACGATGGACAGGGCCATGTACCGTCAAATCTTGGGTGAGAACCTCCTTCCCTCAGCCAGGGCATTGAAAATGGGTCATGGATGGGTATTCCAGCATGACAATGACCCAAAACACACGGCCAAGGTAACAAAGGAGTGGCTCAAGAAGAAGCACATTAAGGTCCTGGAGTGGTCTAGCCAGTCTCCAGACCTTAATCCCATATAAAATCTGTGGAGGGAGCTGAAGGTTCGAGCTACTAAACGTCAGTCTCGAAACCTTAATGACTTGGAGAAGATCTGCAAAGAGGAGTGCGACAAAATCCCTCCTGAGATTTGTGCAAACCTGGTGGCCAACTACAATAAACGTCTGACCTCTGTGATTGCCAACAAGGGTTTTGCCACCAAGTACTAAGTCATGTTTTGCAGAGGGGTCAAATACTTATTTCCCTCGTAAAAATGCAAATCAATTTAAAACATTTTTGACATGCGTTTTTCTGGATTTTGTTGTTATTCTGTCTCTCACTGTTCAAATAAACCTACCATTAAAATTATAGACTGATCATTTCTTTGTCAGTGGGCAATCGTACAAAATCAGCAGGGGATCAAATACTTGTTTTCCCTCACTGTATGAAGGCCGGCACACGATGGGGTGGGTAGTCAGCACCACGCTCAACCGCCCCAGGCACTCATTTGAGACTAAGTCGACGTAGCGGAGGCCAAGGGACCGGTTCAGATAACCGTCACTGCTATTGTCAGTGAGCAGATTCCGAACTCCGGTAAGTCGGGTTCGTCGCGCGGTGCGCTGACCACGATGCCACCGCTTACCCTCGCGCACAGACACACACGCAGAAGACTGCCCATCGCAGAACTATCCAACGCAGCCGCTCCCTATCTCCGTGCCCTGTGGTATGGTGACGGGGGGGATCGGCGTGTCTGTGCGTGCGCGGGACAGGTGGATGTTTACCGAGGGTATGCTGGCACGAGCCTCTGTTTCGCGGTCGGGGATGGGGGGGTCGTGTTCCCCGGCTGGCGCCCCGCAGGCCGGTATGACGGATGCTATTGTGAGCGGCTTCGCATTAATGCAGATTAGAGTCTCGCTATCTTCCGACAACTGGCGCACGGCGAAAGGTTCCTAAAAAACCCCGCGTATAAAGTTTCATTAAACCCGACCCTAGGGGCATGGCGGTGCGGCAGAGCGTTATGGAATGCGCTGGTGAGTGACAGCCTGGTTGGACTGATAAAGAGTAATCGAAGTAAAGTATAAAAAACTGAGAACGCACACACACACACATGCACGCGTGTGCATGTGTGTGTGTGTACAAAAGGAAAATATCCCTCGTATAAAAATACAGGGAGTTGGGGCAAGTGCTGATAGCAAGCAACTATGCAGGCCTGCGTAGGGTACCAGCCAGTGGCTTAGCCAGCACCACACCCAGCCACCTTTGTCTCCCCAGTGACGATGTTTTAACACGCTGATTCAGGTACTCATATACAAGGAAAAGCTCAGGCAGTTGAGATATTTACCACGAACGTAATCCATGGCCAGGAATCAAACTCGGCTCGCTGACCACTACGCGACTGCTCTACCACTCCCCACTAAACAATGCAAAGACAAAGATTCACCATTTAGCCTTTAACAGACCGTTAGGACAAGTGCTGTTCACGAGCACCTATGAAGGGCGGCATGGCACACGAGAGGGGGTGAGTGGCCATCAATGCACACCGTCACACATGCAGCTCACAGTACATTAAGTGATTCTTCTGTATAAAATTTTTAAGTTATGATGGGTTTCTATTTTTGCTTTTTCCCATATGCGTGCAACCTGGCAGAGATATCCCAGTGAAGAATTAGCTTTTATTTTTTGTTCAGCGTGAGCCGTAAGTGCATCTTAACGTGCCAGGACACGGCCCTCCTGAGAAACGGCCCTGGGACTCAGATGAGGCCCTACTGCGTGGGTAAACGAGAGACTGCCGCTGTTGAGGTCACGCTGCCCGTGGGAGGATGCTTTGCCTTGCCATCAAATGACTGTGCCTCCGCCTTGCTTTGGCACAATTTGGGCTTTGCAAATCACATGCAGAGATTACCTAAAGGAAATTGAACAAAGGGAATCTAACAAATCACATCTTCGTACGTTAATGTTTCCTCTATTTCACGATGTCTTGCCAGCGGTGCTACTGACAGTGGTTACACAACGCAACTTATTCCATTATCTGCTCCAGTTATTTTCCTGGCAGCAAACAGCACTGGAAGAAGCGAAACCCGATCCCAGGGCTTGAACCCAAGTTTTCGGAGTTACTGGCTCAGAGTCCTGATATGAGCATCACCCATCCTGAGAGACACCCAGCCTCCAGGCTTGAACTCCGGACTTTTGGAGGTGTTGGCTTAGTGTGCAGACACAGGGTTCATTGCATGCTATCGGATGCGCTTCTGCCGCCGTCTGGAACGCTCTTCCTTCCAATATTAGGAAGCCACTGGAGCTATGCACTTTTAAATTATCTCGATTGAAAACTCATTTCTTTCAAACTGCTTCTTGTGTTTAGTTTGTTGTGCTTGTCCGGCACCTCTGATTAGCACGCTTGGCTACGTACGGTGCACAAAGAGGTTTTAACATACATACATACGAGCCAGATAATAATAATAATCATTGAAAAATTAAGCCCTGGTCCGAAACAATGGCCACGTTCCCCTCCGCCACTCTCCTCCTGCCCCCCCCCACCCTGTCGCCACCAACCTGCTTCTCCATCTTGATGACCCTTCCCATCATGCTCTGGTCTTCGCGGACGTCTGAGGCCCCGCGGAGCTCTCGCGAGCGGATCCTTTCCGTGCTCAACGACGGCTGCACCTTCCCCAGAATCTGATCCACCCTAGGCGCGCGCACACACACACACACGGAGACAAAGCTTTGCCGGGGGCGTCGTGCCGGGGGGTTAACTGACCATGAAATATGGAACAGGAGCGAAAGATCCCGCGGCGTCAATTTTTTTTTTTTATGACTCGCAAAGTTACTTTCAGTGAGAAAAATCAAGAGCAACGTCACCTCCCCTTACCAGTGCTGTGCTCACATTTTTTTTTTCCCGCAAAGCGACAGCTGCCATCAGAGGCTCCCCACGGCAAACAAGAATAACTGTTCCCCGGGGCGCTGCTTTACGTCATGGGCGCGTTGCGGAGAGTCGCTCTCACCGGGCCTGCAGGCTCTTGATGCGGCTCAGCATGTCCAGGTGGCCCGCCGAGTACTGCTCGATGACGTCCTTCACGTCGTACGGCCGCAGCGTCTCCTTGAACTTCCTCTTGGCCACGTGGAACTTCATGATCCTGAACGAGCGCACGGCGAGAAAACCACGGCGGGCACCGCCACTTTAGTGGGGAACATTTTTTGGCTTTTGCCTCGCAGCAGCAAAGAGGAATAATCGAGTATGGATGGATCAAAGGCACCTCGGTCACTGAGATTGTAGCGCAGTCCCTGGATGACTGCACAACTGCTCCCCATTCAAAAATACAAGGCAAAGATTCCCCCTATAGCCTGTATCACCTGTTGGGGGCAAGCATCATGAGCGAGCCCCTATTGTATGCACGTGTGTTGAACTTCTTCCGCACCGCACGAGACTCGAGAGGGACACCAAGTGGTGGTGTTGCCGGCACCACGCCCGGCCGCATTTGTCTCCCCGGCGCTGGTGTTTGCACACTGCACCAAGCAATCACTTAAGGCTGAGTCGACCTAGCGGAGGTCCAAAACTGGCTTAACATTCAAGTGTTGGAGATCGCTTCATTACATCTGCAGGATTTGCTATTTACTGCGTGGCGGCGTTACCACTGCTGTTTTGTTTGCGTGTCAGATGCCCGCTTGTAAATATAAAACGTATGCTCAGGTCTGGCCATATTGATGCTCGTTTGTTCGAACAAATGCCCCCGCCTTATTGAACTTCACCCTCGGCCTGCCCACCTTGTTCAATGCTCGCCTCGTGGAACGACTTTGGGGTCTCGCATCTGCGCAGATAGCGGTCTTCCCCGGCAGGAAGCTTTGAGGCTTTTGGACGCCTGCCTAACGCCTGTCATTTTGATCCGATGTGTCTCCGGAGGCTCGCGCTGCCGGCTAATGAAAAAGCCAAAAGTGGAATGTGCGGACCCTCCGCTGCAGCCACCAAAGTCTTTTAACGTGACAAGCGCAGTTATTGTGCTCCTGAACTCGTAAAAAAAGCCTATAACTGGATCCACAAGGGTTCCCCTTGGATTAGGACCGCCCCCCATACCCAGTACCAAAGATATATTAATTACATACTGGATGTATTGTGCTCTTGAACTCGTAAACTACATCGCCGGATAAACAGGAGGTCGTGGGTCCGACCATCACGCGTGCATATTTGGAGTTTGCGTCTCTCTCTCCCCGTGGTTGTGTGGATTATTCTCCGGGTCCTCCGGTGTTTACCTTCATACCTAGAAGCATGCGTTTAGATAATATGTCTGCTTTAAATTTCCACATGATAAGCTACTTTATTGAGCTATCATTTGTGGCCAGGTCGCTTCTAAAAAAAAAGATCTATACAGTAGCTCAGTGGGCCTTACCTGGTAAAATAAAAAAAATAGTTTCGTATTTTTGTTTTGTTTCAGTTTGTGCAATGCTGTTAGCGAGCACCTCCTAATGTTGGTACATCACGTGACGGGGCTGTTGTGGCCAGCGCAGCTAACCTGGTCGCCTCTGTCTACTCGGGGCTCTTTTAAGGCCGAGTCGATCTAAACCTTGGTCCAGGATAGGTTTAAATACCACTGTAGTATGTTAGGCTTAGGTTGCTGTGCTTTCAGTGAGGTGCACTAGCTACTCCACTAATGCGTTCCATGAATAATAAAACCCACAGAGCTATTTAGACAGTTGGGGCAAGTGCATTTAGCAAGCACATATTAAGCGCATGCTGGAGTAGAAATATCCATTTGCATACTTGTCCGCCTTTGACTTCCCAGTGCTGCTACACCAGCTACTCATGTTAGCTTGAGTTGACCGAGGGGAGACAAGTTCAGATATCAGTTGCCATTGACGATATTCATGGCCGGAATTGAACTCCGGTGGCAAGGTTTGAAGTGTGGTGCGCGAACCACTAATCCACAGCCTCCACCCACACGCATACATACACAGAGTGAAAGAGTAGGCCAAAATACTAATTTAGAGGGACTCTCGAGAGCTCCCTCTCGTGGAAGCTCTACTGACAGCAGAGGTGTGAATAAGCATTTGCACGCATTATACAAATAGCGCCTGAATGAAAGATACTTGTTATCTTCAAATAGAAAGAAGTACTAAGCATTTTTCTTTTTCATTTCTTTGATGGCACCTACATTTCACCGGGTTTGTCGCACAGTGCACGAACCACTGCACCAATGCTCCCCACATACAAAGAGGCAAATATCCCCCGTATAGTCTTAACGCACTGTAGGGGCAAGTGCTGTTAGTGAGCACTTATGAAGGTCAGTACGGTGCATGAGGGGTGGGTGTTCAGCACCACGCCCGACCGCCTTTGTCTCCCGAGTGGCGATGTTTGCACATCGCACCAGGTACTCATTTTTGGCTGAGTCGACCTAGAGAAGGCCTGGACTGGTTCAGATAATCATCAGTTTGTGTTGGCCACGAGCGGGAATAAAACTCGGGACGCCGGGTTTGGGGCGCAGCCTCTTTGTCTCCACATAACACGCCAGGCACACAGAGGCACTCAAACCCAGGAGCCACAGCGCAATAACATATCCACTCTCTGACGCAAGCAAGGGGCATGGGGATAATGTTGCCTTCAGGCAGTGGAGGAGTTCATCTGAGATCGTTCCATCTGGAATTAATATCAACACTTTTTTTTGGACCAAGAGAAATGTTTCCATTTCCAGCACGGTGAGCCGAAATAAAAACAATCCACTACATCGGGCAACTCGATTCGCAATTTAAAAATATAAAAATGTAATAAAGCCAAATGAAATCCCAAATGTTCCCTATTAAATAACAATAAATGGCAGGTGTAGACGACAATTAGATTTCTCCTTTGAGACGATGGATTTTCCATTTGATCTGCCCTGGGATCTCTTAACTGCAGGTGTTGTTATGAGAAGCACTTATACATGCACGTCACCATCAGCCTGTCAAATAACAATAATGGTTCTCTACTGGGTGGCAAGGGGAGGGAGGGGAACGGTGGTGCAGCGGTTAGCGCGCTGCACTACGACTCTGGCCATCCGAGTTTGACTCCCGGCCACAGCTAACATTGGTGGCGAGCATTTTTTACACAAATCTTGCCCCCCTCCCCCCTTCACCAACCCATGCTGACCAGAATGGTGAAGTATGGTCAAACAACTACCATTACCGACAAGGGATGGAGAAGAGGCCTTAAATCTCCAGTGGGTTGACAAAGTTCCGAGAATAACTTTTTAATTACTCAGATAAGCCTGAACTGAGTCTCAAGACACTGTCAGCAGGCTCCTGCTTGTGATGTTTGGAAATTTAAGGCATTTCACACGCTGCAGGAAAGCAGACTTCCTTGGAATAACACCTGCTCTGATGAAGGGTTAAACAGTCGACATTCGGCAAATATAGGCAAGCAACCTACTTGCTGTACTGTGCTACTATACGCATCGCCACGTGGTCCTGCATACCACAGTCTCACAGAGATTGGCCTCTACCATAGGGATGTGGAATTTGCAATGCTGGTTCACCATTGGAAGGCGAGCACCACCTCCATTGGGGGATAGGTTTTTGGGTCTTTGAGTAATTTATCCTCCTGTGTTGACCCTGTGAGTAAATTGTGTTTTTCAGGCGGTGAAATGTAACATTACCTTGAAGCCATGAGTCATTTTGATAAATACTGTGCACGCTTGAATGCAAAACTTGTGTGGAATGCATGAACTAGAGCCATACATTTTAAATGCGATGCTACTATGAATAATTGTCGATGCTAAACTCAAGCTATGTAGCAAAAGTTTGTATGCCTTTTATAATGATTATCCACTAACTTTAAATAACTCACGTAATTAAGATGTGTTTTTACGCATAAAACTCCCAGAAACGCAGCTTATCTTGAGCGCTGAAAATAATAATAACAACACCACTAATTTACCCAGATAAGCCACAAAGAGTCTCAAGCCTCTGTTTAAGGAGCGTCCTGCTTTGGGATGTTTGCCTCCATGTGGGAGGAGACCACTGAACCCAGATGGCACCCACGACCCTGAGTTCGATTGCCTGCCACTCAACACTGCCATCGCGAAAGGGCCGTTTTTGTGCATTGCGCACACCAACCTTGCCGTGTAAGAAACACTTAGAAACGTTGAGATCGCAATTAAAACCGTTGTGATAATTATCAGGGCGATGAAAGCGGTAACACTTGTCGCCTCGTCCCCCACAGCCAGTAGTGCCTGGGTTCGATGCCGGACGAGGGGCGATTTTATTTGTGGCGTTTGTATGTTCTCACCCAGTCCTGCATGGGTTTCTCTCGGAAAGGGTAGGGCCTTTTTAAAAAATAATTTCCCATAATTTCGATACTGGCAAAAAGGTCCCATAGATTTTTTTTCTTTCATCGTTACGTTTTCCGGTTTCCTCCCATAGCAAAACACCCCCCCCCCCCCCCCCCCCCACCGTATTATGCCGCCGGTATTAGCCGAATATCCCAATGCTGAAAGATGACCTGTGCACATTGCCCCATTCAGATTACGCATCGCAAAATCGCCACCTGCCGCGGAAACATTGCAGGGCGCTCCCGAAAGAGGGTTAAGGATCAGTAAGGCTTCCCTGGGTAAACATGCGTAGTTGTAACAATAATAACAATATCAATGTTAACCGCTATAATTATATCTATGGGACCTTTTTGCCAGTATTAAAAATGATGAAAAATAAGATTAGGGTTTTACCCTTTCTGGCAATAAAACAGGTGTTCAGATGTTCAAACACCAAATAGGTACCTTTTGCAAGCCATTAAGTCTGCATCAACCACACGTACTTGTGGCAAAACCTGCAAACAAACATTCTCTGATAATTATATATGGCATTGTCCTTGAAACTGATTGGCCTACACCACCACACAGCCTTCTTCATGGCCTTGTCTCACCACCAGTGTCAGACCAGAGGACGTCAAAAGGCGAACAGTACAAAGACAATGCCACTATCAGATCACTTATAGCTCGAGTCGAGCAGTTATAACTGCAAAAGGTATCTGTTTGGTGTTTGAACGTCTTAACGCCTGTTTTATTGCGATAATTATGTGACCGTGGAATTGACCACCTGCAAGACGAGAGTCGTTTTGGCTTTCTAGTTGTGCCCTCTTTTTTTATTATTATTTACACGCTTTTATTTAACTCACTCTGTCTGTTGTTGTTGTTGTAACCTCTAATCTTGTAACTCAATTTTTACCCACTTCCCAATGTGGTATCGACTGCAAACTTGGTATACTTATGTCATACTGATGACAATGCTATATTCTATCATTAAAAATAAAAAAATATATTTGACACAATTTTTTTTATATGTTATGTTTCGGATGGGGTCTAATTGTCCACGCTCAACTCACGTTGGCTGTAAATCACCATGGTCCCCTGACGTTATGGCAAGTTTCGGGGCCACTTCCTGGAGTCGTGGAGTTCTGCCATTACGAGCACGGTACATTTCATTAAAGCGTGTTTAAAAAAAAGGTATTTTTAAATATTACTTATTCCCCCTTTGTATTGCAACTCAACGCATACCCAGTACAAAGCACCCATCACAGTACGGGAGGTGGGGGGGGGTGTGCATGAGGAAAGGACTTTGTCCCCAGCACCATAACAACGTCTAGGGCTATGTCTCCCATGATATGATGCCAATGGCACCGGGGTGCCGCGGTGGCGAGATATTAACCACCTCGCTCGGTATACAAGAGAAACTCCGTGAAAAAAAACAAAGCCCGAGTTGGGTGCGCCAGGGGCTTAACGATGTTGAGAAAATTTGGGGTCTCTCTGTGCCATCTAGGTAGGGACCACACGTGAGAGCATGAAAGTTTACATGGGGAGAGAAGGTCGAGGGGAAAGACAACCAACATAATGGGGTAAAGGTGGACAGGGAAAAGGGAAGATGAGTAGGGGGCGTGTTCCCTCCTTTAACAGGTCCCTGCAGGGTGGGCTGGTAGGACAAGTCTCTGCGCTGTCTATTGCTGATTTTACACCCAACAGCACGAGATTTCACTTCGTTAAAGTATTGAAAGGGGATGGACGGACACATGAATCTTTTGCAGGCTAGTACACTCAGTTTACAACTTCGTTCCTACCAGTAAAATGTGTCAATGTACTCTTTGCGCACCAGAGGAGTTTTTGTGATTGACAGGAACAGGAAGGATCCACGCTTACCGGATGGCTCGAACGACGGTGCGGAGAGTGGGGCTCAGGTTCTCCAGGGAGAGGTCGCACTGACATCTCTTGTCATCGCAGGTCTCCTCCGATGCCTCCGCTTTGCAAGACAGAAGGCGGGGGCAGGGAAACGCAACGCGCAACCTCAATGAGGCCCAGGGCCGTTCAGAATGGGGGATACAAGCAAAGGCGATTTGCCACGGAGTCCTTTAAGTTTTGTTAGCCCTGCCGTAGGAGGGGCTTCTCCGGTAAACATCTGGCTTTAATACAAACAATATACATATTAAAACTGGCCGAATGACCCAAGCCAGTGCCCCCTCTTGAATTTTTTTCTTCTGAAATTAATTCAACGCTTTCTTGCATAAATGATTTTATAACGTAATATGCGTATATGTATACAACAAGTTGTGCATTTTCATTAAATGTCTTGTATATAATTAACCAGGTGAATGCGCATTGAGTAACTGTGTGGGCATGAATAATTGCAGTTACTTGGGCATAGTTTTAGATATTTAATTGTCTCGTTGGAGGTGTGTGTGTTTTTTTTAAATTGAGACCTGGCATATGATGATCGCACCGTGTGTATGTGTCCGCGCGTGTGGGTGCACGATGCCTTGGTCTGGCTCTGAGCTCTGAAATATTTACATTTAAGGCCTTGAAGTTGCAAAAACGTGTCAATAAATTCACTGATGCGATTTCTCACGGTGATGGGCCATGAATATTGATTCGGCTGTTATTTTCTGCACCGTCCGTGCGTGCAAATGCATGCGCACACATCATGGCCCTCGCCCGAGTGAGTATTAGTGCGGGACGCAAGTTATTGCCGCATACATGTGTGTGCATGAGGACTTTTTTCGTCAAAGTCCTCGGCTTTGGCCGTTTTAGCATGCAAGTGAGCGGCATGGTTATTCTAGTGAGATGTGTTAAAGAGAGTCAACAGAAACATTCTGATTGAATTTAAATGATATATTTTGATGGATTCACACCAAAATTGGATGCATTAATAACTAAATATATTAAATTTACAACGTGGATGGTAAACCGTAGGCTGTGTTTATACGATACTCTGCGAGCCAAAGCCTGTCGCAAATTCAGAGCCACAGAGTTCGGTTTGCTCCATTGCTCAATGTATTACTTCACCCTTCGTTACAGTTAGAGTTGGGGATTGTGTTTCGATTAGTGATGGGGTTTGCAACTTTATTAATATTTTCATGCCACTCTAGCACCGTTTATTTATTAGCCTTTTTAAAACATCCGAGTTTCGTCAGATCCACACAGTGCGGAGTGAATAATTTCACACGACAAGATATAACTGCTCGACCCGAGCTCTCAATGCTCTGATAATTGCATTGCATCTTTCTACTGTTCACCATTTTGGCGTTCCCTGGTGTGACTCTGTGTGAGAAAAGGACACAAAGAAGGCTGTCTCTCTTGTAGGCCAATCAGTTTCATAGACAATGCATATATATAAAATTATCAAAGCATGTTTTTGTTCGCATGTTCTATGTATTTTGCTGTTTAAACATCTTAACACCTGTTTTAGTGAAACTTTATTTGGCGTTTTCGTGACCGCAGGAATTACTCTTTGGTTATTTTGGTAAAGTCACGTAGAAAGAGAAAGTAATGAATTAAATAAAAGCATACGACGCTTCGATTGCCACACAAGCAATCGTCATAATTAGGTACTAATGAAAGAGAAAAGAAATCTCGTAAATCTTAGAAATATAATGCAATACAGCACTGATAGTGGGCAATTATAAGTCAACAATATAGCACAGATAGTGGGCTAACACAACAGTCAACACCCTACAAAAAGGGTAGGGTGTTGACTGTTATGTTAGCCAGTGTGCTGTATTGCATTATATTTCTAAGTATACTATTTTTCGATTTAAAGCTTTCGTGACTGCAAGGATTCATCTTCTTTGGTTCTTTCGGCAAAGTCATGTAGAATGAGAATAAAATAAGAAAAGTATTGCTTTATTTTATTATTTTATTCTAAGTATACTAGGTTTGTTTTCTCTTTCATTTGTACCTGATGACGATTGCTTGTGTTGCAATCGAAACGTCGTATGCTATTATTTAATTTATTATTTTCTCTTTCTACCTGTTTTAGTGCCAGAAAAGGCATTGCCCGAAACATTAGCTAATGCATCGTCTCTTTAAAGGCAGTGCCATAGTTTTATATTTGTGTTAATATTAGACACGTCCATCATAACGATGAAAATAATGTACAGTCCTTTGCAATTATCCACTGCTGGATGGAGACCTACTGACATGTTGGCTGTGGGGGTTGTTTGACCATACTTCCCCAAAATGGTCAGGGGGAGTTGGTGTCAGGCACCAGGACCAATTTAGATATAAATCCACTCATGTTAGCCGTGGCTGAGTTCATATCGCACTGTGCTAACCATAATTAGGATAAGGCTGTTGTAAACATTTGGGCCAGTGTTAGTGTCAATGTTAGTGTGCAGTAGGGTAAGTGCGAGAGTGCAGTTTGAGGTTAGCGCCATTGTTGATGGTTAAGGTTATGGTGAAGGCAAGTTCCAGAGTTATGTTTAAGGTTAGGGCTCTTGTTGAGTGAGGGTTAGTGGTCATGTAAAAGGTTAAGACTCGGGTAGGGCTCTAGACAGTGGGTACATTCATTCAGGCGTGGCTCCTTCACCAAATGCACCTTGGGTATCTTAAATTGCATTAATTTCCCCTCTCATGCGTCAGATCCTTTATGGCCGCATGAGGACGGAGGATGACTGAAAACACAGCCGGACTGCAGGCTGAGAGGGAGCCTGCCTCGCGAGGACTGGCCACTAGATGGCCAGGCTTTACAGGCGAACGCACTCAACAAGCCTGTCCTCGAGTGACGGCGGGTAAGCTAACCTGGCTCAGACCGAGGGCTCCATTCCACGCGGATATTGTGGCCGTCATTCCCTAGAAAAGTGGCCGAATGACGGCGGATCAAAAAATTCAATCCTGAACAAAAATTAGAATCCGCATTTGGAAAATTAAAGGGCGGCCAATTGTACACAGACATTGAACTGTTACCAGCACCGCGACGCGTGGCCCATCGCTGGCACGGTTTAGGCACGGGCCGACAACTCCACAGTTTCCACAAATGTGGCTTTCATTCGATAACTGGCCACGGCACTCGACAGCGGCGCTTGTAGGCGAGCCTCTCCCCCCCCCCCCTGGGAAAACTCGGCCTTGAAATGTGTGCCTAGAACGGTGGGCAATCCAGGGGTAAGGGTTGGTGGATTACCACGGGATCCCACGGCCAGTGGTGTAGCAACGACATCATCATCTCAGGGGGTGTGGCAATGGGTCAGGTGGGGCCCCAATATTTGATTTGTCTCGCACGGTCGCACCTAGGCTGTTTCATATCTGGGCTTCCTCTTGCCTTATCACATCCTAGTGCTCAAGCCCTGTGTCGCGCCAACCCGAAAGAATGGTTCTGCTTGTCTATCTGGTTACACTGTCATGACGGCAACATAGAAACACGCGTGCGGTGCGCAATTTGCGGAAGCCAAACGTTACTGCTCTGGTTACAATTAAAACGTGGAACGCAAATGAAAGCAAGTTTGTAAAAAAAAAAACTATTTTTAAACCACGTTTGAAAGAAGTGTTGTTCTTTCACACCGTTGTTGAGAACCATATTCCATGGCGGTTGTCAAGGGGACCTCCAACTCGTAGCTTTAGCCACCAGGGGGCGGGAGCACAAGGCCCCCCCCCCCCGCCTGCCCCACGACCACCACGCTACTCACCACGTGCTTCGGCAAACTCTTACACGATTCGACTCCATAGATTCGATTCCACAAATTCGATTCCACAGATTCGATTGCCCTCCGCTGACCGATACTTTGACAGCCCAGTGGTGAATTGTGACATCACAAAAGTGGATTTCGCGGCATTGGGGGCCCAATCTCAGCACTGGGGCATCTGAGCTATAAGCTCCGAGACAAGGAAGAAGAATACAACACGTGCATGAGGGGGGGGGGGGGGTCCATGCCTAAACCTTAGACAGTCTAAAATACCTGAGCCCAGAATGTCAATAAGCTGGCCAATCCCACCCACTCGTCCTCCAAATAAACCCCTCTCCGCCTGCTCTGATGGGTCCAGTGTAGCCGATACCGTCGATGGAACTGGTAATGCCGTCCAGAATGTCAGGATATTGCAACGTATAATGCGAGTGAGGATGTGGAATAAAAAAATATTTGGCCGAAAGAAACGTGCGGATACATCGGCTGTGGAGTGGACGTCCTAAGATACGGAGCGAGAACTTGCCACTTGTCCAATAAGCCGACTTCTGCCCGTTACCATCATTAAGTCATCACTCATAATCGTCACGTGCCAGCCATTCTGATTCCACTGCCACTGGTGCATAATTATCAGCAGCATCATCACTCACCTGTCAACCCATACGGTTTAGCCCGTGTGCTTGTACAGGGAAATTGAGTTTTCAAGGTCCATACGGCGTACGGCCGTTTCAATGCAGGCACATAATGTTTTTTGTCTTTGTTTGTGTTTCTCCCTTGTGATGGGACTTTGTAGGATGAACGTTGAGATGTATAAGGGGCACGGGGTGACCAATAAGGTCTGAATTGGTCTGTAACAAGGTAGGGCACTGATAAGGGGTTGACAGGTATGTCATCATCACAGTGAACCAGTCTCTCTCCACTGCTAGACAACGTACCACCACCACACTGAGCCAGTTTCTCTCTATTGCTAGGCTATAGAGTTCACCACCACAACCACGCTCAGCCAATCTCTCTCCACTGCTAGACAATGCATCACCGCCACCGCACCACACCGAGCCAGTCTCTCTCCACTGCTGGCTGGCCGCGTACCCTCGGAGCACTGGCGAGACTGCGACGCGCGGAGCCGCAGCGATGGTCGGAAGCGCGTGCGGTCGTTGAAGCTCCAGCTCTTGGTGACCTTCGCCGGGCTGCCGGGCCCGGCCGCGTCCGCGCTGGGGGAGCGGCGTACAGCGCCCGGGGCGCACCGGCCCCCCGCGCCGCCACGGGGTGGGGGGCCAGGGGCGCCTGCCCCTGCCGTGCCGCCTCCGCCCCCGCCGCCCGCAACTCCTCCGGCGCCGCGCGGGCTCGACAGGCGGACGCGCTCGCGCAGACTCAGCTTCTGGCTGCGCGCGCGGGATGGACACGTTGTTGCGCACGCACGTTCAGCGCGTGCGCACGCGCGTGGACGCGTAACGGGCTGTTCGGAGCGAGCGGTCACAATGAAGGGGTCACAATGAAGGGGTCGCAACGGCACAAGAGGCGGTGGGTGGGGTGGGGGTGTCTTAGCGATGTTTTATGCACACCGCACCAGGTGCTCATTGGAGGCTGAGTCGACCTAGGGGTGGCCCAGGACAGGGTTCAGATAATCGCCATCACCGGTGTTGGCCGTGAGCGGGAATCGAACTCGGGTCGCCGGGTTCGTCGCGCAGCGAGCTAACTACCGCACCACCACTCCCCACACAAGTACAAAGACCGCCCGTGTAGCCACTAACAGGCTGTTGGGGCAAGTTCTGTTGGCGAGCACCTATTAAGGCCGGAATGTTGATAAGGGTGGTGTGGTAATCACAACATCTCCCCAGCGGCGATGTTCTATACACACCACACCTGGCACTTTTGTTTTTGTTAAGGCTGAGTCGACATCAAGCTCGGAGGCCTCGACTGGACAGGAACAATGCAATTCACGGAGGGAATGCAAGAGGGGACATTGCCTGGCAGCGGGGTAGTCAGCGGATCGACAGCAGCGACCGAGCGGCGGTTCGGATAGCACTCGCCACTACACCACAACCACCCACTGCCACATCGATAAACACGCAAACACACACACACGCACGCGCGCGCGCGTTATATTAACAGTGACCGAAGGAAAGATGCGTGCCATCTTCAACACAGAAGTATTTCGCTTGGCTCTAAGTCTTTCTCTCGCCGGTTACTTCTCGCTTATGGAGTCCTCCTTTACAGGCGGGGCACTTTGAGATTACCATTTTTTAAGGGCGCTTCATGACTTAAATTATTATTATTAAAATTAGTGCATTCAAACGCGGTGCAGGGGATGAGCTTTGAAGCCACCAAACGATAAGCTTGCGTAATTCACCGCGTTAAGTCGTGGCGCCAGAGCGCAAATCCCACAACTCTTCTCAGCACATTACTAATGCTCCTTCATCAAACTATGAGGGGTGTAACTCAGTTTTCCAGACGCAGCACGGCCAGGGACGCGACTGATTGGTGGGGAAACGCGCTTGCGTGAAGGTGGGACATTGAGCGGTGGCACCTAAACCCCGTGGCCCTGAGCCTCATTAGCGGTCCGATAGCACTCACAACGCGCTGATGCCTAAAGCTCTGGAATATGAATTCATGAACGTGCAGCTGAAGGTTCTGCGGAAGGTGTGAGCCTACTTTATTTAAACGAAACAACTCATTAAAATACGCGGGTCTCAGGTGGCACATTGCACTTCAATGTGCCACAGCATGCCGGTGTGCATGGAATAAGTGCTGGCAGCGCGCTCACGGTATAAATACCGGGTGTGGTCACCCCACTCCCGTGGCACGGTGACGTGTGAGCAGGGGGGGGTTGGTGGATCATGAGAAGAATGAATCTGAATTTGTATTCACACTGGAGGAATCCGATGAGCTATGAAGCTCGTTTTCACTGACGCCCAGTCGGAGCCGGTCAGAAAGTTGATCACATGCTCGAGGGCAACAAGACAACCAGAGAGATGGCGGTGCAAGATAGCAAGTCAGCTTTTTAGTGTACCTACTTGGATTAATTGTTGCATGCTATCCCTCATCTAAGTGGATATTTTGCAGGTACAGTAGTCAGGTCTGAGAGGACATCCACGAGGCAGAAAGAGTGATGAAATCAGCTCGTGCACTGGCACACACAGCTATTCTGGGCGGATTAGTATGGCGCATGATGGTGAGAGACGGCGGTGAATTGAGGAGGCCTTCATCCAGCAGTGGATCGGCCATGGCTGACGACGGCGATGAATGCTCGTACCACCACAAGTGGCCTGCCGCTCAGCTGACTGCCGTGTGTTCAATTTATACTACCAGTTGGACAAAAATGGGGGTATTTGGGAAACTTGCACCATTGTTTCAACTTCCATGCCGGGAGGAAGTGCCCAAATATCCCACGCAGGAATTATCGTCCTGAGGCTCAGTGAAGCATTTTTTTTTTAGAAAGAAGACATTTGTTAGGAGACACCACAACCACATTTACCACGTATAGTTTGTGTGTTAATGTGCCTGAAGGCCGCACTACTATTAATTTGGTTAAATTGTAATTTGAGAGAATATCAAAGTGAGGGCAGTGGGAACGTTGCAAAATCAGGTTTTGGAGCGACGCTCAAAAGGTCAGGGAGCGAGGGGAAGACCCAATGGCGGAGCCACGATTTTCAGGTAGGGGGGGCAACCCCTCCAGCAATGAAAAATGATAGAGGAGTTGTTAGTAAGTAAGGAGTTGTTAGTGAGTAAGGAGTTGTTAGTAAGTAAGGACTTGTCCCTTGCTTTTTATTCGACGCGTGTGCGGTGATGGTGTAGTCATCGATTGAGGTTCGACTTCGAACCGCGTTGTGTGATCGCCATCGCGCTCGCTGAAGGTGCTGATGCCTTCAGGGAAGTCGTGGACTGTATACGCAACTGCGCACAATTCTGTGTCACTTATAACCGCTTTGTCGTTACTTATTGCCAATTATGGACTCAGACTATTGTCCTATCATCTCATAGAGTCCCTGGAACGTAATAATATGCTACACAGTGGCAGTGGGGGTTGCAAAAATGCCGATTTATTACTAATAAACCCAAATGATCCGATCGAAATTAGGGATTTCGATCGGATCATTGGGGGGGCACGTGCCACCCCTCCCCCCAGTGGGAAGACCTAAAGCCGGATGGTGGTGGCGGTGTTCAGAATGGACCTTGATTGTCGGGTGTTGACCACGCAACTGCTGTGGGATCTGGCAGAAGGAAGGAAGCAATGGCACAAATAGTATAGCATCAATGACATTGGCTGCAATGACCTCTTGAAGTCGACCATTAAAACAACAGTTACACCCCTAACGTTGTTCTCTCTCTCTCTCTCAGTTGAGGCAATGGAGGAGAATAAACAGACAGAGGTGAGCGGGGGTGAGGAAGGATGCGATGGGAGCTTTATAATGGAGCTCGAAGTCGACTTCGGGGGAGAGAGGAGTGTGAGCTCGGGGGTCCGGCGCGATGCCAAGATTTGAACTTTCTGGCAACGCCGAGGTCAGGGTTAAGTGGCGGAAGAAGGTGAATTCTGCGAGGAGCATTTACGTCGACAAAGGTTACGACTCAAGTCGGCTAAGGTGCGGACTTGTGAAGTCAGATGGTTATCACCTGCTGCGTGCGAATGTCCAGATTCACGTCATCATTGTTTGCCGTCTATTGCTGGCAAACCGCCTTCATAATGAACGCAACAGCAGGCAAAATGCGCAGCCAATTCCAGAGCAAAACGAAAGTTATAGTGAGTTGTGGCCAAACAGATGCGCACCGTATTCCTCAGATTATAAGACCCCCCCCCCCCTGAAAGAGTAAGGCTCGCCCCACATTTGTGCTCGGGGTTAATAAAGGAATACGGATATGGTTACACAGAGCTATCAACCTTTTTCGAAAAAGAGTGCCTTCAAATTTGGAGAATGCGGTAACTCTAAATACGGGGAATGCTGTGGACAAAATCACGCACGTAATTAATCGCTCGTGTGAATCCTTGAAAGTGGTGTTTAGCTAAAAATCTATTATTCAACAGGCACATTTTCATGGAAATATCAAGACCGCTCCAAGCAGCTTTAATAGACCGATGCTTGAAATGACAAGGCGTACTGTAATCGCTCAGGGAATGTAGCTCTCTTGGGGGGGGGGGGAAGCCCCCCTCAATAAAAACACATAAACGCTAAAGCGATTCACTGCGAATGTTTTTCGCGATCGTCCTCTGGGGCTCTCTCCGACGTGGCAGCGTTTGTGTTGGTCCACGTTGTTGTTGTTAGACAACGTGGCAGCGTTTGTGTTGGTCCAGGTTGTTGTTGTTAGACAACGTGGTAGCGTTTGTGTTGGTCCACGTTGTTGTTGTTATTGTTGTTAGACAACGTGGCGCGTTTGTGTTGGTCCACGTTGTTTTTGTTAGACAACGTGGTAGCGTTTGTGTTGGTCCACGTTGTTGTTGTTGTTGTTAGACAACGTTGTAGCGTTTGTGTTGGTCCACGTTGTTGTTGTTAGACAACGTGGTAGCGTTTGTGCCGACAGCTTCTTCAGCCCATGCAGCAAAACGTCGGACATCGGGCTAACACGCGATACGAACCAGTATCGCGTGGGAGATGTATTAAAGTGATATTTATTTATTCGGGAAAGCCTCGTCGAGGACTGGGACTCTTTTCAATGTCTCGCCTGCAAGGGATGTTTGGGGGGGGGGGGATGAATCCCTTTTGGGTATTTGAACACGTGCGAAGACACAGGAATTACTAAATAAAACTCACTCATCCGAGGGGATACTATTTAATCATCCATAAAGTTGTTATTCTCTTTGCCGTACTGCTGTGCAAAAGCTTCCTTCGCAGCAACCCTGTCATCAAATGTTCTCAGCATCATCTACCAAAGCCCCATCTTTGAAAGCCACGGATTATCGCTTCATTGGAATCGCTTGAGTTACATATCAATTCATAATAAGCCTACGTGTTAAAGTTACATAGCAATCTCTGAGATCCAAGGCTGATTTTTTTACAAGGTGTCTTGTTTGAGATATTTGGTTAAAAAAATATGTTTTTGAGGAAACTGGAGTGTCCAGAAACAAAGCACACGCAGTTAAACGGGGCAATGATTGGACGCGCGGTTATGATATGGGCTGTAGCTATTGAGGTTTGGATGCAATGAAAACCACAACAAATATCCATCATTCAACAAATAATAGAGCATTTTCCAGGTGCAATTATAATCAAAGCAGCCATACTCAAATGAAAATGGTCATACCATAAACACGAGGGTGTTGACAATGAGATTTGCCATTTGTAAAAGATGCATTTAAAAAAACAGCTCACACTGTGCATCGTCAAAGTGAGAGATAACAGCATATCACAGTTACTGTATTCATCCGTCACACAAGGCTATTTATAAACATGTAGGGCTTAGCAAGGATTACAGTTGCACTGAGACACAGAGCAGCGAATACATTGTACGGAAGGGCCAATAGCTTTGTGCGTGCGCGATGAGGTGCCCGTGTCCGAAAGGGTACATTTGATACATCCCCGCATTCACGTCACATTAACGTATTGCTGCATGCAACGTGCGCTCACCCTAACTTCACGTTGAAACGGGGAAATTAAGGAGGGGAGTCTCGGTGATTCATACGCTATTGCATCGTTTGAAAATGAGAGCTCGGTGCTGGAGGTGCGGAATTATGGGATGGCCTTAAACAAGATTTGGTAGCCTCCGTTGACCCGAGGCAGATAACCGCGCACGATCACGTGGCGAGCGTAATCAGCCGGCTGCCAACAGGAAAAAAAAAATTGGGCATCTCAAAATAGGAAATACAATTTTCCGCTTGACCGTGTTTCATCAAATGTCACCTGTTGGGCAATGACTTCCCTCCGCTCGTTCTCGTTTATTATTGAAAAAAATATCAACAGAGTGCTGGTAAAGGGATACAGCTGGGGGTTTTGAGTGCGGACGTTTCACTTTGGTCAACAAGGCCACGTGGCATTTGGATGAAGGTGGAGAGGAGACTTTTGAACCTTTCACAGGCCCAGGAGGTTGTGAAGTTTCTCGAGCGTCTTCCTCCCCGCCCAACCTGAGTGACTCCAACCTTACAACCTCCCCCCCCCCAGTTCGTTCTCTCTGTTGGGCCCACTCTGGCCTCCTTCTCAAAACCCTCGCCCTTCTCTGGGCCACTATCCGGTGGCCGCTCTTTCGCAGCCACTATGCCACCGCCCCTCTAGAACTCGACGAATCTCCGTCTCTCCTGGACCCTCCCTCCCCCCATCTTCCAACCAACTTCCCACGTGGAACGGAACGTGTCCGATTGCGTTCCCGCTTAGCGCCACCACCTGTTGTTGCATGTGTAGTGGATTAACACGCGCATACGGGGGGGGAGGGAATGGTAAAGACGCGCGAGTTATGGACAGTGGGGTTAACGTAGGGCCGGCCAGGTGTGGGAAACTGTGCGGTACTGACGGGCACATTAAGCTGGAGAGCGATGTAGGGCTGTGATTGTCTGGGGTTGTTGTCAAGGGCGGAGTGGCGACGGAATGTCTGGGAATAGAGGGGGGCAAGTAACAAGTGCGGGGGGGCGCGGGGCGTCGGTGGCACGCGGACTAATTGATTGGTTGGTAATGAGAACGGGGATATATATTTCGTGAGACGGGAAGAACGAGTTGAGTTGTTGTCGCTGGGACTGGAACAAAGCAGGTCGTGGAGAACCGGAGCGAAGGCATAGGAGACAGAACAGGCTATCAGTAGAGTAGAGACAAGCAGAGACAGGCAGAGACAGGCAGAGACGGAGTGGGACAGAGACAGGGAGAGACAGACAGCGAGAGAGAGACAGATACAGCGTGAGAGAGAGACAGAGACAGCGAGCGACGGAGAGAGACAGAGACAGCGAGCGACGGAGAGAGACAGAGACAGCGAGTGACGGAGAGAGAGACAGCGAGCGACGGAGAGAGACAGAGACAGCGAGTGACGGAGAGAGACAGAGACAGCGAGCGACGGAGAGAGACAGAGACAGCGAGCGACAGAGAGAGAGACAGAGACAGCGAGTGACGGAGAGAGACAGAGACAGCGAGTGACGGAGAGAGACAGACAGCGAGTGACGGAGAGAGAGACAGAGACAGCGAGTGACGGAGAGAGACAGGGACAGCGAGCGACGGAGAGAGACGGAGACAGCGAGTGACGGAGAGAGACAGGGACGACGCAGAGTGACAGTGAGGGTTAGGGGAGGAAGCGGAGTGAGGGAGAGCGGGGCGAGCGAGCTGCGGCTAAGCGGAATGTGAAGAGTCACAGACGTAATGTGAAGAGTCACAGACGTAATGTGAAGAGTTGTAATAAAAGTGGTGTCGGAGAAAACAAGAAAGTTGTCCGCGTCTAGTCGACCCACTACACATGTATGTTGAGCTTTTTTCGCACCGTACGTAGCCATACATGCAAATCACGACTACAATTGTATCTGTTGGACTGTGCTTTCCATCTTCCCAACTCTTCCATCTCTCTCCCCTCTCACTCGGTGTCCGATTCGTGACCCTCCCAATAGCGTGGCGCTTGGAGGCGCTAGGTTTTGTGATTGAGCGCCACGTAAATGAACGTTGTTGTTGATATTCGGTGCTTTTTCTGGAAGACTTTGCTGGTTTTTTTTCCTGAATTTTTCTGTTGCGCATAGTCACTTTAAGATGTTACTTGTCCATGCTTTTGTTTGTTGCGGTTGCACCCGATTCAAGAGCCGCATGGGTCACTGGGGCTATACCTAATAAATGAAATTGAAAACTGAAAAAAAAACTGGTGTCGGGTCCAGAAGTCTCTCTCTGGTTTATGCAACGAAATGTGTAAATGGGACGGTCTGACAGGACACTGCGGTGGCGAGATGTTAACTACCTCACCTGGTATACAGGAGGTATACCTGTATATTTGGAGTTTGCATGTTTTCCCCGTGGTCGTGTGGATTTTTTCTCTCTGTCCTCTGGTTTTTCTCTCCACATTTAGAGTCAATATGCGTCTGAAGTATCTGGCTGCTAAACATTTTCCACGCGATTAAGCCGCTTCGCTAAGCTATCATTTGTGGCCAGGTCGCTTCTGAAAAAAAACAACAACCAGCTAATAGCTCAGCGGGTCTTAACCTGGTAAAATAAAATAGCGAGTTCAAAAAAGTTATCCATGAAGACGTTTTATCGAGTTAGAGCGCGTAAATAAGTGTCATTAAACCCGCCGCCAACCGACACAGCCAATTAGTAAGGTTTGTCGCGTAAACAAAACGTGCCAATTGGATTCTGCTTCAGCACACCGGTGAGTTGGAGAGGATACCCACAACATTTACAATTCGAGTACGACGTTTCACACGTCATTATTGCCACGAGGTTTTTTTTTTTTCTCCAACATACTGGTGAGCTGAACTAATAACTAATTGGCATTTTTTTTGTTTCCGTGACAAACCTTACTTATTGGCTGTGACGGGTGGTGGCGGGTTTAACGACACATTATATTTCGCTATCTAACCCAAAACACCTGGGCGCGAAAGCCTCCGTGTTGGACTAAAAATAGTTCATCCAAACGGTCAATACGGACTTGCCCAATTCCAGACATTACATGTAAAGTTCATGACCGTAACCAGGCGGTGAGAACTCAAGTCTCATTTGCAACAGAGACCCGGGGCAATATTCTGCCAGTAGGGGGCGAGGGCTCCGGTCATCCTCGCAGCGTTAGCGACTTTTCGCAAACCATCTAACAAAGACGGTCACCGTATTGCGCGCATTCAGATGGGCTTCCGCGGCCGTCCGGAACGCTCTTACTTCCGATATTACGAAGCCACTGGAGCTATGCAACTTTTAAATAATCTCGATTGAAAAGATAATTTCTTAAGAATTGCTTTGTGTGTTTAGTTTGTTGTCCTTCCCCCGCACGTGCGATGAGCACGGTTGGCTACGTACGGCGCGAAAGAAGTTCAACAATACATACGGACATGTATGCTGCTCTCTGTGTGATCCCAATTCAGTTATTTGCAGGTCGGCAATCAACGGCCTACTCTTGTGAATTACGCCAGGGGATATTGAACGCTCGCTGCCAAGCAGACGCCGCGTAGTGTTATTGTATTCACGGGCTTGTTTGCCCGCCCAAGGACGGGTGCATATTGCAGTGAATCTGAAATGTTGAATAGAAAAATTGTTCAGCCCATGATTATTACTGAGGGGGGGGGATTGCCCCATGTGGAGTGACGTCACCCGCTAATGGTTATTGGGGAGAGGTGCGGCATGTGGAGTGACGTCACCCGCTCATGATTATTAAGGAGGGGAGGGGTGTGGCATGTGGAGTGACGTCACCCACTCATGATTATTAATGAGGGGAGGGGTGCGGCATGTGGAGTGACGTCGCCCGCTCATGATTATTAAGGAGGGGTGCGGCATGTGGAGTGACGTCACCCGCTCATGATTATTAATGAGGGGAGGGGTGCGGCATGTGGAGTGACGTCACCACTCATGATTATTAATGAAGAGAGGGGAGCGGCATGTGGAGTGACGTCACCACTCATGATTATTAATGCGGGGAGGGGTGCGGCACGTGGTCTGCGCGACCTTCTTGTGCTTCAGTGTAAATTTCCACGCGGGCATGAATATTAATGAAGGGGGGGGGCTCTTTTGCAGTGACGTCACGCACGGATGTCGCACTGTGCTGCGTATATTTATTTTTTACCGTCACTTTCTGTACACAAACGTCATATTTGAAGGGAATTTGCGCTATAAATGATTTAATTCAGCTCGACCTTCCTCTGCGTTCGTGTAAAAATCACCCCCTCATGAATATTAATGAGAGGGGTGGGGCCTCATGTGGAGTGACGTCACGCGCGGGACGGACAGACAGGTAATTGCAGCGTTATTGATTTTCACTCATCACCCCCCGCCTCCCGCAGTATGGAAACGATGAGAATCCCTGCTAATTGATTAATCGATGCATAATCTCACCGCTAATTAATTATGAGCCGTCATGGGATCACCTTTGACGGAGGTACTTTGAAGCGATTTGCGTAACCAGTCAGGATACGTTACGTTTATTCAATGCCTTATTTTGTTTTGCATACTCCCGCCGGTGTTTGTTACGGCGTGCAGAGGGGGGACTACGCGCATCGTTCACATGAGCGCCATGCACAACGCGACGCGCACGTTTGAATGTGACATTTCCCGACGCATTTGTGTGCATATGCGCGCGTAATTCGCGTGCCCGTGTGTGCACGTGTCCTTGTATTCACTGGTGCCTCCGTGTGTGCGTGCATTTAAAAATGTACGTGTGTTTGCTTGCATTTGGATGCATGTCTGTGCACGCGTTTATATTTGTGAGTGTGTATGCGTGCCTGCCTGCGTGTGCCCAGTATGTGTGTACTTATTTGCGTGTGTCCCTGCGCGTGTGTGTGTGTGCGTGTGCCCTTTGCGCGTGCATGTGTGTGCGCGCATCGCCGATAGGAAGACCAATGGATGTGGTACTGGCCACTCACCCCCGTGGTGTCCCGTGCTGGCTTTCATCGGTGCTCGATGACAGCACATCATGTCCCAACAGTCGATTAAGGGGCCACGTGAGGGATCTTTGTATTTGACGTGTGTGCGTGTCGGTGTTTGCGTGTCGAGGGGAGCGGTGGTGCAGCGGTTAGCGCTACGCTGCGTTACGAACCTGGCGACGCGGGTTCGATTCTCGCTCAAGCAAACACCGGTGACGATTGTCTGAAACCGATCCTGGGCCTCCCCTAGGTCGACTCGGCCTCAAATGAGTACCTGGTGCGATGTGTAAACATCGCCATTGGGGAGACAAAGGCGGCCGGGCGTGGTGCTGGCCACCCACCCCCCTCGTGTCCCGTGCCGGCCTTTATAGGTGCTCGCTAACAGCACTTGCCCCTACAGTCTGTTAAGGCTACACGGGGGATCTTTGTCTTTGTTGTGTAGAGCAGGGGTCGGGAACCTTGTTTCTAACATCATTCGCGGGCCATACAAAATGATCAACTTAAAAATTGGCCTGTTATATTTGGTCAAACATTGAATTAACTCGCCCCCAATGCGACGGGCTGGAACTGCTTCTCTTTGGCGAGGCGTGGTGATGATGTTAGCTGGTATTGATGATGTTAGCTGGTATTGATGTTAGCTGGTATTGACGATGTTAGCTGGTATTGATGATGTTAGCTGCTATTGATGATGTTAGGTGGTATTGCTGATGTTAGCTGCTATTGATGATGTTAGGTGGTATTGACGATGTTAGCTGGTATTGACGATGTTGCTACTCGCAACTGCTTTTCCAGGTTTGCTCCTAGATTTATTGAACTTCAAGTTGCCTTGGCAGGGCCAGAGACCAAAATGATTTCGCGGGCCTCATACGGCACGCGGGCCGGACGTCCTCCACCCCTGGTGTAGAGGAACAGTGGTGTAGCGGTTCACGCAAGGAGCTACGACCTGAGTTCGAGTGTCAGCCGCGGCAGTGTGAGTGGCGTGTGGCATCAGAGCTGGTACTGCACCTCGGCTAGGTCGACTCGGCTGTGAATGAGTAGCCCGTGCAGTGTTTAAAGCACCGACTAAGGCGGCCCTTAGTCGGTGCCAACAGCCCTTGCGTGAGCGGTCTGGTGTGAGGCCACGCAGGAACGCACACGCGTGTGGTTGTTCATATCGGAGTGCGAATGCAGTCGTTTACCTTAAAGTGGCATCGGCTTGTTCTTTCCTAGAACAAGAGGAAAATAAGAGTGAGGGGGCAATTCACCGGTGTTATTGTTTCTACATCGGCATCGATTGAGACTTCCCCTATCCATAGTCCGGCACGACTAAGGCCACACGTCTCTGCGTGGCTCAGCATTGCCACCTCTGCAACCAGCAACATCAAAGACCGATTGGCACGGTTGGCTTCATATGGTGCGAAAAAAGTTAAACGCGCGTACATACATATACATACGACGCACCTGCAGGAATCGCAACGATTTGATTCAACGGGTCTTGCGTCGCATTATAAAGTGGCTTAGTGTGAGTGCCTCTCTGCTGACGTTAAAATTTCGAGGTGTATTTCGGTGTTTGTGCTAACGATCATCGCACACACCTTGTGATCACCGCTCGCACAAACAAACCAATCATTCACCGCCAACATGTGTGTTGTGTTGTGATCGAGCACAAAGAGATAATTATTACAGAACACGAGAAGGAAAATGACGAAAAGTCGACTTCGACTTTGACTGTTCATAATCCTGCACTCACAACACACGCAACACACAACATACGCGCGCGCATTCAGAATACTTTAATTACATAATTAACATGATAAAGTGTCAAATGTTCCCATATTTTAGAAATAATGCTCTCCGTTTGAGGACAGTGCTATGTTTATTTCTTTTTTTTGTTGCCCGAAGGCTGTTGTGGTAAAGGCCACGGTTATTGGATCGGACATGGTTTAATATTTGCTCTGATTGCAGCTTTTATAAAATGCGTCCTGATTTTTTTCCTTCACCTAATATTAAGGCCGGACGACTTGATGAACGTGAATTAAGTGCATCATTCAACGGACACGAGGGCGAGCACCACGGTGGTTCAGTTGTTGGAATTCCAACGCAGGCCGATAAACACTCTCGGCCAATTAAATCACGGCGTTATCAAAACACCCCCGTCTGCTTAAATGTGGCCATTAACTTCAGACCTCGTGTGGTGGCTGGCAAGCAGTAAACAGTGGAGAGAATGCCCAACCCCCTTATCGGCGGGGAGCCGTGAAAATAACTCTTAACGGGGGGTGGGGCTCAACTCAGCGACCCTTCAGAGAAGAGTTATGGAGTGGAGGCACCTCGCGATGACCCCACGTATTGGCCGCGAGTAATACAAAAAAAAACGCCTATTCAAATTTAACCGAAAACAACGCATGTAATATTTACTTTCATAGCATCTTGCCACGGTGGCGAGATGTTAACCACCCCGCCTGGTATACGGGCGGTCATGGGTTCGATGCCGACCCTGATGCCTGCATATTTGGAGTTTTCATGTTCTCCGCGTGGTCGCGTGGATTTATCTCCGGGTCCTCCGGTTTTCCCCACCACATTTAGAAACGTGCGTTTAGAGTATTTGGTTGCTGTAAATTTCCACATGATAAGCCACTTCGTTGGGCTATCCCTTGTGGCCAGGCCGCTTCTGAAAAATAGCTATATAGCTCAGTGGGCCTGACCTCATAAAAAAGAAATAAATGTGTTTTGAATGTGAATATGATCGGTACAACAAGCCAGGGAAGACAGCGAATTAAGTTCATAGTCGCTTGACAAAGTGGATGCAACCTGGGATTAGAGAATACAAAGTTCGAGACATTATCGCAGACAGAGCTGAATGTAAGAAGGCCACGATCGCCGACGTCTTTGAGAAAGGAGGCGGCTCAATATAGAGCGAGACGTACAATGTGAAGACGCATAGCGTGGCGTTCGTTTGTATTGCTCCTGAAAGTAATCGGCCTCTTGAGTAAACGAGTTGGGAGCAGCTCATCTGAGAAGCACCGTGCGTAAAATGCACGCATTGACAAGGAGTAGCCTAGTTTATGTTTACACTCCTTTTTCTGCAGGCACCGTTAAATGCATAACCCAGAGAACCTGCCCATAGATAACCAAGAGGAGTTATCTTGCACCACCTTTCAGAAAGCCCGTAGTGGTGTTCTTTTGGAGCGACTGAACCCTGAACATGAGAATGTGTAATTTCCACCACTGGTTTTTCCTTTTCCAAGGCGCGAGCCATTTTGGTAATATTTTAGGAATATATTTCAAGGTGTCAATTGTTTCTGCTATTAATGCTTAAAAAAGTATAGAGTTCACAAGAAAAGGGTCCTTATTATGTCAAGCTCTGCCAGAATATCCCCTTTGGCCAAATAGCCTAATTTGGTGTTGAGATGATAGGACGAGATGAGCTAAAAGAACAGAGAAGTTTAAAGAAACAGGGTTAACTCGAGAAACGTTCAGGCTTTTAGGGCTCGCTTGAAGGTATAGAAGGATGTGAGCTGGAGTGACCGTGGGATTTCAGGAAGACATTGTGTGAATGCCGGACTTCTGACCTTGGGCATTTCCAAGTAAATTACGACGCACAGGGCTTGAATAAAGAAAGGGAAGAGCACACCAGAGGATATATTGTTCCTGCTGCACCCAATATAAATGCTTACCAGCGCGGCACATTTCTCAATTTACCAATATTCCCACAGAATCCCCACGAATTCTGTTTCTTCCCGGAAATTGTGTTTAATAAAAAAAATATGCTTGTCTCGTCAATTTTTTTATATTTCATATTGCTTTGCTAGTTTCACCAAAGTCCTTTTTTGGCTTTTGCATTTCACAGCATGGTCCAGTGAAATGCTTCCCAAGAATATTCGCGGCGTGGAGATCGTTAGAAACTGTGGCATCTGACACTTTACTTCAGCCCATCCACGTGACGCGTTGCTCGTTCGAGTGAGCGTTACACTCACTACTATTCAGATGCATCTGCTGTATCGTTGGCTTGCATCAAGACGCGATGCCTGTCACGCCGTATTTACGTGGATGTTTTATTTATTGATATTAATTTTCACAAAAAATTATTCTCCCCCTCGTCCTCCCCTTTAGCAAGGAGGGATTCACAATGGCTTTGTTACAAAACCGAGCCAGCTATTGACCGGGCAGTCTTAAGACAGCCTTGATTTATCTCAGCCATTCCTGTCACAAATATATAACACGTCCACGCAGACCATTCAAAACAGAACAATGGACGCTTTAGGTGGCAGTCAACAATGTAATGAAGCAGAAAATTACGAAAGATTTCTCTACCTTCAACCATACGTTCATATTTGCACTATTTGTTTCCCTCGATTTTCGCGGGTTTGGTATGTGCGGTGGCTTTCGCGACCAATATTATTCAGAATAAAGATTTGTTTTGGTTCGATTGCATAAATATAAATGTGTCGTAAACCCACCACCACCCGACACAGTCAATCAGGAAGGTTTGTCACGTAAACAAAAGTTCCAATTATTTTCTACTTCAGTCCACCGGTGTGTCGGAGAGTAAATCCGCAACATTTACAATTTTGAGTTAAGGACGTTTCGCTGGTGATTACAACAACCAGTATCATCAGGCGATTTTACCAGAATTGTGAAGAGATCTACCTGCTTCCGGTCTTAAATCGAGCAAGACGACGTCACCACCGTGAGCCAATCAGGTGCGGAGAGCAGAGGCGGGGTTTACTGCAATCGTATAACGAGTGCGGCCTGGCAGCGTATTATTAAATAAAGAAAATCTATAATACAATTACAATTCCTTATAAGGGAAACAAATACCAATGAATAACAATAGAATGATTACCAATCTATTATACAATTACAACACCCTCCCCCTCTCTGCCTCAAATCACTGCACCTGAATGAGTTAAATGATGACGTCACCCTGCTGCTCTATTTAAGACCGGGAGCAAGTGAGGGCTTTACCATTCTGGCAAATTGCCCGATGATGCTGGATGTAATTACCAGCGAAACGTCGTACTCAAATTTTAAATGATGTTGATTCACTCTTCAACACACCGGTGGGCTAAAGTACTGAACTATTTGTCCTTTGTAAACGTGACACTTTTTTACTGTTTGGCCGTGTCGGGTGGTGGAGGGTTACGACACATTTATAAATAACGCGATCTAACCCAAAAACCTTTATTATGAATATTGGTCGCGAAAGCCACGTGTTTAAACATATAACAATGGATTATGGTAATCTGGAACAGATGGGTAAATCACAGTCAATGAGTATATCTATGCCTTGACACGGCATACAATTGGAAGGTGTATTACTTAATAATACACTTCCAAGTAGTACTAAGGCTGTAGTTGTCAGAAAGGTGAACATAGTTTGTGTCTCTCACAGTTTAAATATATTCTCTCATTAGTCTTGGCCAGTCATAATTCGTTTTACACAACACAACGTCTTCAAAATCAATTGAATGTCTTTGTTGGGAAGTACAGTGTGCTTCAAAAAAATGTTAACACTTCCGAGAATTTGCAACAACGCCACGAGAAACGCGCCTCCGGGCTCTGGAGATCACCTGGAGAAGATTCCAGGCCACGCGTTGACAACGATGGCGAACAAGTGGAGACTCTTTGACTTTTTGAGGCTATCAACATTACACTTGTTATGTTACAATGTATTATTATCCGTTCTTTTTCCATTAAAAACGATAGTCCCATGTAAGTGTTAACATTTCTTTGAAGCATCCCTGTATGTTCCGCAACTGCCGACAGTTGGTGTGTTTGTGAGCGTTCATTATTTCTCTGCCGTTCTTTGAGTCTTATGCTAAAAAAAAAAGATTCGCCAAAGTGAAGCCAGTTTAGTCATGCGCAGTTGCCGGGATTTGAACCGAGGTACTCAGCGAGGGGGGGGGCGGGGGGGGGGGCGAGGGGGCCGGGATTTGAACCGAGGTACTCAGCGAGGGGGGGGGGGCGGGGGGGGGCGCGGGGGGGGGGCAGCGCAATGCTCGTGAGCGAGCTCACCGAGTCGCTCGCTTGGTTTCACATTTAATGACCGCGTGTCTCTGCGTGTTTAGAATTTGTTGTTGGAGCAACGAGTAAGCAACCTATGAAGACTGTGACGGCACCCAACACCTTGTTGTCTCCCACAGTACTGATGTTTACACACCGCACCAAGTACTCATTTAAGGCCGAGTTAACCTATGGGAAGGGTCCTGGGCCGGCTCAAATATTCGCCACTGTCGTTGACCATGAGCGGGAATTAAACTTGGGTCGCCGGGTTTGCAGCGCTGCGAACGAACCACCGCACAGCCGCTCCCCAACAGTTTCAAATGTTATTACTGCATGGGAGAAACCTCATCAGCATCGTCTCAGGCTGATATCTTCAGGGAATGATTGGTATTCCGACTGTGGGCAGAGAGAAACGTGTCGGTTTTTCACTCATTATGGCCAGACTTCTACAGATGGACAGTTCTCAGAAACCCTGTCATCAGCATGTATTCTAATCGCATGTGTCTGTCTGGGAAATTAATTAAATCGCTGTTATGCAACCACAGTTTTGAATAGCAGCACCCCTGCCAAATTGCTTTGGCGTGTTTACGATTTTGTGGCACGAACAAGCTAACACAAGCAGGGGGGACCTCGTGCTCATCTCCATTGATGGTGCTGAGCAAGTGGTGGAAATTCGAGAGGAGTCGGTTATCACGAGCATCCACTAGTGGTTGTGATGACAATCTTTTTCTTCTCTCCGTGTTTTTCTATCCTCTACCTCGTTCCACTGCATCATCCCATCTCACCGTCGGTCTCACTCTGCTCCTTCTGCCCTGCACTTGTGGCATCTCCGTAGCCCGTCACATTGCGTCTTCATTCAACACAAGCCCAGCCACCTACACACCCTCACACCTCCCCCTTTGCTTTCTCGATGATCACACATCATAGACATTGAAGTTTGGGGTAGTAAAGAGAGGGTACATTTCTGGTAAGATGTCACTGCGCTGGCATTGTTGTCGTACTGGTATTTAATACGCAGCCTTACATTCACTCTTCGTTACTGCTCGTGGGAGTGCTCGCACAGAATGTGTTCCTGCATTATCCACCAGCAGACTTCTTGTTAAGCCAAGCAGCGGGGCGGTAGCCGAGAAATGGAGTGGGGGAGTGCAAGGGAGCGGAGAAACAGTGCAATTGGGGGCACAGTTTCAGCCTGATTCGGATTGCTGCTGTACGCCCGTTGAACTTCTTTCGCAACCGTACGTAGCCAACCGTGCATATCGGAGGTGCGATGGGTCCAATGCTGCTGCGTTGGACGTTCAGCGGGCGTCACCGCGTAGGTGGCGCTGGCTGATGGCGTTGGTGATTCAAGCGTCACCTCCTCGTGTGGCAAGTCAATCGGGGTTTTCTTTGACTCTTGATTGAAAAAAAATAGGCCTATCTCACGGTCAGCCAGCGCCATTGCATCAAGAATCTCATGCGAATGGCTCGCCATTGTCCTGTTGGCCGAGCTGACACGAACGCATGATTGGGCCGAGATTGAAGTTGGTTCGACCGTCTCTTCCCGACGCTGACTGCGGTGACCAAGTGTGATTTGATTGCATCTGTGTTCAAAGTGGGCCTTCAGTGCAGCATCACCATTGTGCATCTTGACAACGAAAGTCGGACTTTCCTCAACACCTTCAACTTCGCATGATTTGGAAGAAATACAAAATATTTCAGTGTAAATTCACAGATTGCATATTAGTTGTACATTTTATTCCGTTAATCGTCTATTTTTTGGGGCAATTTTCGAAACTCTGGGAACGTTGGGATATACCTTTTCCGTGTTTTTTCGTGAAAATAATATTTACCAAAATATTACATCCCAATTGTGATGTTTTTGGATTGACATAGGACTGTAAATGATTGTAATTATTCCAATGTTAATGATCGTACAATATTACCAAGCATGAGAGTACAAATCGTTTATCACAAGGTACAACGGTGAAGTGTAACGTACACTTCTTTAAATCGCTCATTAAAACGTTGTCTAAAGTTCTCTCTTTAGAAATCAGCTGTTCATTAAATGTTTCTTCGAGGGAAGGAGAGACGGGGGAAAAAAAAAACGGTACGCTGCGCTCACTTTGAACAAACGTTGACCGACCCTTAAATTGCTTTGGAATGATTTCCACGATGCCGGCTCGAATGTTCTTGATTCTCTTCGTATTCTGTGTTGTCGCTGTTCCATTTCTTTCGTGAGATCGGTCACCGAGTGACGAAGCGACCATCTCCCTCCGCGGTGCACCACCAGCAGGGACGTGATGCGGCCCCCACAACACAGGGGCCCCTTTAAATAATTACAACTCGAGGGCTTATCCCGGTCTCGTGATCCCTTAGCAAGGCTCTGGGAGTAAAAATAAGAAGTCAAGAAAACAGAGACATATTTTTCGATCGGGCCAATACATGTCTACCTGTTCTCGCGTCACCGCAAACTCAGCCGATACCACCACGGAGGCGAAACGGACGTCGTTAATACGAATCCTGATTGGCATTTAGCTCCTGAACATGTTTTCCACGAGCAGAAATGAAAGTGTTGCGGCGTGCGACTCGTCGTGACGAACATTTCTTGGGCACCGCCACGAATCCCAAACCTGTTTGTGGCATGAAATTAGCGTCGGTTTAAAAAATAAAGAAAGGAAGAAGTGAAGAAGAAGAAGAAAAACCCACGCCTGCAAATATCTCAAAGCCTCTGGAGCCTCGTGAAAATAAATCATTCCGCGAAGGTTGGGAACCTTGTGTATGACGCTGCTCTGCTGGGGTTCTCCTTATGAAGCGAAGCTCTTGTTTCATATTTTGATTATGTTTTTTCATGCCATTTCGTACCATGTTTCATATCGGGTGTTATTTATTTATATAACAAATCAGGTTCCACATTACGATTCGCGCGCTGAGGTTTACTTTGCCTGCAGCGCGCAGCAGCTTTACAATTGGCACGGCGCAATTCACAGGTGATTTAATTAATCGGCTTGAACGAAGGCCGCCACGGCACACGATGGGGGTGGCTGGCCAGCACCACGCCCGGCCGCATATGTCTGCCCAGTGTCCGATGTCTACACATCGCACCACGATACTCGTTTGAGGCTGAGTCGACCTAGGGGAGGCCCAGGAGCGGTAAAGATAGTTAGAATCGTCACTGAGCGGCTGGATTCGTAGCGCAGCGCCACACCAGCTCCTCTTCCGTTACAAAGACAAAGATCCCCCGTACAGCCTTAAAAGACTGCTGGAGCAAGTGCTGTTAGCGAGCACCCATCATGTGCCCACCCGCACGTACACACGTACATACTCTGTGGCTCCATCTCGCACAAGATGCAATCTCCACGGCTTAATGTCAGTCACGTTTGTCCAGCGCAGCGACCGCGAATACATTTCGGGACCCGGCACACCACAACCAGTAAACCTCTCGCCGTGGACTGAGGGTCACGTGCCAGCTACTCCACTCTGAATACGTCTGCTTGGTCTCTCACGCGGTTTAAAATAAATAAAAGGAACATCACTCGAAAAACACCCCCCCTCCCCCGTAGGTCTTATCGAAAAAATGTCGGCGTTCATTCCGCGCGTGTGTCGCCCTGTTCTTTGCTGCGAAGGAATAAGAGAGGGCCCCTCGCTCTCCTTCTCAGAGCGGAATCCCGGAGCGGCACTCAACATCCCTGTGAAGTGCTCGCGTCGTCGCCTTCGCAGGCGTGTGGACGACCCACAGATCACGGAGGGGGGGGGGGGGCAGAGAGAGATGGGGGGGGGGGGAGCTCACTTCAAGGGACTGCAGCAGTGCAGCGCTTTCAGGTACGGCTTCCAAGTGGCGACGGAGAGAGAGTGCTCGTCGGCCGCATAGAAGCGCCACATGCACTGCAGGAGGGGTCCGGGCCAAGGGGTTAGGGAGACAAACAGAGGAGGTGAACACGGTGGTGACGTGTGTGTGTGTGCATGTGTGTGTGTGTGTGTGCACGTGTTGTGTGTACATGTGTGTGTGGAGGGTGGCGTTTGTGCACAGACTGCCCTACATGACATCATGACAACAGTCTGGACCACTGGACGGGTTCCGCAGGATTGGAAGGATGCCCTGGTGGTCCCCCTCTTTAAGAAGGGGGACCGCACAGATTGTAACAACTATAGGGGCATCTCACTCCTCAGTGTGCCGGGAAAGGTCCTGGCAAGGATTCAACATCGCCTTGCTACGCATGCTGAAGAGAGGCTTGCGGAGCCCCAATGCGGTTTCAGGAACGGGCGGTCCTGCACAGATGCCATATTTTCTGTCCGTCTGCTACAGTAGAGGTGTAGGGAATTCCAACAAGACCTACATCTCTGCTTTATTGACCTGGTCAAGGCCTATGATACCACCAGGAGGCCTGGGCTCTGGGTTGTTCTTCGTGCTTTCAGAGTCCCTGACCCTCTGCTCACGATCATTAAGGACCTTCATGATGGTGAGCGGGCCCGGGTAAAATTACGTGGCCGGGAGTCGGAGCCATTCCCTGTACACCTTGGGGTGCGACAGGGATGTCCTTTGGCTCCCACATTATTTAACATCTATTTCGACCACGTAGTTCGTGAAACCTTCAATATCTGTACCGGAGGAATTTCCATCTGGTACAGAATGGGAGGCTGATCGATAATACACGTGGCCTCAACGTGCACATAGCCTGGCACAAGCGGCGTGGTGACGTCACCGCCACTTAGTAGCGAATGGCGATTGTTGTTGTTGTGTGCGTGTTTTTAGTGGGGAGCGGTAGTGTAGTGGATAGCGCGCTGCCCCCAACAGCACTTGCCCCAACAGTCTGTTGAGCCTACTCGGGGGATCCTTGTGTTGTTGTTGTTGATTTTTGTTTGAGATGCGGCACCTCGTAAATAAGTCATCGCGTTCCGAGTGCTGGGAGCGAGCGCCGTGCAAGGCAAGTGAACACGGGGTGATTATCGAACCCTGCGCGGCACGATCACTCTCCGTCGCTGAAGGACGCGAAGGCGCTATCTGCATTCATCAGCGCCATCGCACGGGAGAGCCAAACAGCCCCAGAATGAGCAGTGATAATTATTTGATATGTAGGCTTTGACGAACATTTGTTTACGATTCATAATTCGTTGCTTTTGGGGTTTGTATCATCGTGTTGGTATGATGTAACTTTTTTTTTCATATAACCATCCACAGCACATGAAAGGGTCAATAAAATCAAGTTGCAACGTGGTGTGCAAATATGCCGATTCAATTAGTTTTTTCAGCCAAAAAAGTGAGTGTTGAAAAGTCAGAAAAATGTTGACAACTGGTGGTGTATTTGCCCACGTTGGGTGGCGGAATGACAATTAATATCGTCTCGTGTGGCCGCTCCGGGTATTTTCAAATTTTGATGATGACAGACAAGGGCCCATCCGTGTTGAGAATGATGCCATGGGGCATTTGAACATCCGTGGTGTAACGGACAGAATTCCATTTCTGTTAATGACTCTACCCTACAACTGCTGTCAGGTGGCCGTCGAAATCTGGGTAGCCATTGCTACCCAAACTCCGGACGCCACGGTGGCTAAGACTACTTCGCCTAGTATGCAGGAGGTCGTGGGTTGTATATATGGAGTTTGCATCTCTCACTTTCCGTGGCCGCGTGGGAATTTTCTCTAAGTCCCCCGGTTTATTCTCTCCACATTTAGATCAATGTGCATTTAGAGTATATTTGGCTGCTACGAATTTCCACGTGATAAGCCAACTTCGTTGACCTATAACTTGTGGCCAGGTCGCATCAGAAAATTAGTTACATAGCCCAGTGGGTCTTTCCTGGAAAAATACAAATATTTTAATTTTAGTTTATGAAATAGTTTTTAAACTGGCTCGGCGAGACATCAGGCTATTCACGCTCCAGTGTGCGTTGCCCTGCAGTTTCTGCTCAGTGTGTGTGTTGTACATATTGCTTGGGGTATGTGTAGTATGTGCTATGCATGCTGTGTCGTGGTGAGTATGCGATATGTGATGTTGTGTGCCGTGTTGTGCTGCGTGTACAGTGTGTCGTGTTGTGCTGCGTGTACAATCTGTGTTGTGTTGTGCTGCGTGTACAATCTGTGTTGTGTTGTGCTGCGTGTACAATGTGTCGTGTTGTGCTGCGTGTACAGTGTGTCGTGTTGTGCTGCGTGTACAATCTGTGTCGTGTTGTGCTGCGTGTACAATGTGCTGTGTTGTGCTGCGTGTACTATGTGTGCTGTGTTGTGCTGCCTGTACAGTGTGCCGTGTTGTGCTGCGTGTACAGTGTGTCGTGTTGTGCTGCGTGTACAATGTGCTGTGTTGTGCTGCGTGTACAGTGTGCCGTGTTGTGCTGCGTGTACAGTGTGCCGTGTTGTGCTGCGTGTACAATCTGTGCTGTGTTGTGCTGCGTGTACAATGTGCTGTGTTGTGCTGCGTGTACAGTGTGTGCCGTGTTGTGCTGCGTGTACAATGTGTCGTGTTGTGCTGCGTGTACAATGCGTGCCGTGTTTGTGCTGCGCTGTACCTGGATGAGGCTGGCCGCCGGGTTGCGCCGCTTCTCAAAGTGCTTCTGCCGGTGCTGTTCCTGCACCTTGAGGGCAAATCCTGAGCCCAGAATACCCTGGGGGGGGGACACCGAATACAACACACAGACACACGAACATCATCAGCAGACACGGTCAATTCACTGCCGGGTGAAGGCTTTCCCAATCTGCCGCCATCTCTCGCGATCCTGCAATGTCACATTTCACCCGGCACACTCACGCGAGCCGACATCGCCGCTCCGTCTCTCCGTCGGACGCGTTTTCGTCCCTTGGCTGCCACTCCATCATTACTCTTGACCGCTGGCCATCGCCCCTTCTGGCGACGTGTCCACGCACATATACACGTTCCCATTTCGCCTTAGCTTGACCGTCTGGGCAAGCGCTGTTTGCGAGCACCTCGCGAAGGCTGGCAATACACATGGGGTGGGTGGCTAACAGCACGCGCGGCCGCGCTCGTCTCACCGGTGGCGATGTTTTACACACTGCACCGGGTACTCATTTGAGGCCGAGTCGACCTAGATGAGGCCCAGGACCGGTTCAGATAATCGTCGCTGGTGTTGACCGTGGACGTGAATCGAACCCGGGTCGCCGGGTTCGTAGGGCAGTGCGCTCACCGCTGCACTACCACTCCTCACTCTGCATGCACATCACACGCTCGCACAGACACAAGTAAACAGACAGCTGGTTTTCGCCACCAAGTGGCAGTGACGTCACCACGGCGTTTGTGCAAGGCCAGGTGTAATTTGCGGCAACGTAAAGTGTCGAAGGCTCGCTGACAGTAGGGTCACGGGACAGACCCGAGGCGCCTTGGGTTGAATGACTGGGATGACTGGCAGAGACACCACCTGTGCTCCTTACTGTGCCAACTTGCTGAGTTGTGAGCATCCCTATTTGTTGTGAGCGTCGCTCCTTTGCCCTCTGTTGTTTTTAAAGAGTGACTTGCTTTCAAACGCCCATTAACGTCCTTCACGAGCCTGCTCCACATAGGTCGATCATGACAATGCTGGTACCAGTTATCAGAAAATCCACTCAACTCCACATTCTCCTATTGAACATTATCTAATCTCTTATCTAGCCCATACCGTGCCTGATTAGCCCTCTCTAACCGATCAAACAGAAGCTACTTGTGCATGCGGTGGCTGGGCATGCAGGCTGCATGACCCAGCCAACGCAGTCTCGAGATCTTTAAGGATCAGTTCGCTTCCTCACACAAATCCAGCCTGGTTAAGTCTAAGATGGATCGTCCAGGTTTTCCAAGTATAGAAAAGGGAAGCCATAATTGTGGCTGAGAAGACATGGAGCTTCGAATGGAGCGTCAGGCCAGGTAGCTCCCACATAGCGTTATGCAGCCGATGAAAAGATAATAATGCCACTCGACTGATTCAGAGTTGAGACCTCTGCTGTCAAACCAGAATGAGTTAAAAGCATACCACCCAAGGTATAGGAACTCCTCCACTCTCTCTACAACCGCCCCATCACGCATGGAGAGTTGAGGAGGAGGAGGAGTGTTTGATGACACAGATTACTAGGACGGACAGGTGCTTTATTTGTCGTGTGGCTGATGGTAAGGTCCCACCTCTTGGTGGCACATCCCAAGCTCAGCAAGTCTCCAACTCAATAATTACCAGATCATGTCTGGATATAATTGGGGGAAATAGGCAAAACAAATTAGAAAAACTCGACAAACCTGGGCTCCTCTGTCAAAACTAGACCATGAATCTGGACTACAAGCGCTGGAAATATTCGAATGTGGCTATTTTAAAACCTGGAGGGAGGAACAGTGAAGGTTACACCACCCCTATGAACCCGGAAAAGTTGAGTTCGATTCCCAACCAGAGCTAGCACTGGTAGTGAGTAATGTATGAACCGGTCCTGGGCAACCCCCATTTACTAACCTGCACTCACTCGTGTCAGGAAGTACGGCCAAATAACCCCTCTGACTTTCTCAGTGTTGGCCTGATTAATTTAGTCTAAATTGTCTTATGGTTGTTATTGTTTGACTTGCATCACACTGGGATTTTTGCACACAGCGTTGTAATACGGTGTTTTTTTTTGGAAGATTTACTGGTTTATCCAGGATGTTTCTGTTGCGCGTTGTCACTTTAAGATGTTCTCTGTTCATATTTAGTTTGTTGCGGTTGCACCCGACTCAAGAGCCGCATGGCTTACAGGGCTATACCTAATAAATGAAACTTGAAACTTGAAACCTGGGAATAGATTAGCCTCACATTGTATCTGTCCTAGATGAAAATTCCTCTGGTATAGCCATGAAAATCTTATTGCACTACAAAGTAAAACATATGTTCAATAATGTAGGAACCAGAGGACATCCCTGTCTCACCCAAGGGTGAACCGGGAATGGCTCGAACTCCTGGCCAACCGGCTCTACCCCCACCTGCTCACCATCATGAAGGTCCTTCAAGATTGTGAGTAGAGGCTCAGGGACCATGAAAGCACGAAGGATAGTCCACAGCCCTGGCCTACTGATGATATTATAGGCCTTGACCAAGACAATAAACATATGGTGTCTGTGCAGGACTGGCCCGTTCTGAAACCATATTGGGGCTTGCTTGGCAAGGGGACGATGTTGAATAATCCTCGCCAGGACCTTTACTGGCCTGACAATAAGTAGGGAGATACTCTGGTAGGGCAGCCTGCGTGAAGTCACCACCCTCCCTCAGCAGTTCGCTTGGGAGATCATGCCTGCCCAGTCGTCTCTTTCCTGGTCTCATACTCTGCATCGCTTTTCATACTTCCTCAACAGATGGCACATCAGCCAGCCACTCACAGGGAGCGGCTACTTCCTCCAATATTTGAGGTACTCAATTGATGCTGAGTTGTCCTAGGGGAGGGCCCAGGACCGGTTCAGATAATGAATCGTCACTGGTGTTGGCCATGAGCGGGAATTTAAGTCGGGTCTCCGGGTTCGTAGCGCAGCGTGCTTACTGCTCTGCTACCGCTCCCGAGATATACAAATACACACGTGCACATGCGTACCCATGCTTGCTTGCGTGATTACGTGCATATCCACCCATGCACACGTGTATAAACACACCTATATACACCCACACACACAAACGGTGACGTATCAGCAGGCAAATCCTCCAAAAGGACACACCTGTATGAATCTCAGAGAAATGAATACACACAAAGGTCACTGTCCTTTGGTGTTTTCTTTATTTTATTCCTACACTTGACAGCTTAAGATGGAACTCAGGCGCGACTCATATGGTGGACATGTACATGAGATATACACGCACGTGTATATCTCATGTATATCTCGCACACACACGCACTCCCACTGCATACACACACGCACTCTCACTGCATACACACGCACTCTCACTGCATACACACACACACGCACTCTCACTGCATACACACACACACGCACTCTCACTGCATACGCACACACACACGCACTCCCACTGCATACGCACACACATACACTCCCACTGCATACACACACACATACACGTACTCCCACTGCATACATACACATACACTCTCACTGCATACACACACACGCACTCCCACTGCATACATACACACACACTCCTACTGCATACGCACACACTCCCACTTCATACGCACAAACACGCACTCCCACTCCACACAGGTGGGAGCGGTGGCGCAGCGGTTAGCGCTACGCTGCGCTACAAACCAAGCGACCCGAATTTGATCGCCGCTCACGATCAATCACATTGGCGAATATTTTAACCGGTCCTGGGTCTCACCAAGGCCGACTCAGGCTCAAATAAGTACCTGGGACGGTGTGTAAATATCGGCACTCGGGAGACAAAGGCGACCGGGCGTGGTGGTGGCCACCCATCCCCTGGTGTGCCTTGCTGGCCTTCATAGGTGCTCGCTAACAACATTTGCCCCTAAAGTGTGATAACGCTCTACGGGGGATCTTTGTCTAAGTCTTTGACACTGCACGCAGACCAATCCAAATTCTTCTACGAATGAAAACAAAATAATAAGCGAATGACCGAAGTTTAATTTAGGTATAAAGTGTTTAACGATTGTGTCACCTCGACCTGAGAGTAAATACAAAGCACAGACACAGAATGGGTCTTCACACGTGGCTTAATGCAAGCACAGTGTATTGCCTGTCGCGATTTACAATATTGTAGCCTTTTTTATTGTGTAATAAATCATTCCTGATCCGGTAATTATGCATGTGTACGCGTATACATGCAAATTTACTTCCTACTTCGTATTGCTTGGGGGCTTGGTGCTGAGCTCATGGGGAGAACAACTGCCTCTCTCAAGCGCAGTAGAGACCAAAATATCCGCGGAGAGATACAAACTGCAAGCGAGTTTGTAAATATGTATGTTGAACTTCTTTCACACTGTACGTAGCCTACCGTGCTAATCGGAGGTGCCGGGTGGAAGGACGACAAACTAAACACAAAAAACCCTTCTAAAGAAATTCGTTTTCAATCGAGATTTAAAAGTGCATAGCTCCGGTGGCTACTTAATATCGGAAGGAAGAGCGTTCCAGACGGCCGCGGCAGAAGCGCATTTGAAAGCGCGCGATGCGGTGACCGTCTTTGGCCGATGGCTGTCAAAAGCTGCTGCGAGGATGACCGGAGTTGACGTGATGGTTCATGTTCCTTGATAAGACCAACAAGGTATTGTTTACACGATTTACACGTTTTCCTGCCAACGACAACCACCTTAACCATTAACCAAGACCACAACAATGCAGCTCACTGCCGATTCAAGTCCCAATGCCCCTTCTGGGATCTCATCCAGATCCGGAAGAACGCTGCTAGCGGACAGAGTACAAAACAACGCGGACGTCCAGAATAAACAGCTCCTCATTCGAGACCCAAACATCGCGCATCCTGTCTCTGACCCTCCTAGCTCAGTGGGCCTTACCTGGTAAAACAGTTTGTTGTCAGCGGAGGAGGAATAGCAACACTACACAAACTCTAACTCCCGAAGCCCTCTCGTTGTATTTATCAGACCTCGACATTGGCATATGGCTCCTGAATACACGGCCGCTGCCATCACGTGCAGGAACGAAACAGAAGGGGCGGTGGCATGGCCCCAGGTCAAGCGCGATCTCGGCTCGCATCCAGCGGCGTCCCTGGTTAATACTGCAGACGTATTCGCCTTAAATACTTATACGCGTCGTCAGCTTCCAAGGAATTACGTACACGTTACAGGTCCCGTGATGTCATCCTCAAGATGGCGCCATTGGTGTGTCGGCTTCGTGGTCCAATTTTGAAAAATTGAAATGCAAAAAGCTTGGCGATACCCACATGAAAGAGAGTCGTGAGACTCAGTGAGGCTTTACTGCATAGATAAAATAATAAATAAAATAACGAATATGGTAATCAATGAAATAATAAAGAAAATTATCCCCTTTCCCACAAACTTATACTGTGCATGGCATGTGTGTGGCATATTGAGGTGCGGTTAGAGCTAGCCGCTTTTTTTTAATGGAGATCGATTATCACGCTTGGCTATGCACGGTGCGAAAGAAGTTCAGCTTACATACGTACACATGTGTGTAAATGTTGTTACAGAACAATGGAGAGAGCGAGCTGGCTTGATGACACGAAGAGTGAAGATTTGCCCAGAGAGAATAACTACGAGCAGCAGGAATGACTGAGAGGTCTGATGAGAAGGAAAAGCGGAGTGTGTTGAACAACATCCTTGGGGGTCACAGCTGTACCAACGGTGAAGTTCACTCTGCGAGGGAACGTGGCAGAGGGGAAGAGGATGGGAATGGGTCGGTTGGTCGGACTATTAAACTAAAAACATTTTAAAGTTTTTTTGTTTACCAGGTAAGGCCCACTGAGCTATACAGCTCTTTTTCAGTAGCGACCTGGCCACAAATGATAGCTCAACGACGTGGCTTATCGAGTGGAAATGTACATCAGCCAAACACTCTAAACGCAGGTTTTTTTTTAAATGTGGAGGGAAAAAAAGCGGAGAAAAATCCACGCGACCACAGGGAGAGAGACATGCAAACTCAAATAATACAGGGATCTTCAGAGTCGGGATCAAACCCACAACCTCCTGTATACCATGCGAGGGAGTTAACATCTAGCCCACCGTGGCGCACAGTGCGAGCGGTTGGACGGGGCCCCCCACAAGAGACGCGAGAGATGTCAAACGTCCGTCATGAACTTCGAACCTCAGTTATGAGGACGATGCTCGGTAGATATTGTAATGTGTAAAACCTGAGTTCGATTCCTGCTCACAGCCAACACTACTGACGATCATCTGAACGGGTCCGGGGCCTCCCCTAGGTCGACTTAGCCTCAAATAAGTACCTGGTGCGGTGTTTAAACATCGCCACTGGGCAGACAAAGGCGACCGGGCGAGGTGCCGGCCACCCACCCACCCCATTCGTTTGCCGTGCCGGCCTTCATAGGTGCTGCTCGCCAACAGCGCGGGGGATCTTTGTCTCTGTGTCCCGAGCAGGCGAGCGTGAACCAGTCTGCGAGCACTCACGGCAGGGAGGGCGAAGAACGAGATCCCGAGCAGCGCGAAGCCGGCGGCCAGCATCCGTCCCAGCCACGTTTTTGGGGTCTTGTCTCCGTAGCCGATCGTCGTCAGGGTGATCTGCAATAACCATCGTGATGTGGACGCGGCAAGGGGAACGGGTGTTACACCAAAACGCACCGAGGGCCACGGAGGCCGCGAGCTGAACGAGGCAGGAGACTTTGCCGTTACAGTGAAGGATGGGAAGGCTGATAATTGCACATTCGGGTTTGGTGAATTCACGCGTTCGCAAACGCCCTTCGTTATACTGTTGGGGTGATTTTGAGTACTCTATGCGGTGGGAATGAAAGTATAGTCACTCGGGCAGATACGATATAATGGACAACACAGTCACCATATAGATTGTTGGGGCGAAAGCTGTGAGTGAGCACCAGTACACGAGGTGGTGTGGTGCAGTACCACACATGTGTCGATTAAATTACTGAAGTGGCTGAGCGAATCAGGGCTCAGCAGAGCCCAAAGTTGATACCACTGAGATCCTGTGTTCTGGGTTTCCATGCAATTCATTCGGGATTTCAACTGCAGCGAGTTGATAGGCTCAGCTTAAGTCACCGACGACTGCACCATCCGCGAGCACGAGAAGCCCCCACCCCTGTAAGCCAGGGATGGTGGTGGCAGTGGCGGTGGCGGCGACGGTGTCCTGTGTGGAGCGCCGTACCGTGCCCCACCACAGCGCGTCGGCGTAGGTGGCGAACTGGTCTTTGTTGTCGTCCTTCTCGGCCAGGTAGACCAGGAAGGAGGAGAAGACGAGTGCTAGGAAGCCGATGTACCAGGCCGTGATAAGCTCCTGTGGGAAATCACACAAATACACAATCCACGGTGAAACATTGAAATCCATAACCCTGTTATCTGCTCTTCCAATTCTCTGCAGCCTCATATAGATATACGCACATGCAGAGCTGGGACGATGAATAAATAAAGTTGTTTAAATGAATGAAAAATCTAATCACCACTCTTTGTGTGATCAATTACTTGGGCCCCTTTACAAATGGAAGCCACCCCGGCCGGCATCGTGATTCCCGTGACAACGTGACAACCCCCCACTAGCCACACCTGCCTCGACGCACATTATGACACCGACCAAGCCCCGCCCAATAACCTCCCGTCCAGCGGCACACGTGGGAACAGAGATCAGATCTTGCTTTACAACTACCAACGCCCAATATATTTGCTATAAAAAAATATTTGTAAAAATTATAATTGCGATGCAATGTAAATAAAAACACCAATTTTGCTAAACCTTGGCCACAATATCAGGACTTGTCTTCATGTAACAATGCATAGATTTCTGTTTATATATGATTGTGGCTATGGTTGTACTTTATGAATCCCTAATCTCTGCCATTACATACCATGAAACAAGAGAAGGTAAAAAAAGAAAAAACAGAGCAATTTAATACAATATACACTATTAGACATTATTGTAAAAAAAAAAGTTGATCCCATGTGTTAATTAATTTTTATTTATATTTTAGGCAGGAAATGGCAGGAAATTAGTTTTCAAATTTAGATTTTTTCTGGGGGGGGAGGGGGAGACCCCCAGACCCCCTGGAAGATTTGGTCCCCCCCAATGTTGACTCCATGGCTACGGCCTTGACAACTACAGTATTCTAGTGTGATCCGATCACTCGAGCAATGAGGGATCGATTATCTACATAACCGGATTACAGCCCAGATCTGCAAAAACGTGCGTGTGTACACAGGTACGCTTGCACGGGGCGACTCCCCGCACAAGGGGCACAACCGTCTCCCCTTCGACCGCCCTGAAGCCGCCGTTGCATCGCTCCGTCATCATGGATCGTGCGCATCGCTTGGCGCAAGTCGCCGGCACGCGCAGTGGCGCCGGACAGCTGTTAGCGATAATCTGCCGAGCGTTCGGCCTCCCTGAGGATGCCGAGCGTGGCGTGGCTACCTGCCTGTGTGACGTGACGCGGTTGAAGATGCCTTTGAATCTCACCGCAGGGGAGAGGCGACGCTGATTTTAAGGCAGCTTCTCACCGCACCTGCCTTTATTTTAAGAAACTTATAAACAACGGGGCTCATTGCTATTCATGAGGCAGGTCATATATATGTATGAGTGTGTGCGTGCGTGCGTGTGTGCGTATAAATTATATTATTTCCGAGGTGTAATGTAGCATTGGATAATTTAGTCATTCCAAATAATAGCTTTTGGCTTTGAGCTACAGAGTTATGGATCAGCTTAAGTCATCTCGGCTATGATACTTTTATAATGAAAAAGCTAAAATTACCCACGCGATAACTGGAATGACTTTTGCAAATTTGTGCGACCAGCATATTCTCATTGGCACAAGTTCTGCCAGTGAGGGGCAATGGTCGCTTCTGTGTACAGTCCCAATTGAGTAATTTGTAACGACTCACAAAGCCCCCTGCGATGTCATCGTTGCCATCCAGGGTCACGGCATAATTCTGGGATTTACTGCTGTAATGAACCAAGAATGTCTGTGTGTCCCGCGCGCGACGTCACTCCACATCGGCTAGCCCCCCTCATTAATAAACATGAGCGAGTGACGTCACTCCACATGGGGGGGGGGCGAGGCGCCTCCTCCCCCCTCCTCGGCGTCAACTCACAACCCTCACTACAAAGGCAGAACTCTCACGTCATCACGTGATCTCACCCTCACTACAAAGGCAGAACCCTCACGTCACGTGATCTCACCCTCACTACAAAGGCAGAACCCTCATCACGTCACGTGATCTCCGTAACGCTGCTGTTGAGACATCGAAGTAAAAAAAGACTTCGTGATGAACAAGGGATTATAACCTTTAAATGAAATAGGTCTGTGTCACCGCGCCCTTACAAATTGCTTTTGGCTTGCACGTTTAAGATTGACTAAAATACACCCGTCCTTGGACAGGCACTGTTGTGAATGGAGTGCCCTCTAGTGGCTGAAGGGTGTCTGTTGCGAACCCGTTATATACAACATATACGGTAATTGAAAACCGTAACGTTCCTACGCATGCGATTCGATGCGCGCCCCATGAGCTAGAAGATTTAAGAAACTAAACGTTTTATTTCGCCAGGTAAGGCCCACTGAGCTACATAGCTATTTTTCAGAAGTGACATGTCCACAAAAAAATAGCCCAACAAAGTGGCTTATCGCGGGAAAATTTACAAGCGGTCAATGCTCTAAAAGGTTTCTAATTGTAGAGGGAATAACCAGAGAAAAATCCACACGACCACAGGGATAAACTTGCAAACTCCAAGCATACAGGCGTGATGGCCAGCATCGAACCCACGACCTCCTGTATACCAGTCAAGGTAGTTAACATTTCGCCACGGTGGAAATTTATAGCAGCCAAATACTCTGAACGCGTGATGTTCATTCTAAATGTGGAGGAAAAAACTGGAGGATCCCGAGGAAAATCCACGCCACCACGGGGAGAGAGCCATGCAAGCTCCAAATATACAGTCGTCAGGGTCGGGATGAAACCCACAGCCTCCTGTATACCAGGCGAGGTAGTTAACATGTCATCAGGGTCGGGATGGAACCCACAGCCTCCTGTATACCAGGCGAGGTAGTTAACATCTCATCAGGGTCGGGATCGAACCCACGACCTCCTGTATACCAGGCGAGGTAGTTAACATCTCATCAGGGTCGGGATGGAACCCACAGCCTCCTGTATACCTGGCGAGGTAGTTAACATCTCATCAGGGTCGGGATGGAACCCACGACCTCCTGTATACCAGGCGAGGTAGTTAACATCTCATCAGGGTCGGGATGGAACCCACAGCCTCCTGTATACCAGGCGAGGTAGTTAAGATCTCATCAGGGTCGGGATGGAACCCACAGCTTCCTGTATACCAGGCGAGGTAGTTAACATCTCATCAGGGTCGGGATGGAACCCACAACCTCCTGTATACCAGGCGAGGTAGTTAACATTTCGCCACGGTGGAAATTTATAGCAGCCAAATACTCTGAACGCGTGATGTTCATTCTAAATGTGGAGGAAAAAACTGGAGGATCCCGAGGAAAATCCACGCCACCACGGGGAGAGAGCCATGCAAGCTCCAAATATACAGTCGTCAGGGTCGGGATGAAACCCACAGCCTCCTGTATACCAGGCGAGGTAGTTAACATCTCATCAGGGTCGGGATGGAACCGACAGCCTCCTGTATACCAGGCGAGGTAGTTAACATCTCATCAGGGTCGGGATGGAACCCACAGCCTCCTGTATACCTGGCGAGGTAGTTAACATCTCATCAGGGTCGGGATCGAACCCACGACCTCCTGTATACCAGACGAGGTAATTAACATCTCATCAGGGTCGGGATGGAATCCACAGCCTCCTGTATACCAGGCGAGGTAGTTAACATCTCATCAGGGTCGGGATGGAACCCACAGCCTCCTGTATACCAGGCGAGGTAGTTAACATCTCATCAGGGTCGGGATGGAACCCACAGCCTCCTGTATACTAGGCGAGGTAGTTAACATCTCATCAGGGTCGGGATGGAACCCGCGACCTCCTGTATACCAGGCGAGGTAGTTAACATCTCATCAGGGTCGGGATGGAACCCACAGTCTCCTGTATACCAGGCGAGGTAGTTAACATCTCATCAGGGTCGGGATCGAACCCACGACCTCCTGTATACCAGGCGAGGTAGTTAACATCTCATCAGCGTCAGGATGGAACCCACGACCTCCTGTATACCAGGCGAGGTAGTTAACATCTCATCAGGGTCGGGATCGAACCCACGACCTCCTGTATACCAGGCGAGGTAGTTAACATCTCATCAGGGTCGGGATCGAACCCACGACCTCCTGTAAAGCAGGCGAGGTAGTTAACATCTCCTAGCCACCGCGGTGCCCATAAACGGCCAAGGTGCAGCCCTGCAATTGCAGGGCTGCTTCAGGAGAGTGCTTTGGTCTACTCTTCCACGCTAACCAGACATCGTGGAAGGGCAAACTAATGAATATCAATAGATAAATCTGTATCATTGCACTGCTACCGATCATGATTATGGCTGTAATGCTCATAAAATCCCGACAAGCAGTAGAGGGCAATGTCACTTGACGGGCCTAGCAACGAAAACTTAACTCACTGCGCCATTACTGCTTGAATAAAAACAACGAATGCTATGGGTTTGAAGGGTTTCAACTGACTCGGTGTTACATTTCACGGCAGAGTGTCAGATTGTCGACTGTGTACTGCTAAAACCACCATTTAAAGGTCTGACTTGGCAGGAGAGTGACAAGATCATCCAACACTACCCCTGCAGGGCTATCTGGGTCAGAACACAAGTGCACATGGCAGCCACTCAAAGGTACAAAGACGAAGATTCCCCGTATAGCCTTTAACCGACTGTTAGGGCAAGTGCCGTTAGCGAGCACCTATGAAGGCCGGCACGGCAGACGAGGGGTTGTTGGGTGGCCAGCACCACGCCCGGCCGCCTTTGTCTCCCGGGTGCCTATGTTCACACACTGCGTCAGGTACTCAAGTTGGCTGAGTCGACCGGTCTTTCCCTCCACATTTAGAAACATGTATTTCGAGTGTTCGTCTGCTGTACATTTCCACGTGATAAGCCACTTCGTTGAGCTATCATTTGTGGCGAGGTCGCTTCTGAAAAAGAGCTACACAGCTCGGTGGGGCTAACGTGGTACAATAGATTAATGTCGCAGTTGTGGAGTTCAGGAGGTGGCAACCCCAGTTAACGTACCACCACTTGTCACTGGGGGCTTTCCGCAGATAGGAATTAACCCAGGTGGCAAGGTTTGTACCGCAATGTGTGAACCACTGCCTTGCCGCTCTACACCATGCACACATCCG